GTCTTTAACAAATTTTCACATAAAGACTATACTCTTTGATTTAACACCCTATGATGCAAAGTCTACAGTCATTGCATTTTACATTTTTATGCCAAGACTATAGTCTTTGAGCTTTTACATTCTCATGCAAAAGAATGTAGTCTTTGAACTTTACACATTTTCATGCCTAAGACTATGGTCTTCAATTTTCACACCCTATGATGCTAAAGTCTATAGTCTTTGCATTTTCACACATTCATACCAAAGTCTATAGTTTTGCATTTTTACCTATTTTATGCCAAAGACTATAGTCTTTGAGCTTTTACTAATTTTCATGCAAAAGAATGTAGTCTTTGAATTTTACATTTTCATGCCAAACATTATAATCTTTGCATTTTCACACATTTTCATGACTATAGTCTTTGCATTTTATTTTCATGCCTAAGACTATAGTCTTCGATTTTCACACCCTATGATGCTAAAAGTCTATAGTCTTTGCATTTTCACACATTTAATTGCCAAGACAATAGTCTTTGGATTTTTACATTTTTATGCCAAGACTATAGTCTTTGAGCTTTTCTAAATTCTCATGCAAAGAATGTAGTCTTTGAATTTTACACATTTTCATGCCAAACACAATCTTTGCATTTTCACATTTTTATGCCAAAGACTATAGTCTTTGAGTTTTTACACATTCTCATGCAAAAGAATGTAGTTTTTGAACTTTTACACATTTTCATGCCAAAGACTATTGTCTTTTATTTTCACACATATTCATGCTAAACACTATAGTCTTTGCATTTTCACACATTTTAATGCCAAAGACTATAGTTTTTTTTACAAATTTTCACTCCAAAGACTATAGTCTTTGAATTTAACTTACCCTATGATCAAAGTCTACAGTCATTACATTTTACGTTTTGTGCCAAAGACTATAGTCTTTGAGCTTTTACAAACTCTCATGTAAAAGAATGTAGTCTTTGAATTTTTACACATTTTCATGCCAAACATTATAATCTTTGCATTTCACACATTTTCATGCCAAGACTATAGTCTTTGAGTTTTTACACATTTTCATGCCTAAGACTATAGTCTTCGATTTTCACACCCTATGATGCTAAAGTCTATAGTCTTTGCATTTTCACACATTTTCGTGCGAAAGACAATAGTCTTTGGATTTTTACACATTTTTATGCCAAAGACTATAGTCTTTGAGCTTTTACAAATTCTCATGCAAAAGAATGTAGTCTTTGAATTTTTACACATTTTCATGCCAAACTATAATCTTTGCATTTTCACATTTTTATGCCAAAGACTATAGTCTTTGAGTTTTTACACATTCTCATGCAAAAGAATGTAGTTTTTGAACTTTTACACATTTTCATGCCAAAGACTATTGTCTTTGTATTTTCACACATATTCATGCTAAACACTATAGTCTTTGCATTTTCACACATTTTAATGCCAAAGACTATAGTCTTTGCTTTTTACAAATTTTCACGCCAAAGACTATACTCTTTGAATTTAACACCCTATGATGCAAAAGTCTACAGTCATTGCATTTTTACACATTTTTATGCCAAAGACTATAGTCTTTGAGCTTTTACACATTCTCATGCAAAAGAATGTAGTCTTTGAACTTTTACACATTTTCATGCCTAAGACTATGGTCTTCGATTTTCACACCCTATGATGCTAAAGTCTATAGTCTTTGCATTTTCACACATTTTCATACCAAAGTCTACAGTTTTGCATTTTTACCTATTTTTATGCCAAAGACTATAGTCTTTGAGCTTTTACAAATTGTCATGCAAAAGAATGTAGTCTTTGAATTTTTACACATTTTTCATGCCAAACATTATAATCTTTGCATTTTCACACATTTTCATGCCAAAGACTATAGTCTTTGGATTTTTACACATTTTCATGCCAAAGTCTATAGTCTTTGGATTTTTACACATTTTCATGCCTAAGACTATAGTCTTCGAATTTTCACACCCTATGATTCAAAAGTCTATAGTCTTTGCATTTCCACATTTTCATGCCAAGACAATGGATTTTTATTTTCATGCCAAAGACTATTGTCTTTTATTTTCCACATATTCATGCTAAACACTATAGTCTTTGCATTTTCACACATTAATGCCAAGACTATAGTCTTTGCTTTTTACAAATTTTCACGCCAAAGACTATAGTCTTTGAATTTAACACCCTATGATGCAAAAGTCTACAGTCATTGCATTTTAACACATTTTTATGCCAAGGTCTATTGTTTTGCATTTTAACACATTTTAATGCCAAAGACTATAGTCTTTGCATTTTCACACATTTTCATGCCAAAGTCTATTGTTTTGCATTTTTACCTATTTTTATGCCAAAGACTAGTCTTTGAGCTTTTACACATTCTCATGCAAAAGAATGTAGTCTTTGAATTTTTACACATTTTCATGCCAAACATTATAATCTTTGCATTTTCACACATTTTTATGCCAAAGACTGTAGTTTTTGAACTTTTACACATTTTCATGCCAAAGACAATAGTCTTTGGATTTTTACACATTTTCATGCCTAAGACTATAGTCTTCGATTTTCACACCCTATGATGCTAAAGTGTATAGTCTTTGCATTTTCACACATTTTCGTGCGAAAGACAATAGTCTTTGGATTTTACACATTTTATGCCAAAGACTATAGTCTTTGAGCTTTCTAATCTCATGCAAAAGAATGTAGTCTTTGAGTTTTTACACATTCTCATGCAAAAGAATGTAGTTTTTGAACTTTTACACATTTTCATGCCAAAGACTGTAATTCATGAGTTTTTTTTTATGCAAAGACTATAGTTCATGCATTTGCAGACATTTTCATGCACAGACTATAAAACATGTCTACGTTTATGTTTCCAATATAGTGTTAGCCTTTGTGTTTATTTTTTTCTCTTTCTATCTACCATTTTTTCTACCTTCTGTCTTGCTTTTTTCATCTTTTTGTTAGCAATTTTGCCTTTCTTTATGTCCGCCGTTGTGTCTTTCTTCTTTGATCTCTTTGTCGACATTTTTGTATACCATTTTTCTAGCTTTGTTTCTACTTTTTTCTACCTATTTATCCACGTTTTTTGTGTACATTTATGTCTACCTTTGTTTCTACATTTTATCTACTTTTGTGTCTACCGATTTGTCTACTTTTGTATCTTCCTTTGTTAATGTCTTCGTCAAAATGGTTGTCAGCCGTTTTGTCTACGTTTGTGTCTACGGGCATATTCTCCGGGAAAATTTTGAAATTCAGAGTCTCTGAAATGCTATTTTTTCGAATTTGTAACTGAAAAGATTTCACAAAATTTTGAAGTGTATAAACTACATGGAAAATCTATTAAAACGACATAATATCTGCATGCACAATGTGATGTCCATTATGTCCCTCATATCAGTGGTCATCCTGAGAAAACTCAGAACTGTCAATTTTCAAAATCTGATACATTCTGTTAAGGAAGTTATTCATGTTTTCAGGGAAACGGCTCCAAAGATTTATGAATTTTTGGTGTCTGAAAATAGTATTTCCGTCATTATGAGAACACAACGAGAAAAAATAGTTACGTTCACAAATCGAATTCAAACGAAGAAGAAAACAACTGTAAGTACTGATTTAGTACAATTGATTGACTGGCATCTGAGGTCTAAAAAGAAAAAGCACAATCACTCACTCATATTACAAACATCTGTTCTAAAGCGCCACCGAGACAGTGGAGACAAGCCAAAGGTACAAAACGTAATCCAGGCAATCACAGGGTTATTTCCTTAAGTTGACACGTGTTGTAGCTATAGAAGATATTGAAACATTTTAGCCATATTATGAAACAATTGGAGTAACCCAATTTGTTGGTGGATTCCCAAGACGGTTTTAGATCCAAACACTCAACTGAAACTTAACTAAATACCACCAACACGATATAGCATATGTACTGCAATGCAATAAATCTGTGTATCTATCCATTTCAGACTTTTTAAAGCATTTGATAAAGTCCCTCATTAAAGATTGCTGAATTAGATAGAATTTCACGGCATTCGAGAACAATAAGTGTATCAATGGATGGAGTCTTTCCTTACGCAGCGAAACAACTAATAGTATGTGATGGAGCATTGTCAACCATTATCTGGTGTCCTACAGGAAATTGCATTGTTGTTCCTCTTTCATATAAATGATGTGCTCTCTGATCTTCAAGGTATCACTCGTTTTCTTGCTGACCATTGTCGATTGTATGCGAGCAATGTATATCTAACTGCGAATTACCATGTAATCCAAAGTCATCTGAAGACTTTAGAGCTATGGCAAAATAAGTGGCGAATGAAGTTCAATCCTGAAAATGTGCAATTATGTCTATCTCAATAGAAAGAATTAAACCTTTCATGGTCGAATACTCAAAAGTGTCGTATCACATCCATATTTAGGAAAACTGATCGTTTGCTTTGGATGCATAAAATTACTCCAATTATCGCCTATGTGGAGACATTATCCTACTTATACACTTTTGCAAAAGAGCAACACTCTAGAAATAGCCAAATTCATAAAATGCGAATTCAATCTACCTTTTAACACTTATATAAATACTCGTTTCTTGTACGAACACACAAGGAATGGAACAATTTATTTAGCAAATTTTACCAGATTTGATCGAATGAGCTAAAACACTCCCCCCTGTTCTGATCATTGCTACCATATAAAACAGTTGGAGAACCCGAGTTCATTGGACCAAACCTGGTAAAAAATTTGCATCTATGGCCATAGGGAGAGGTGCATCATTTGGAAGTTCCGTAATGCAATATTTTTGTTAAAAATATCCGAGCTCAGGGAGGGGTGCTCCCCCTCTCTGAATCGATCCCTGAGGCTAATACTTGTATTGTTGTTGTCATATGAAAAACTATGAGAATACTCTTGCTTGAAATTACTGAATGCAATGGTTTGAAGCTGGAGAAGAAGGGATAGGAAAGCTCTAAATGTAGAAAAAAAATGATGCGCATAACGAATGATGAACTTCTGTAAAATTCCTTTCTTTTGTTTTATTCAAAAGTCGGCGTTGCATAAAAAAGCAATTAGCAGAGTACTTTTTGCTACCCAAATACATTCGTCAAATACACTGTATTGTCTCACCTAAAAAGGATCAATAGACACTCCTACTAAAATTCATGTTATTTTACACGCTGCTTTATATATACTAATATGAAACCACTTTATACCATTGTATATCACCGTATCTTATATATACCACTCATACTACTATTAACTATGGTATTTTAGTAGCATATGGTAGTTTTCAGTCGTATATAGCGGTATACACTACTATGAAACCACTTTATACCATTGTATACTACCGTATCTTATATATACCACTCATACTACTATTCACTACGGCATTTTATGTAGCATATGGTAGTTTTTAGTCGTATATCGTGGTATACACTACTATGAAACCACTTTATACCATTGTATACTACCATATCTTATATATACCACACATACTACTATTCACTATGGTATTTTATGTATCATATGGTAGTTTTAAGTCGTATATCGTGGTATATACTACTATGAAACCACTTTATAGCTACCATTGTATATTACCATAACCTATATCTACCACAGATACTACTATTAACTGTGGTATTTTATGTAGCGTATGGTAGTGTATAGTCGTATGTCATGATATATACTACTAAACATACTTATCATTTATACACACAAACGGAACAGAGCGAGGGTAATTCCACGAAATACCATCGCGAGTCATGTTATATAATATATATATTACTATACACTGCTATAAATACAGCTATATAATCATATTTTTATATGTACTGACATATATACTAAACTGCACCGTAATATATCTCACTACTACACACTTGATCTTTGTTCAAATTAACGTCTCAAATAAACAATTTTTATGTTGTCATGACGACAGTATGTGTGTATACATGTAGTTATTTTCACCGACGGCGGTTGTCATGAGAACAGCTCATGGAAACGGGAACTGCTTCGTATATGTATGCAGCCGTCGTTGTCATCACAAGATCGTTCTATAAGTAAGAAAAATATAATTTAATCCATTGATGACGTAAAAAACACAGTTCATGTTGCTGTTGTCATAACTACCGTTTATAAATACATATATACATAGTGTAAATAACTATTGTGCATATTTGTATACAATTGAGAGCGCATTATGTAACGATGTTAATTGTTGACATATGCACTTCATTTGACGAAAAGGTTTTTCAAACCTTGGCTTGATTATACATAAAGCAGATCGAATTTGAAAAAGCGCATTTTGCAGATAGTTTTGCAAATGCGTAAGAAGCGAGCGATTTTTAGAAATTTTCAGCAAACTCCTCTTGATTTCTGGATCTTCAAACAAAATGTCAGGAACCGTTTGCCTATTCAGTGACAAAATCCATATGTAGGACCACGGAGCAAGTACCTCGCTGAGCTTCATCCCCATCAATCATTTTCATACCACTGGAACATGTAATGCGAATGTCGTGTGAAATGATTGTTTGTTTGTTACATGAACTCTGCATGGGGACTCCATATTTTGATCTTTGGCCAAGCATCATCGAGTTTGACGTCAATCAACCAATTCTATACACATGCAAGGCACCATTAAAGACCGCACAATTTCCTGTCATCAGTTTTCGCGATAGTATGGGTGTGGTGTTTGAGAAAAGTATTCTATTCCACAGTATCGATACCGAACATTTGTACTATATCTTTGAGCGTTGCGCAAAACTGTTGCAGTGTATAATTTGTATTACTTGAAATTTCCTCAAACAACAGATCAAAATAAGCAGTTTTCTTCATAGATATCATGCATGTCACGCAGTTTAGCTTTCTCCATGATTCATCCATAATGATTTACCAATGGTTGATAACCGCTAACTCTGAGCCCACATTCCAAATTTGTGCAAAAACATGATGTTTCACTAATATAATGGCTATACTTAAACATTACAATGAGTCAACAACAAGGCAAAATAGGCCGGCGACTCTCCTCTTGTAATACTTCCTCAACAACAAGTGCTTTGATGACGATAAATTTCCAATTAGATGATCTTTTATGTGATAAGTATTTTACATCCTGCTACATTGCTTTATATGTTCATCGTAAACTTGTTTTCGTATCGTAAGTATTTTTGATGACATCAAAAAAGGCAAGCTACCTGCAAGGCTACCATACACGTCACTTCATCTTTAAAAATACTGAAATTTTTGTATGATAACGTGAAGTAACACGTCTAGTAATATTTATGCACATGAAATAAATGAAATGATCGACCTACTTGGTAAACCAATGCAATCCTCCCAAAGTGTGTTTTTAAGATCAGGGTCTTGATGATAAAGACAATCATATCTCGTATGGTTCGACTTTCCATTTTGAGAATCTGTTATGTATTCCCCTGAACACGAGTGCTTCAAAGTCAATAAATCACGATGTTGTTCATAATCTTTTAAAAGTGTTGTGAGATGATCAATCCATTTCACGGCCAAGCGCAAAATCTCAATCTTTGAGATGTCTATATTCGCCAAAGGCAGGGCTTTCTTTAATGTTACAAATGCCTGGTTTAATCGCACGTTACGGCGACGCTCTCTATCATTGGCTGCCCGACGTTGTCGGCTTACACCATTCAGCATGCTTTTTTTCTTTTCTCTTTGCTTTGAACGTTCCTGCTTTTCATTCTTGTTCGTTTTTCCAGGTGTCCTTACAATTTTCTGGTTACACTCAAAGGGTATTTGAGAGAACACTTCAAGTGGATCGATCGAATTGAATATTGTATTATGAACTAAAGAGTCCATTCTCGGTAGCGCAATCTTCATTGTTCAACTGTTGCAGCGCAAACTCCATACTGGCTGTTACGCGCTTCTTTCGCAATTTATAGCAGTGCGTGTGCCCGCGACTTTATCATTTTTTGCCAGCGTTTCGAGAGGGCGATGATCTGCTAATCAAGATAATCTGCTTTACTCATTGTAAGCTAAGACGCCATGGCAATTGATGGGTCCACAAACATAACACAATAGTGGAAGCGCAACTTGGGATGAGAATTTTTCATATAATTTGTTTCTCGCATCTTATTTCATCGTTACAGTTCATAAATCTCTTTCAAGTTTTTGCGCTTTCTTTGTGAGATTATTTATGTGTCTGTTTGAAGTTTTATGCATACAGCAATTGTGCAGGCAATAAACCTCTTCGTATGTGCTTATTGATGGTAAAATTCTGAAATACATAAATGCATGTATAATGTACTGCATAACAAAATAGCTATGATCAACTTAACATAAACTGATTACATAGTCATAAATGTTTTGACCAAAAAAAAAGTGTAAGAACAAATCAAATCAAACATAATTCTTTTTAACAGTTGCACACCAAATCCTGTATTTTCGAATCATCAGAGAATCAGAACTTGACATCAATTAAGTTTTAATCCTGTATGTTGTTAACGCATTTTTGCATGACATTAATGCATTAATTTAGCTCTGGTTTTATTGCTGACAGTTTTGACATATGATCGATACACAAACATCAATCAAGTACATGAAGATTGAAAAAGGAAGTTTTCGTTGTCAAATGGACTGCTCTTGGAGCAAACGTACTCGAAATAAAAAACAAAGTTCGCATGTTTAATAACAATTTTGGACGTCAGCAACCGGCTTCAAGGGAGGCATAATAATTCAATTAATCTAGGCTATGGCTCGGTAATAGCCTCTTTGATTTCAGCTTTGAGTCGCATTAGATGTCAGAGCTCCGAATCGCATTGCATTTTTGGAATACCTAGAATACCATTACGTAAATAAGTTTCTTACACTTTCTATTGTATACGCGCTGCTGTTGTCAATCAACGATAAAGTACACAGATCGAAACTGCAAGTTCCACACGATCCAGTTTCATACAATCATAATCTCCTCTAATCCGGTTATCAATTGCCAAAAAAATTTCCTTAGCGCGTACACATATTTTGCTGTTTCCAAGAGATGTCCGATTGATCTTGGAAACGCAAGAAAATAGAAGCAAATAAACGGGAAGACACAACTCAACACACAAGGAGGTCGTCCATCTATTTGTGTGAGCTATTGTTATGCTTTTGTCATCGACCTTTAAACTTAAATGCGACGCTCTTCCATATGGCAACTGTTATGACTCAGTTATTCATCTTGTAACTAGGACGTTGCTAACCAAACGTGGTAGTTGAAATGTTACAGCTTCAAATAAGAATTACAATTTTTTGCCCGTACAGGCTCATCTGGTCGTCAACTTCATTTTAGCTCAAACTGAAAGGAAAACAGATGAATGCTGAACAATGCTTAGCTTGATAATGACTCGTGAAATAGAGTCGAAATATTGCTTTAAATCTTGTTTCTTGCTATTAAAGTCGAATCTTTAGTTTACGAAATGATGTTTTTTGGAGTGTGTTTTCTAATCTACACAAGAATAGTCGCCTGTATTGACGGTCGCCATCGTACCCCATGTAGACAAAGTTGTCAATGGTTGTAATTGCCGAGAGTAGTGCTGTCATCACAGAAAGGATGTCAAAAACAAATTTTCAGTTGCTACCACAGAAAAAAACACGCAACTGATCAAGTTGCCAAAATGAAATGGAATTGCTTTGTTGGTCATACAAACGAATAAAACAGTTGTGGACGGAGAAAATAAAAAATATAACCAGGAAAGTAACTGCCACAGGTTCATTCGTTGAAATCTTTCACAGGAATGTCCATTAAAGATTGCGTGCGTGAATGTGGCAACGCGTAACGAGCCCGTCTAACATAGCACTGCGAGCTGAATTTTGTCCATTTTTGGCTAAATCATGTGTATTTGAGATAACACGCGAAGAACGTGAATCATGTAGATGAAATGATGCCGTCTACTTATAGCTAATTATTTAGGAGCATGTATTTTCATTCTAAAACAATTCCAAAGCTCGTGTTGAGTGTTGACTTTTCCCAGAAAAAAAACAAATGAAGTTCATCTCTCTCTCTCTCTCTCTCTCTCTCTCTCTCTCTCTCTCTCTCTCTCTCTCTCTCTCTCTCTCTCTCTCTCTCTCTCTCTCTCTCTCTCTCTCTCCCACACATTGAATGTTCTTGTATCCTAGCTTAACGATCTTAGTCCGGCCTCTCAAGATTTGTTTTTAACACATCAAACGAATGCTGTATAAGTTTGACTTACTTGTTTTTCATTCTGTCTAACACACTAACCACTTGAAATTTTCTCTACCCCAAACCTCTGACTTCACACGCTTCTTCACTTCTTTCTCACATTTTGTTTTGCTCGGGACAAAATTCGCAAAAATGCAAGTTTTTCAAAAACTTGATTACATTCATAGTTGCTCACTGAAGAATAAATATTTATAGCGCGTAAAGGAGCAGCAACAAAATAATTGCATTTACTGACCCCGAGTCTTCATTTTATCGATGGACTGAACATTGCTATGGGACGTTATTACTTCTTCAATGAGAATTAACCATTTCAATAAAGAATGGTAAAAAAAGAATTGCTTAAACAAACACACGACTGTATATATACTTACAGAGTAAATACTTCAGAAAATAAAGAAAAATAATTTGATAAAGCAGGTGGACGAATTAATTTCTAACCTTCCTTCACGACAGCAGACTCTTCTAAATTTAATCGCTATCAAATTCTTCAATATCATTGTTGGCACCAAGTTTCTCGATCGGATAAGTTAAAGTGTCTGCTAACATGAGTTTATGATCACTAGAGATTGGCTGAGATGAGCTCAACTCCACTTCTTCTTCGTCAATCTCTTTTTCATGCAGCGTGTTGCCTTTCTCTCTATTAAAGTATGAAATATACAACACGATTACGACCACACTCTTGTCGTAAGCAGTCATTATTGTGATCAATCTCTATAAGAGTGAAATGCTTTCTAGCTATGATAAACAGTGAATCTTTAAACTTTTTTCAAGCCTCATTGCCATTACTCTTGACAGTTGTTTAGCACGTAGATACAGTTAAACGTCAAATCAGTGCATGGCGTAGCCAGCCTGCTCATTTGTTCTTATGTAAATTTGTGTTTACTCACTTTAAAAACAATAGATTTTTAATGCTCTCAAATTTACATAGCGGAACCAAAACTTGCGGGCCGGCTTTATAGCAGAACCAAAACTAGCGGACTAGCCACGCTACAGACGTCTATTGACGAGGGTAACTTCTCACATGCAAACACCTCTCTTTAGAAGACACTTCATGTAACCCTTATAGAGTTAGTAGTGCCCATATCACGAATAAAAGTTACACAATAACAAAAATAAAACTTCACACATCAAAATTTGAAAATGTTTTTGACAGGTCATGGTGAATGGAGCTCCTTAATTCGACATTTGCCATTCACGTTGTTAGTCGCTTTAAAATCAATTCCAATTTCAGTATTTAACTGGCAGTTCTTCTTGGAAGAACTCCCAATCTCCTACAGACGAAAATATTGAGAAAAATACTGAAATTTCATTCGATGGTGAACGCTTTGTTTCTCAAAAACTATTCAACCAAACATAAAATGTCGCAAAACTATTAATTGACTTTTTGCTCGGTTTAAAAGTGATGTAGGGAGTCCCAAAAAAACAATATTATCTTAACTTCTTACACGCACACCTCCATTAAACAGAACGCAAAAATTAAGATCTCAATTAAGAAAACAAACTCCTCTAAGCCGAAAGGCACTGTGTTTCATGGATTATAATATAAGTAAGCCGAAAATTGATTTCCTTATCAAACTAGTCGCTCTTCAAACGTTATTTTGCAACGCAAGTCGCAGGCTTACAATAATTTATCCAACCAAAGCTCCTCAAACTGTTGTTTCCAATACCTCATATGTAGATTGTAACACAATGCTATACTTTTCCATTCAAGTAATTTTTGGCAGGGGACGATGGGCAATAAAAATATTAAGGACCGAAAACAGTTTAAGGTGAATTGTTGATTAGTCATTCTTTGTGATTTTGTCATAAAATACTCAAGCGTGCCCAAGTTCCCTACTTTTGTATTTCGGTATTAAAACCTTATCTCTCTCGAGCACACCCATTGGTACAATGTGCTTAGGTCATGTCCAACACGTCGACAACACATACGGACTGAAATCATATGTTTTCAGTGTCTGTGCACGCCGAGCATGCGCAAAAAGCATACTGTTGGAAAATAAATGTGAAAAAATCAAACTCTTATCAAGATATAAAAACTAAGGCACTCCAGGTTTATAAATACAATATTCTGTCAACATCTTTGGTACCAAAATTTTTCGAAATTGCATGATCGTGCAAGTCCCGAGAAGGAGTTTCGTCATCTTTAGAGTACAATAGAAGAATGTTGATCGAGTTAGCCGTTGGCATTGCGGATGCACGAGAATTTACTATTGTTTAATGTATTGAAATCGTTGTGCGTTAACAGGTAATTCTCCTTTTTGACTCTAAAGATGACCATCGCTAAGAAAGGCAAAACGTCAATCGAAAACTACACCAACAGCCCCCTAAAGGCCTGTTCACACGATCCGAATTTGTCGGATCCTAAAAAATGGATCGTGTGAACACATTTAGAGTAAGCCTCCTCCGTCAGTCTAAAATCGAATGAAAACAAAACTTGCTCCATTTTCGTCCGACAAGATCAAAAGAAGCCGACTAGTCAAATTACATAGATTTGAAGACTTGGAAACAAGAACAAAATACGAAAAATGTATCGATAAATTTACTGGATAACACAGATAACTGTTCACACGACTATAAATATCTAAACGAAAATAAACATCAACAATATTATCGGACCGTCTGAACAATCAACCAAATGTTGGAACCGAAACAATCGGACCGTCAAATCGGATCGTGTGAACGGGTGTAAGGCTTCATCACATGATGTATGGACGAACAGCTTCCATTTCACAAAAAAAGGATGACAAAGAATTAAAAAAAAATTACCTTGATTTATAGATTTTGTTGATAAATTTAGAAATTGTTTGTAGATATTCGATTTGTCCTAAAAGAAAAAATGTGTCGTTTATGGCTACATAAATTTTGTTGCTGTACGGCATTCATTGATTGCCGACGAACTTGCAAAAACTTAGATGTAAAATGGCAAAAGTCATTTTAAAAGTTGATATTGTCGAACGACGAAAATCACAAATGTTCAGATACATCAAAAATGTCGGATACCAAACCCCGAAAAAGTTTAGGTAGTCTAAGAGTTCTCAAGAAGGTTTGACAAAATTCTCATTCAATAATTTATCATTCTTAAAATTCTATTAGAAACTCAATCAAGAGAAAAGTAAATCTGGGGCTTTTCATTCCTCTATGTAGTTGACGGTCTTTACTATACAACTGTAGTTGATGGTCTTTACTGTCCTACTGTAGTTGGTGGTCTTTACTGCCCTACTGTAGTTGGTGGTCTTTACTGTCCTACTGTAGTTGGTGGTCTTTACTGTCCTACTGTAGTTGGTAGTCTTTACTGTCCTACTGTAGTTGGTGGTCTTTACTGTCCTACTGTAGTTGGTGGTCTTTACTATCCTACTGTAGTTGGTGGTCTTTACTGCCCTGCTGTAGTTGGTGGTCTTTACTGTCCTACTGTAGTTCGTGGTCTTTACTGTCCTACTGTAGTTCGTGGTCTTTACTGTCCTACTGTAGTTCGTGGTCTTTACTGTCCTACTGTAGTTCGTGGTCTTTACTGTCCTACTGTAGTTGATGATTATCACTGTCTTACTGTAGTTGGTGATGTTTACTGTCCTTATTGTAGTTAGTGATGTTTACTGTCGTACTGTATTTGGTGGTCTTTACTGTCCTGTTGGAGTTGGTGATCTTTACTGTCCTACTGTAGTTGATGATTATCACTGTCTTACTGTAGTTGGTGATGTTTACTGTCCTTACTGTAGTTGGTGATATTTACTGTCCTACTGTAATTGGTGGTCTTTACTGCCTTTTATATTTGCTCCTACTTTCTGCGAGAGTTTTAACAAAAATTTAGACAGAAACTTTAAAAATATTCCTTCCCAACGCAAGCATTATTTTGAACCCAACCCCCAATTCTGACTGCAAAAAAAACACCATGAACATTATCATATCTTTGCTGTGAAAACAGACAGCACCGATTCTCATTGGTGACTAAAATATGATATGTAACAATACTAATTCTGCTTCAGCATGATCAAAGACAAAAGACGATAATGAAACTGTGCATCATACCTGAAGATTGTAAGGGAACGTCACAGATAGCAAGATACGGTATGTGTTCACAATGTATCATTCCAGCATTTTGAGTATGACCTGCGTAAAGGCAAGGTATCAACCATGAAATATAGAGAATGCTGACACAAGCAACAATGTGTTATATAATGTTTGTAAATGTAGATCGTCCAGGTTGGTATAGTCCTGAGAAGGACTGTTTTTGTTGTTGTTGACTAACGTTTCGACAACCTTAGCGGTAGTCATCTTCAGAGTCAAACAACAACAAAAACAGTCCATCTCAGGACTATACCAACCTGGACGATCTACATTTACAAACATGTAACGATACTCCCGGGTTCAAACCATTTACTTTAATGTATTATATAAATTTTAACAACGTCTCACGTCTCACCAATATATATATTGTCAACAGAGTGGAAATATTAAATTAAAATGATAGCCAAACATGACCAAAATACTCCTTTTTAAAATTTGATTTTATGTAACATTAAACACTTCAAGTCAACAGAAAGTCTGTAGTCTATAAATCGTTACCGAAGATCTATAAAACGTTACCGGAAAAGATTTTCTAGCTGAACAGAATTCAAACGAGACAAAAGTTGATATTACACAATTTTCCAATTGGGAATTGTAAAGATTGCACGAGCCAACTCAACTTTACATTAAAAATTTACGCGGCATAACTTTGCACATTGATGGAAAGGTGGATCAGGCACTTTATTTTCACCAGAGGAAATCCAACTTAAGTTTCCCAATGCCTTTACATCTGGCAACTTTAAAAAACCTAGAAAGTTTTGATTACCTTTGAAAAGAGCAGTTGCAGTCCGTATGTTGCTTCGTGACTGCTTGAAGACATGCCACCACTCGGGTTTGTGTAATGGTCGCCATACATTTTTTGATTTCTTCATTGCTTGATGACAGTTGTAAAACATCATCCCTCTTATGCCAACCGTTGAAGTATAAGAACATAACGTTGAGCGATGCTTAAACAAAAGAAATAAAAAAAAACAACTACAGATTTGTATCTAAAGATAGCATTCGGAGGCTTCGGAAGCTTTTAAAAGTTGTGGATGTTCCAAACTCACTATGTCATGACGCACGAAAGTTAGCTGAACTAGTTACGGAACTGCTTGATATTAGTTATTGCAAATTGTTTTTTAAGAGCATCGTGTCAATGCAAAAGGTCTGTTCACAAAGATTTGTAAACCTGTAAAATCATTTATGTCATAAACGTTCAAGAAAAAGCTAAATTTCAGGGTGTCCTTTCTTAAAGGGACACGGACACTCGAAAATTGTGAGCGTCCGGACATCCAGATAACCATGGCGTCCCATGGCCCTGGATAGCACACATAACTTGTTGATGTTAAAACGCGGACAGTCAACAAAAAGTGCATGTATGGGAAATTTGTGCCCGTCTTCTCCCATTAATGCACTGCTATGAACATAGGCGTACGGGAGCTATCATTTCTGGGAGGAGGCAGTAAATAATTCCCCAACTAACAAAGAAGGTTCACCCGTCTATTCACCCGACAATCTTTAAAAATTTGTCTAACTTTTCAGACTTTAAACTTTCTCAGAAGCGTACCCAGCCCGCTAATTTGGTCGTGCTATGTAAATTTAAGACCATTATCATTATTCATTTCTTTAGAAATCTATTGTTTTACAGTGAGTGAAAAATTTACATAGCACGACCAAACTTGCGGGCTGGCTACGCTCCTGAACTTTCTTGGGGAGGGGGCAGCATGGATATGAAGGCCAGATTTCGGTGAATATCAGCGGGAAAGGGTCAGAAGTTAATAAAAACACAATAGTTATTACCATCCATTCAGCAGTTATATGATCAGCATCACTGAAATTTTCAGATACTTTGCTCTATATAATCATAAAAAAATACACCATAAAGATCGTGAAACCACCGAACGTACATCATTGTTATACAAGGTATATGAAAAAAAAACAGGCACTCAATGAGTGCGTAAGGATTTGCTTTTTTGTGAATGACATTTACAAAATACCAGTATTGTTTTTATAATGCAATAAAAATGGAAAAAAAGAAAACACCATATTAAATTTCTGCCATGTATTCCAAAATTTAACCGAAAACTTTGAAAATTCATGATTATGTTGAACATATATATTGTTGAGATAACAACACGCTGCCACTGCTTGTTTTCCATGCTTCTAACTTTTTATTAAACTTTCTATGTTACACATCGGTATCGTATCGAAAACATCTGACTTTTGCTCACGTCCTTTTTTCTTCACTATTGTATAAAACATTGGTATGAACTGATTTTATTCAAGTCTCCAAACAAACATTGTTCGCAAAAAAATTAGGTATGGTATAAAAAAAGTGGAAACACAATATCTTTAAGTAGTACAATGCTCCGTTCCTAGTCGTTTTTTGCTAACGCAAGCAAATCCTTAAAAAAGTGAACAATTAGAAGAGAACTGAAGTAGATACACATGGATGATATGAATAAGTATGACTCTTAGAAACTATTCAATGTAACATCAGAATACCAGTATTGGAGGTATTTTAGCCTTAAATATTCTTTAGAAATTTCAAGCGAACAGCATCATTAAAATTGTACCTTGGATTTAAAATCAAATCAACCTCTACAATATATTTTGACAAACCTTAGATCCGCCACTGGTCAACGCAATTGTAATTAGCACGTGGAGAGCAAAAACTCGTTAACTTACCACATAATCAATGTCCTCAAAAAAATCAAGAAAATTTTGATGCAGGTACAAATTTAGATTTTCTTCAGACATATGACATTTGTCGAATATATTCTACAAAATCACAAAAAAGGGGAATGGAATGTATCATAAACGTGAATATATATCAATGCAGGAATCACTCGATGTACATTTGAGTGTTAATGAGTCCCCTTCATTCCAGGGATATTGTTGTTTATAAATATTAAATACCCAAGATACATCTTGCCAGATCTTGGCTAACACAGATAAACAATGCAAGTGTCATACGTAAAACATTGTTGCAACAATTGCTAAAACTTTACCTCTGGATTTTCAATAAGTGGTAGTCTTTCATGGTTTTTTAGATGTCCAGGAAGAGACGATTCGACTAAATTAATGCTTTCTTCTCCTGCAAGAAATGCATACAAAACTTCGTAACTTTTAGTAAGATCTCTATTCTCGATCTCTCCATACCAAACTACAAACTAATGCAAAACTTCGCAACTCCAAGTAAGATCTCCATTCTCTATCTCTCCACACCAAACTACAAACTGATGCAAAACTTCGCAACTTCTAGTAAGATATCTATTCTCTATCTCTCCACACCAAACTACAAACTGATGCAAAACTGCGTAACTTCTAGTAAGATCTCTATTCTTAATCTCTCCACACTAAACTACAAACTGATGCAAAACTGCGTAACTTCTAGTAACATCTCTATTCTTACTCTCTCCACACTTAACTACAAACTGATGCAAAACTTCGTAACTTTAAGTAAGATCTCTATTCTTAATCTCTCTACACTAAACTACAAACTGATGCAAAACTTTCTAACTTTTAGTAAAATCTCCATTCTTAATCGCTTTATTTGTAATTAAAAACATCACATACTTTTGCAGTACAGGACTTTACCCAGAACTCTGAATAAAAAAAGCGAAGAGTCCTTTTCTCCGATAGTTTTTTCGGAAATACTACGAAAGTTGGTCGACTCTTCGGGCAACGATTTGACAAATTGTGTACGAGCTAATTTCGACTGCTTTAAATGTTTCCGCTTTTGGTAGGACATTTTACAACCTTTGAGACACGCAAACTGCAAATTATTGATCAGTGCTCGTACATCACCATTGCATCCTGAAACTAATTCATCAATAGCTTCTTTCGAAGGAGTTTGGAATGATGTATTATTCTAACAGAAACAAATTGAATAATTAAAATTCATGCTGAGAAACACCATGGGAAGCTGTTAGGTTACCATCAAATAAAAATGATACGCATAATTGTCATAATTACCCATATTTAGCTTGTTAATTAGCTTTATAAAAAAACAATTATCTTTGGCCTTACACAAAGTTGCATGAACGCAGTATTGCGATGTATACCTTTTTGGTTTCTGTAGCTATGATTTCTTTTGCAACCTTGTTCAAGCTGGTGACCGAAATTGCATTGAAACTAAGAAACAGAGACAACAACCATTAAGTACTACCATAAGCATATTAAAGGCAAAGAAACATGACAAAAAAAACTATTAGATTATGAAATATGTCGAGGTAAAGTAGTAATGAAGTATGTCAGTTGATAGCAATTTATACTGCGAAGTCAAGAAAGTTAAGGTATTTCTAAACGCAAAGTTTAGGTTCATATCTAATGTAGATCATCCATGTTGGTAGAGTCTTGAGAAGGGCTGTTCGTGTTGGTGTTGACTGTCGTTTGACAACCTCCGCGTTAGTCATCTTCAGAGTCACGAGTCATTGGTCAGCACTGTACCAACAAGGACGATCTACACCTGCAAACATGTAACGATACTCCCGGGTTCAAACCATTCACTTCATTCATATATAAACAAGAAACAATTTTGTACAACAAGAAAAACCGTTAATCTCCAGAGGTTTATTAATCCCTGAATAAATTTACTCATCCAGACAAAATGCAACTGTTCAAAATGAACAAGTATCGACAGATATAGCCCCGGAGTAAGGAAAAAAACCCACTCTCAGACTGAACGAGATACATGACTATTTTTCCCAATGATACAAAGTAGTCTGGATGCAGCAGAAATTCAATTTTCGAGAATGGAATTCTAGCGGTCTAAAATATTCTTAGCCATGCGCAGTTTTTTCTAACACTGCACCACAGAATTCCACTACAAAAGTAATGTCGCCATAACAATAATCACTTTCACCGACCTGATCTGCGAGATACCAAATTGTTGAATAACGTCTTTCGGAAACAGACGGTAAGCATTCGTATCATTACTGTTACAATCAGAAACGATGAACACGACGGGGTTTCTGCTGCTCTCCTTGTAAGATCTAGTTTGAGAAAATAGCTGGGGGATAGTTGGAAGCGGGGAACGGGGTTTAGGCAGGCTGTAGCTATTCCAAAAAATTACTAAAAATGTGGAAAAACATATAAAATGCCTCATTTACTCCCGCAAATCCTTTGAAAGGTAAGTTACAAATTGTAATCTTTCCCATCCCAATCTTAATTTGCTTGCAACGGCATTCCTTTTCTCATTAATTTTGCTAGTTCAAACTATGAACAGAAAGCCGATTTCCTTTATGAAATAAAGTTTATCACGGTTTCAGATTTTGTTTCAGTTAGTGACGTAGCCAACCCGAAAATTGTTCATACTATGTAAATATTACAGTGTTCACTCATTATGAAAACAAAAGACTACATGTTTGTAAATGTCGCTCGTCCAGGTTGGTGTAGTCCTGAGAAGGACTGGGGGGTTTTTGACTCATTTTGACTCTGAAGATGAGTACCGCTAAGGTTGTCGAAACGTCAGTCAACAACAACAAAAACAGTCCTTCTCAGGACTACACCAACTTGGACGATCGACATTTACAAACATGTAACGATACTCCCGGGTTCAAACCATTTACTTTAAAACAAAAGACTTGTAAAGAAATGAATGATGATAATGAAATGAAATTGACATAGCATGAACAGAACCGTAGGATGACTACGCTACTGGAGTCAGTTACAGTGACATAGCATGAACAGAACCGTAGGATGACTACGCTACTGGAGTCAGTTACAGTGACATAGCATGAACAGAACTGCAAGATGACTACGCTACTGGAGTCAGTTATAATGACATAGCATGAACAGAACCACAGGATGACTACGCTACTGGAGTCAATAACAGTGACATAGCATGAACAGAACCACAGGATGACTACGCTACTGGAGTCAGTTACGGTGACATAACATGAACAGAGCTGCAAGATGACTACGCTACTGGAGTCAGCTACAGTGACATAGCATGAACAGAACCACAGGATGACTACGCTACTGGAGTCAGTTACAGTGACATAGCATGAACAGAACTGCAAGATGACTACGCTACTGGAGTCAGTTACAGTGACATAAAATGAACAGAACTTCAAGATGACTACGCTACTGGAGTCAGTTACAGTGACATAGCATGAACAGAACCACAGGATGACTACGCTACTGGAGTCAGTTACAGTGACATAGCATGAACAGAACTGCAAGATGACTACGCTACTGGAGTCAGTTATAGTGACATAGCATGAACAGAACCGCAGGATGACTACGCTACTGGAGTCAGTTACAGTGACATAGCATGAACAGAACCACAGGATGACTACGCTACTGGAGTCAGTTACAGTGACATAACATGAACAGAACCACAGGATGACTACGCTACTGGAGTCAGTTACGGTGACATAACATGAACAGAACTGCAAGATGACTACGCTACTGGAGTCAGTTACACTGACATAGCATGAACAGAACCACAGGATGACTAAGGCACTGGAGTCAGTTACAGTGACATAACATGAACAGAACTGCAAGATGACTACGCTACTGGAGTCAGTTACAGTGACATAGCATGAACACAACCACAGGATGACTACGCTACTGGAATCAGTTACAGTGACATAGCATGAACAGAACTGCAAGATGACTACGCTACTGGAGTCAGTTATAGTGACATAGCATGAACAGAACGGCAGGATGACTACGCTACTGGAGTCAGTTACAGTGACATAGCATGAACAGAACCACAGGATGACTACGCTACTGGAGTCAGTTACAGTGACATAACATGAACAGAACCACAGGATGACTACGCTACTGGAGTCAGTCACAGCATGAACAGAACCGCAGGATGACTACGCTACTGGAGTCAGTTACAGTGACATAACATGAACAGAACCACAGGATGACTACGCTACTGGAGTCAGTTACGGTGACATAGCATGAACAGAACTGCAAGATGACTACGCTACTGGAGTCAGTTACACTGACATAGCATGAACAGAACCACAGGATGACTAAGGCACTGGAGTCAGTTACAGTGACATAACATGAACAGAACTGCAAGATGACTACGCTACTGGAGTCAGTTACAGTGACATAGCATGAACACAACCACAGGATGACTACGCTACTGGAGTCAGTTACAGTGACATAGCATGAGCAGAACTGCAAGATGACTACGCTACTGGAGTCAGTTACAGTGACATAGCATGAACAGAACCACAGGATGACTACGCTACTGGAGTCAGTTACAGTGACATAGCATGAACAGAACCACAGGATGACTACGCTACTGGAGTCAGTTACAGTGACATAACATGAACAGAACTGCAAGATGACTACGCTACTGGAGTCAGTTATAGTGACATAGTATGAACAGAACCGCAGGATGACTACGCTACTGGAGTCAGTCACAGTGACATAGCATGAACAGAACCGCAGGATGACTACGCTACTGGAGTCAGTTACAGTGACATAACATGAACAGAACCACAGGATGACTACGCTACTGGAGTCAGTTACGGTGACATAGCATGAACAGAACTGCAAGATGACTACGCTACTGGAGTCAGTTACACTGACATAGCATGAACAGAACCCCAGGATGACTAAGGCACTGGAGTCAGTTACAGTGACATAACATGAACAGAACTGCAAGATGACTACGCTACTGGAGTCAGTTACAGTGACATAGCATGAACAGAACTGCAAGATGACTACGCTACTGGAGTCAGTTACAGTGACATAGCATGAACACAACCACAGGATGACTACGCTACTGGAGTCAGTTACAGTGACATAACATGAGCAGAACTGCATGATTACTACGCTACTGGAGTCTGTTACAGTGACATAGCATGAACAGAACCACAGGATGACTACGCTACTGGAGTCAGTTACAATGACAACATATTTACCTAACAATATCATGCAACTCCGTTGACCGTCTATAAAATACGTTCGGGATTTCCTATAATGAGAGAATAAGTATGTTTATCAATAAATAAAAAAAGCAAGAGGGCTTCCTGTTATCTATTAACCATTTTGATGTCCATAAGTGACGTCAAAACCATTGAGTTTAATTCGTGGTTCTATTAACTTGTTTGGCTTCAGCCGACATCTAGAACCGTGATTGTGAAAGCCCCTATAGTTATATTGAACTCAATGGTCAATGCCTATGATAGCTTTTCTTATTCATACTATTACGTCATGACCACGTGAATGTCGAATAAAGCCACGAGAGAAAAAATATACACGTCATAAAAAAATGACGTGATGTAAAGAATTACCAGTATCAGTTTGTCGTCATCAACCTTATATATACACGTCATAAAACAATAAAACACTCGGTTGTCACGTGATGTAAAGAATTACCAGTATCAGTTTGTCGTCATCAACCTTAGTCATTGACTTCGGGTAAATAACAACAAACTTCAACTTAAATAAAGCTTCAGTCTCAACTTAAGTAGAAAATGGGCAAACTTTCGCTCCATAATTTGCTCAACATCAATAAAAAAAGGTTGAAGGTAAAATACATAAAACGGTAAAAACATAAAAATATGATCATTTATAAAACAAAAGAAATAAAACACGAGCGGTGGTTGGTCAATATCTGTGTTTGCATTAGCTTGTACAAACCGATATAAGCTCAACCAATTAAACTAATCAATTAAGGAGAATTTTCAAATCAATCTTGAATAGATTTTAAAGGAAAAGTTAAAACTTTTGTTTTACATTTATCAGTTTCCCATCATTGTATTTTACAAAAGAAATAAAAGATGTTTTTCGTGTTTGCACTGGCTTATGCAAACCTCAGAGACGTTTGTGAGAGCTCTCGAGCATGTGCAACTCTCGACCTTCGGTCTCGGGCTTGCACTGATCTGCTTATGATGCTTGACATAATACTAGTAGATTGGTATGGCTGCGAAAGAAGGGTACATTTCTATTACAAGCTCTCGGGCTTGCACTGATCAGATCTCGAGTTCTCCCAAAGGTCTCCTTGGTTTGTGCAAGCCTGTGCAAACACAGTAAACATCTTTTATTTAATGACAAACATACGTAATTTTCGTGTGCTAAAACAACTATATTGATTTACCTCAACAACAACAATCTTTTTGTGTTGCTCGTCTTTACAGCCTCCCAAAGACAAGCATGGGTACTTATTCGCCCTCAAAAAAAACTCTTGGAAGTTTCTCAAGTGAGATTGACGATGGATCATCTCTTTTTGACTCATCCAATCATCATCATCATCTACAGGCGTGACGTCAAATGGTTGAAAATTCGCAGCAAACATTTAGTGGTAAGATCTTACAATTTTTTTCATTTTTTGCAGTGACCACTACATCATGTAAATTTTTTCTCAGAACAGCGATTTCATATCATTTTTTTTTTCAATGATCACGATTTCATGCCATTATTTGTTCGTACCAAAATTTCATACTTATTGGCAGTATATACACATTGGCAGTATAATGGTATGGCTGTGAAAGAATGATACATGCGAAAATGTGTTTTTGCTTCTAGATTTCAATTACATAACTGTGGATAATTGGTATGTCTGTCGGCCATCGTAGATTTCTTCAATGTTTGCTTGAATAAACTATTAATCGAAATTATGAAAACGACCCTGTGCAAATTTTACATACCATTGTCGTTATATTGCACTTCAGGGCTGATCCATTCTTGTATCTGGAAGTTCATTTTCTTAGCAAGTACTCGCAATGTGGCTGTCTTCCCACAACCAGGTGGGCCAGTTAACAATAATACACCACTTTTGGTCTGTGTAAATAAATATTCTCGGACTAATGTATAACATACTTTGCTCAAAAAATCAAAGGAATAGAGAGGGGTATTGGGGATCTTCAATGGACACACAAGCGCCCAAAAAATCTGGAAATATCCGTAAGGAAATTTGACTTTCGCTTCTAAAATGTCACACTTCATTCGGTCATTATATCTAACTCGTTATTTGTGCTGCAGTGGGTTTCTTTAATCAACTAGACATCTACATACGTATCAGGCATTCACTCGGGTCTCTCGAGAATAGTGTTTGGTTATATTTGCTTGTTATAATACTTGCCAAACAGAAGATTCCGCAAATGGAGATGAAATGTGGACTCCACAAATATGGGGATGAAACGCAGAACTGGGCAAAAAATGATAAGGAGCCAAAAAATCCTAAAACAGCAAATCATTGTGGAAGATTCCAATAAAACAGCAGGCAAAAACCTTTTAGTCAACTGCATAGCAAATATTTTCTAAATATATATCAGTTAAGTTTTTGTTTTGTTATAGTTTTATCCGTGACACAATAACTAAATCATACGGAGAACTTGCAACGACATCACCGATGCTTCAAGGCATGTGTGCAATGGTAACACGAGCGAACTAGCTGTGGAAGGAATTGTAATTATTAATTATCAATCCATTAGCTGTGGGTAGTTGAATGTTGGGAAAGACAGGTACATGCATGTTTCTGAATATAGAATCTCGGATGTCAACATTGCTGTAGATAGATACTTGGCTAAAATATTTTGTGCCTCCTTGCAATGTTAGTTATGCTTGGCAGCGTTGGACTTATGCAGGTAAATTATAAAGGTATAATTACCACGGTTAACTGTTAGTCGGACTCGTGTTTCGACTTGAAATGCTGACTTGGGGAGATTTCCAAATTATCTTCGTGAATGACAATTTGTTTTCCCCTGTTCTTTGTCATCGTGTGTCGTAGTAAGGAGGAAATGAACGCAGGATCATTTCATAAATTGCACAGAACACAACGCTTGATTTGAAAAGAGCAAATACCATGGTGAATGGTCAAATTTATATTTAAATGAGAGCGTTGACACCTGATGAGTATTCTACCGAAATGCATAGTGTCTTTCATCTTTAAAAAAGTTCTTCTAAAATTCTTGTAGAATTTTTGGGTTAGTGTTAAAGCCAATTTTATTGACTTTGGAAATTGCAAAGGTTATGGAATGATGCATCTTGGACAATTTACATCTTGAACTTGCCAGCTAATTTATTGGAATCACCAACATTAACTTGTTATCCTAACCATTTTTCGGCTCAATTTCACGTTTCATCCTCATTCGCAGAATCCGCGTTTTACCCCCATTTGCGAAATCCGCTCCCGCCATTTTCCGCGTTCTGGTTCCGCGTTTTATTCCTACCTCAATATATTATGTCAACTATGTTTTATTTAAGGTGCCACTCACATGGATGACTACTCTAAGCATTCATTGGTCAGTGGACGTAAAATAAAAAACAATCATTGGCCAGTGGACGTAAAATAATAAACAATCATTGGTCAGTGGACGTAAAATAATAAACAATCATTGGTCAGTGGACGTAAAATAATAAACAATCATTGGCCAGTGGACGTAAAATAATAAACAATCATTGGCTTGTGGACGTAAAATAAAACAATCATTGGCCAGTGGACGTAAAATAATAAACAATCATTGGCAAGTGGACGTAAAATAATAAACAATCAATGGCCAGTGGACGTAAAATAATAAACAAGCATTGGCTTGTGGACGTAAAATAATAAACAATCTTAGGCAAGTGGACGTAAAGTAAGAAGCATTTGTTGGATGAAGTTGAGCATGGTATCAAGAATTATTCAGACCGAGGTTATTGTTTCATGCCGAAGATTCGCTTCGGCATATAACTTAGACCGAGGTCTGAATATTCTTGACATCATGCGAAAAACGAATTCAATAATTGTTTTATTATCCAATTCAACAAACTGAAATATTCTTAAACACATTAATGTAAAACATTTTTAAAACCTGTTCTTCTGCTTCGAATGTGTCGTAAATATGCTCAAAGCCAGCTTCGCCGCTTTTTAAGTGTCATCCTTTTTTTCAAAAGCTTTCATATCGTTTTAAGAAACTGTGGCAAATATTGCCATTATTTATCAAAAATTATTTGCAGGTATAGTAGACCAATTAAAACCGACATTGTTTATACAGTGAATAATAATGGATGAATACGTACATGTGGAGATAAATGCGAACGCAGCCAGTCTCTGACTTCAGACACCTTTTTCTTATGTACGGCTAGGTTAACCTAAAATTATCAAAAGAATCAAAATAGTCTGATTAAAAAAGATTAGGAATAGGAAGACGAATAAGGTTAGTGAAAAGTGCTTCAAAGCATTAATTTGCACATACCTCTGTGGAAGGAGAATATTTTGTACACCACAAATCATGGCTATCCAAATATTTTTGCTCTTCCAATTTTTCCCATTTACCGGCACTTTCATTTTTACCTTAGAAGAATATTTACGTAAGTGACCTCAAGAGTGTGTCAACAAAACTGTGGGGGGAGGAGAGGGGAGGGAGGATTCACAATGCAACAAAATTAACCATGCATGCAGTTCGGGATGCAGCCACCAGAACTGCATGGTTATCGACGGACTTCTGCCGATGATGTTTTTGAAACAAAAGAAAACGAAAAGACAGAAAACTTCGACGGGCAATGATAAAAACACATCAATGAGATCAGTTGCACATTAAACAAGTTTGTTTTTACACTCGAATCTCTTTTCTTCATCTCCTTATTGCTTATTCTCAATTTTAAATGCTCAAGAAAACTCTTGACAAGCAAACGTAAGCATGCGAAACTATTGAAAACATGTTTGTAGATGCGAATTGTTCATGACAGTACAGTTCTGAAAAATCGCGTACAATTTTATGATGTAAAAATATGTCGACTCTGACATTTATTTCTCGCTCGACTCTTATACCGCTACGGTTTACAAACGTAAGTTCACACCAATACAAACAGACTACACTAATCTTGACGATCTATAAGTAAGTGAGAATACTTCCGGGTTCGAACCATTTACTATTGAAAAAAATGTAGTTCCGCAAATGCAGTACATTATCAAACAGCATTTTTTCCCTGCAGACTTCCTACGTACGCCAGAGTTTTTCAAACAAAAATTTAGCCGAAATTAGAGTGCATGAAGTGAATGTTCATGAAACTTTGCATATTTATTGACAAACATGCCACCCTTGATCCTGTAAAATTCCACAAATAAGCGGCTTATAACGAAGAAGATAATTGGGCTCGTCTATGCGTTACTCTGGTTGTACACAGAAGACAATCAACATTAAAGCAATCAAAAACTCACAAAAAGGTGCTTATTAAATGAAAGTTACATATACTTTTTTAAGGCTTAAAACAAAATTCAGATATTAACAAGCACTTCAACTTCAAAAATCATGTTCGTGTGTGAACTTTATTGGTCGTCATGTTGACTGATATGACGTCATAACGACTATGGACGTCGCCAAGCTAATAATAGAGTGATTTAGCAAACACGACGTTTCGTCTAAAACGTCGTCAAATTTTCGCGAGGGATCTGGGTCTAGGACGCAACCACGTCGTAAAGTATTTACGAGTTAGCAAACCTTTTGTAGGACTTCGTCAAATGATAGTATGAAACAATTTTCATCCATTTCGGCATTTTTCCTGCTGAATCGTGTTTTCCGATAATTTTAAACTAATTTTTTCATATCAAAAATAAACTGTAGTATATTCATTTCAATAAAATTATAAATAAAAGCAAAATCATCGACATACGGCTTTGTGACTTAAATTGTTTTGACTCCGTGGAAGCCCCCGAAATTAGAGTGGGCCTCGCGTTGTTTATTTGTTTGTTTTTGTTCGCTTTAGGAAACAAAATATTCGCAGTTTTTTCTTAAATGAATATATGTAGGCCTATGTAATCTTTTAACATGCAAATATCAAGGATATTTCCTTATTTTTTGTCTAAAAATTAAGTTTGTTTCAGCCGTCGTTGATACGACGTCAAATTGTATGTTTTCACGTCGTCGTCGTCAACACGACTGCCGTCGTAGATTGAACCGAAAGTAAAAGGCGCATGCCACGCCATTTTCACGGCGTCTTAGACGAAACGTCGTGTTTGCTAAATCACTCTAATAGTTTGTGTTGCGATGTTTAGAATGTGTACTTGTTATGACGTCAATTTGGCAAACATGGTTGGCCACCAAGTAAGTTTTCACATGTAGAGTGAAAAATCGCCACTTTTGACGGTTATGAAAAAATCGATGTCAAAAGATCAAGCACAAAATGATTTTGAGAGCAAGTACTTTTGATTAAAGCAATAAAAAGGGTATGAAAATTTCACATCATTAAGTCTTTAAACACACTTTTTGTACGAGGAAGTCTCGTTGACATATCATTCGTATTTGCTGTGAAAGCATCACCATTCAAGTCGTGAAAGGATGAAACCATCCACATGTCTTTCTACAAAAAAGTTTAGTAATCAAAGAAAAGTTCAGTAGTCAAAGAAAAGTTCAGTAATCAACACAAATGGGCATCCAAATGTCTTTCTACAAAAAAAGTTAAGTAATCAAAGAAAAGTTCAGTAATCAACATGAATGGCAACGAAAATATTTTAAGAAATGCACAAAATGAACAATTTCTATGTTAACATACTTTCTTACGATGAATAGTCGATTTGGCAGATGCCTTTGCCTCTTTTGTTGCCATGGAAGCTGAAAGATATCAAAAAAACCTTCACAAACTGGAGTGGAAAAAAGATTTTTCAAAACAAACTATTGAAATAAAACCCTACAACTCGAACTCTAGTGAGAAACAAAAATTTTTTTGAGTTAGCAGAGGTTCGATTTAGCGAGTTTGTAGTTCGATTTCGTATATCAGATCAATACAAAACCATTAGAAGTTTTACTGCTCATTTAAATTTTTATCTACAACAACGCAATTTAGAGATATTTCAAGTGTGATTAAATACTCTAAAAAAGCAAACTTTATATAACTGCAAACTGCATGGCCAGAGCTATATATCAGTGATAACAAATTTGTAAGGCTATTGAGGCAAATTCATAATGAACATTCGTAAAAATACACTGCGTGCATAATTTGTTAGTTTACAATTGTTTTGAATGGAGTTTACGCTTTCCACTTGTTGAATTTAAGCCCTTGAGGCTTACTGTTTAGCTTTTCGAGATTGAAGTTCAAAATTATCAAGAGAAATTAAAATTCCTTCGAGTTATCGGAGAGTTTGAGTTAAGCGAGGTCGACAAATTTTATCAGCTGACTATTTTTTAGTTAAAAGTTACATGTTAAATGCATGTTTAAAATGCCATAAAATGTGCTTTGAGTAAAATCTGCATCCAGCAACCAGCCTTTTTTTATGTACAATACTGGCATGAGATAAATTATGCATGTGTACAAGGTCTTGAACTCTAGATCAAGGTCATATTCATAATTCATTTCGACATTTGTATAGTTTTTAGAAAAATAACCTTTCAAAAACATCAAAACAGAAATTATTATAAAATTTTTGGAACCACACAGCTCTAGACTAATTTGTTTACTTTGAAAAAAATGCCACTAAATCATGCTGTAGGATTGTTCTAAACTAAAAGCTTTGCTGAAATTACTTGCAAGTTGGTTGTGTTAATTGCAAGTCCATTTATGATACATTTGTGTCAAAAAAGCCACTGAACAGAACGGATAGTCGGTAAGTATGAGGCTAACAAATACAAGTACTCATCATAATTACCATCCCAAGATCTTTTTTTCTTGCCAAGACTGAAATAAAGACACAACAAGTAAACTCAAAAGTACTTGCTTAAAAAGTGCTTATGCTAATCAACAATAACATGCACAAGCTGACAGGTATCTATCTTGTTCTTCACTCCACTTAATTGTTATCTTAGTATAACATCATCTAGCATTGTTTTCCTGTTTTAAATTGCTTCCAAAAAAAGTAGATTCTGCATAGTCAGAACTTCTTTGATCATTTTAATGTACAAAGCATTGCATCACACATTAGTCTATTCACATTGCAATTACTTGGTAAATACTTCAGCAGCTATATATGAAAACCAAGGTAATGTCATGAAATAATAATAAAAAGCTTAACCTCTCATGAGCTACATAAACAATCTCAGCTTTAATTAATGAATCAATTTATTCTTCAAATAATTTGTACACCAACCTAGCACAGGCAGAGTTAACTTGCATGGTCGATTCAAACTCTTTGGGAAACTTTAACGCTGACTTTTTCTTTAAACTCTGTAAAGCACATAGCAGAAATTTCATTGAAGGTAAACAACAATATTTGCAATGATACCACTAGGAATAGAGGAACAATTGTGTTGTGAGGGAGGGAAAGGAAGTGTTGAGTGAGGAAAACTACCACAAGTAATCTATTTCTTTTGTGTTGCAGTTCTTTAATTAACTCTTAAGCAGAAATTTCACTTTCTTAAAGAGTGAGCATATCTGAAATGGCCAGCCAATAATTTTGCATTCAAGTTGAAATTTAGATGAACAAAAGCTCCTGATGCGTGCAAGCTTTAAGGCAGGCGATTAGTAGTACTGATTGAACATTACTAACTAGGTCACTTTGATGGAATGTGAAGTGGATCTTTCAAAGTGTTTCATCTTTTGCCAAAGACCTTGACAGAAATTTTCAATTTTGTAAAAAGAAATGCTCAACAAGTTGCAATAAAAAACAGGCCTTATAGAAAAAATGTTTATCGAACTCTTTCGCTGTCTTTGAGACTTGATGAATCATGAATCTCATTGAGATTGAGTCTTGAAAGGAGAAAAAAGCATATAAACAAAAATTCATTTTTAGAGAATATTTACGTTTTCCATAGCTTTACTTGAATAATAATCTTGAACGTTCATATGTTGAGACAACATACCATGAAAATATTCTTGTTTGTCATTCAATTATCAATATCACAGATATCGTGTATAAAGTATGTTTATAGCGACCATCTTTAATTATTGTTCGATACGTCATGTAGTACATTATAAGCTGGAAAAGCAGAGAAAAAGCCAAAGCGATTGGATTTATTCACTGATCCACTGATCTCACGAAGAATGACTTGTCGTAGAGGAGGCAGTGAACTAAAATAATCTATATACCACCCATAATCTTCTACTACTTTTGTGAACACTTGCATATTAGCTTTGAATTTATAATATAAATGGAACATTGAGTTCTATAAGAATTCAACTCAAGAGTATGAGAATACTGGATTTTCATAGATCATGTTGCTTGCAGTTAGTTATTACTTCTATGGCTTAGCCTTCCAGTACCCCAACTCCGTGGACCCTTGCACCAGAAAGAAACATTATGTACATTAAAGAGTAAAAAGTTATGTTAGAAGATGACGGAAATCTTCAGATATTTTTAATTAACTATAGTTTTTTGAGCTTTAAGACATGTAGTACGGTCATATTTAATTCCACCAAGTAAATTTGCTTATATTGTTAATATTTACAACAATAGATGACGCATGTCATCTTGAATCTTTGACATATTTCGGATTGGAAAGATATTGCAGAACTACGACAATATGGGATTATGTGTTTTATTAAATATTCATGAGATATCCATTAGATGTGGTCATACCTATTTAAAAAATATGCATAAGCAGAGGGGCAGCGTGCCATTACACAAACAATTGGTAATTTGGTATATTTAAGTCAGTGAGGATAACCTTAACACATGTCACTTGTCTCCGTTACAGTATCATCATGCAAAAATCGACAGCCGACATTGTTTTGCTGAGAAAACAAAAAGTCAGTCCATTGACTGAAAGCCCTCCCTCCCCTCCCCCCCTCAAACAGTTAAGCTTATAATGAGCGTCCTAGACTTATAGCTTCACGGTAAAAGTACCAAGACCGAATGAAAGGGTCATAGAGCCTCACTATAACTATACCTCAAACATTTTGTGATATAATGAGTTTTCTTCGCCCATTCGTCCGCCCTGTTGATTATTATATGAAATTGAGCTACGCGTGAAATAAGTGCTGTAGTGCTCACGCTAATATTCCCAGGCGGAAAAAGAGTACATGAACCAAACATGATATTTGTCGCTTGAAAAACAAACCCGAAAACAATGGACAAATTAATTAACGTCTTTAGTTTTTAGTAATCTTGTCAGAGGCCGCGCAAGCTCAATTATTAGGGGGGGAAATCAATTGTGGTTATGGATTAACAAAGATTAAAACAAACGAATGAATAATTATTCCCCCCCCCCTCAATTATCAATCTCGCGCGGCCCCTGCTAGTGGACCTATAATTAAGAGAATTACAAGTCACAAAAAAGTTGCCACCTTTTCAATTATGTGCATGCAAACAGCACGGGGCGCATGCGCCAATCTCATTCATTTTCAGGTGGCAACGATCCAAACCAATGAAACTATGGCTCCTAATTTGTTTGTCCTTTTTTAGGCAATATATCATTCAGCTAGTCTAGACAGTCTCTAAATATTTCTTCATAAACATCCTTGCATTGCAAGTTTTTCAATAGTGCTTTCTCCCAGCCAAAGATTCTACAATTTCAAACCCTTGCATGAAACTATATGATCAAACTAAAAATCGTATCATACTACGGCAAAGCAATGATAATTATTACAAAACATTATCTCTCAAACTTGATAGAGTTTTTATTTCCCACCATGTCAAAACAAAGGTTTGCTAAGAAACACATTTAATCTCCATCCTTATTTTCCATTTGCTTCGTTCGGGTTAATGGGTACAAGTATTTGATAAAAAGGTTATCGCACACTACTCGGGGTGATGTTTTATCTTACTCATGACGATATCATAATTGCCCCTCGTTCACGGCGTATCAGCAGGACCTTAATAGTAGTTATGTTAAGATGCCGAGGTCATCCTCGTGATTTAAATAAATACGTAAAAAGACCTTTATGATATTATCAGCATTTTTCATATCGGGCAACAACATTAATAGCGATAAGATAATCTCATTCCTCAAGTAGCATAACCTCTCGATAGTGCAACTTCTTCTCCAAGCCGAACAGCAAAGGGATGTATTTCCGTTAACTTACTTCCGGTTGTATTGAATCATTGTATAAAATATATATTAGGTATTTAAGTGTCATATTCGCAAGACTTCTTTTATATTGCCGTTGGCCCTGAGAACGTACTCATGACCTAGTTAACCCTCGTTGACTTTAAAAACCATCCGCTGGAGTCAAAAGCGTCATATTTTCTCCCTTAACGTTTGGATTTGGACAACGCGCATTTTAATCAGCAAGGGAAGACGTCCTGTTGGTTGAACAATTCAATTATAGGCAGCCGAAGTTTTACTTTAAACAAACTTTCACCATGAACATGGAGATATCGAAAGCATTATCATTATTGACTTGTAAGTTTTTTACTTATTTACTCGTTTATGATGGTGAATGGCTTACGACTTAAAATGATAAATATTATTTGCGCTTTTTGAGCCGAAATTCATTCATTTCTATTTGCCACACGGTGCTCATGTCTTGACGTATATCGCTTGATCCACAGGGGCTAGATTTGGGCATTATCTATGGACAATCTACATCAATGCAGGAAGGTCGTTATTTACGATTTTTATCAGTATATTCATCTAGACATTTGTGTACTAAAATTTAAAGGGACAAACAAAGGCGACTTGAGGAACAGCCATTAGCATAAACACGGCTACATAAAATTACGGCAATTGTTTTCAATATTTTTATATTTCTTTCTAAGACAATCGTGTAAATATTTGCATGCGCCTCCTGTCGTTTCCCTATATTACAAATAGGTGTCTAGGGTATATACTGGCAAAAAACGATAAAACGTTTAACTGTATGATGCATAATGCACGCATCATGATCATATTTTTGCTTAAATACTAATGTGATACGTGTGAATAACTGATGTCGAGAAAAAATGCATTGTGACGCGTCATATACACAGGTTTAAACTTTAATTATACACACAAAGAGACAAACGCGATCGTGCAAGACAAACGCAGATGGAGAGAGCTTGGATCTATGATACAAAGCAGGAAAATTTTGTATGATAGTATGATTAGCATAACTGATGTAAGAGGAAGATGTAAAGTAAGAGAATTTGAGGAAACCGACAAAGCGTTCCGGCTCTGAGAGACTTACGCTAATAAACTTTTTCATTTTCTCTGATTTAAAGAAGCATACGACTTCCTTCCACTGTCTACCATTACCCGCTGACTGCTGAGAAAGTAGCTTGGAGATTAGATGTTGAACATATACGTAATATGGACTTTGCACGTCGATTGTCAGTTTTTCGTAAAATCACTGGCTCAAATCGAAACAACAGACAACAACTGGATTGCTATTCATTTGAAATAAGCTGAATATTTTTGAGCATTGAAGGAAATCAGTAAAACCCAAACACTTTTATGTGACAGATAGCTATTGTTCAGATCAGTTTAAGGTGTTTCGTGTTTCGCCACAAACAAGCAATATGTAGCATAAAGACGACTTTGGATGGAAGAAGACTAATCTCAAAACCAATATTTACAAAATGAACGTTTGACATTTTTTATTGGACAGGGACAGACTACCGCTAAATGTTTATATATTAATCTTGAGGCACGATTGCACTCATCAACAGCGGAAGGGGAAAGTGTATTCGGTAATTACTGCAATTGTAGACGGAATTCATACCTTTGTCCTTATTTTGTTTTTATAATAGAAACCGAAACATCAAAATAAGGGAAAACAAGATTTCATGCATTTATTACGGCTTAATTTTACCTTTTTCGTGGCTAACAAAGTCAATGAATGCGCTAACCCGTAATTACCATAGCATCTTCATTCTCCCAGTCAATGACCTGAATCCAGTGAGCCAATATTAAAGGACAAAGATTTAGGGTTATATGATACAGTGATCCCACATCAGTGTATGTATGGGGTCATCCGGTCCTATGGTTTTTATTTTGAAATGTTGTAGAAAATGAAACAACACAGACAGAAACTTGAAAAATATGCAACTAGGCAAATTTTCTTGAAAACCGGTAATTACAGAAATTCAGACACTTTCTAAGTTGAAAATGTATTGAAGGGTAAACGGTTGTATAAATGGAATGAAATATGACAATAATACAAGCTGCTCGCCTATTTTATTATTCTCGTGGTTTACAACTTTGAATGGTTTCAATCCACTGCTATTACTTCAATCGATTTTAAGACGTTACAACAGTAGCAACTTTCAAACTAACCGGAGAATCATTCTCACACATGGTAGCGTCAACCTTTGCTCAGGTTTGAAGGCATTCAAAAAAGATTTTATCAGTAGATGTTTTTCAAGTGTTACTCTTGTATGATGCACTTCATCTATTGAGTCCATTATTATTATTATTGATACAAAATCATAAGATCCGTGGGTATGAATGGGTTAACTTAGCTATAACTTGGGGTCATGGCCAAGTGCGAATCATTATCGAAACAACTCAGGACAAACGTTTATGTATATATCAGCGTTAAATCCTGTATATTCTCCCTTTTTATTATTAGCACACTGTTTGTGACTTGTGATGATATTTCAAAGGTCGCTGTGCGGCAGGAAGCATCCGTGCCATGCTCATGGCAATATCACCAATACAAACAATCAAACGAACAAATTGATATTATAGCTTCAACTATATAGTTTACTCAACATTGTTCAAAGTCCCTTAGACTGTATATAAATATACGAGAAATCAATTATCCAATTTTATCTTTATGATCGTATCCTTAATTACTGTTTGGTCATTCATCTCCTCGATAAACAGATGAGCGATGATTGAAAACGCGACTCGTTTGAGCACGCTTAAACGACTGCACCCTTCCTTGCGAGAAAAATATCGGATTAATTAATCGAGTATTATCGTGTGTAATTTAGCTTATTAATTTAATAAGAACTCAAGTCCACTTAACTTCATCTCGAAAAGGTTCTACGTCCGACATTTTCCCACAAAGCATTTCTCGGTGTAAAAATAACGAATTCTAGCTGACTAGCTCGTATGGTAGGACGTTGGTTTAACTAAATGTATATGTAATGGTCTACGGTGACTTTTGGTCTGAATCCCCATATGATAAAACGTGCACTAGCTGACGAAGCAATTTCAAATTCAAAAATTTTGCACGATTGTTTTGTTTGTCGAGATACTTGTTTATAATGAAAACATGTTACACAGCCAGGAATCAGGATGTGAGAAAAAATTATTAGTTACGATTGAAGTTAAGAATGATCCCTGCATATGAGCCATAGCTATTTATTCTCTTTAACGATCACAAATTATTTGGCTAATCTAACGAAGTAGAATTCAAATGCATTTTTTTACTGGAATGAGAAATTTTCTTTGTAATGAAAATATTGACTATGGGCCAAATACGAGTGGCGCCTCGTAATTTTACCCAATTAGCAGTTTTCAACAGCAAATCAACTTTGACTGGACGTCTATAGTTCATTTCAAGCTCGAAGAAAATCGTCTGTGTTCGTGTTAGTCGATCTGAAACTATAAATTTGTGCTTCGAATACATTATGGATTGTGCTTTAAAACCCTTGATGTAAAAAGGGCCGGTGTTTGATATTTTAATGGGTATTTCAAACGAAAATATTTGAAATCAGTTCCCCAAGATGAAACGAAAGGAAAAAGTTATCAAAACATGACGACAAGGCATCTTGACGAAAACTTAATGAAATAAAAATGTTAACAAATAATGCTGCGTAATCATATTTTTCCCGTTGGTGAAAGTTCATGTTCGTGCTTGTTATTAAAAGTCCAAGTACACAGTCACTATTATAATGTGCGTGTGAAATTGAACCTTTGTGCAGTGGTGCAGTAGCAGTATAACATTCTTTTCATTAGCAGGATGTCTGAAATGATGAACAACTAGACGGGCTGACAAATCTTATTGTTTTTTCTACCCTTGATGCGGTAGACTTTGCGATGTTGCACATGAACGCTTTCAAACTTATATCAACAAGCCATAAATGGCCATTTTGTGTAGGGTTAAGTGTTTGTTCCTTCATGGAACATTAGAGAAGATGGGAGCGGAATTGATTGCTGCAAAAACAATAACAATCGTCGAGCCCGACTTTATTGTTGATTTCTTGAAAGATTTATTTAATTTTAGCATCGTTTTAATGCAAACAAATGCGACTGCTCGCTATCCATTTACAAATTGATATTTTATGAATATTGTAACTTCCGTTAGAGTTCCATTATGTTGAGATAGACATGACCACTAACATGCACTGACATGGAGTTCTTTTTCATAATCAACTTCCAGTTGTTGATTTATGATGTATGAGGATAAAAGGATTGTCTCGAGTTTTCAAAAGTCATAATCGAATCGCCAATCCTTCCTTGTTCATGAGTTGATCCCAAAAAGCTCGAATCTATTCTACGATTATACGTAATCGTCTACATTTCTGTTAATTTTGTTACATCATGTGATGATGGATGGTAAATTCTGTAGATATTTTCCCTGTCAACTGCACAGCTTCTGCCTTCTTCCAACAATTCTCCTTCTGCCAATTCACATTATTTTAATTCTATAGATGATGGTATCGTGATATTTGCGCGGTACATTTAAACAGCAGACAAAGTTTATTGTTTCATCTTTTGAAACCATAAGTGCAGGAAACTCGTGATGTTTTGTTGTACGTTAATTTTTCACTTAAAGAATACCATATATGTGCTGTTAATGAAACATATTTAGAACTGATTCATAATCTACATTTGCGTTCTCACGGTTTTCCTTTAAGCGCTTTGAGCTGTTGATGTGGACTACAGCAATTCGGTCTCATCGGTTTTATGAGATTTTTTCATTGGGCATGCCAACCCAGATTAAGGCGTACGTTTTTTATGGTTTAGGACCCTTGTGACAAATTATGGGATGGAAAAAAATTTCAATTTCAGCAGAAAATTGTTTGTGGAATTTAGTTGCCTGCAAAGATGTTTAAAATATTTACAACCCCAAGTTGTGAACGTTCAAGTACCGCGAGATATTACATCCCAAGTTAAATTTTATTCAACATGCAAAGCTGTGAAAGTATTATCGAACGAAACAGGTCAAAACCTGCAATCTGAGCTTACAATAATTCACACCAAAATGAATATACGCTTATAGATCAACATGTAGGTGTTAATCACACAGCAGGATTTTACACGTTACAAAGTGGTCTGATTTACTGCATGTAATAAAATTAAAACAGAACACTTCTAGAGCAGTCGATAATACCTCGACATCACTCAACATTTAAAGTGTTATTAGAACTTTTCCCGTTGCTTTTGCAGTCTTAGCGAGTGAAATATGCTTTCGCATGTATACGGAGTTTTGTTCCAATCTCCCGTTTCTACCTTTTGTATATTTATTTTCAAAAACCTATCTGTCACAAGGCATACATAAGAATTTTTGAGTTAAGAGGTTTCATGTGTCAAATATTTGCTAATTATAAACGAGTATTGATAGATTGGATAATTGTGCGGGAGCAATACTTCCAGTGATTTTAATTGGTATGATAGGTATGTTCAACCAGTAGACATGCTTGCATTCATACAATTCAGTCGACTTAAGGACCAATATGCTCTCGTACACTTTGCTTTTCCTTAAAACAAATTGTCTAAATAAGTTTTCCAATGAATCTGCTGGTTAGTTGTCTCGTCTAACGCTTGTCTTCTTTAAGGCAATTTGAAAGTGTTATGAAATGCGATGAACTAACTTTTGACGTGAACTCTTGAGACTTGATGACGATAGGTTGCAGAAATCTCAATAACTACTTTGCGCATGTCCTAAATAGAGATACAATGTCTTGCAAACTTCGTCTTTCAAGATTATCGATCCGGGAAGAGATGCTTCGATCTCTAAACGTCTCAGTTTGGTTTGTTTAGAGAAAGAGACGTCTTTCATATCTGCAAGAGTTTTTTCAGCCCTAAGCCATGATAAAGATTGGGGAAACATACGTCATATAACTGACGTAGAAACAGCACAGCTTAATTTTATCATCTAGACATTTATGTTAAAACGAGAGTGTGTTCACATATAAGTTAATCTAGCCATCAGCGTATGTTGTAAGCTCATCATAGATTGGAAGCTGCATCCTCATGAACATATGATTTCGCTAAGCTTGTCATTGATTGATGCATGCATGACGTTGTAGCTTTTTCTGTTCTAAACTTAATCACATTCTTTAGATTTTCTATTGGTACACTACTCAAATGGAAACCAACAACGGTAAGAAATACATTTTTACTCATGAAAATTTCACAATCATATTACACTTAATTTTTGATAATTTAGAAGTATTTTTAAGTTTTCATAAATGTAAAGAGAGACGGAAAATATTAGGCGAGGAACACCGCTCCCTACTCACCCGTCATTTTTAATTCAAAATAAAGTGAAAAGTTCAGTGCGTGGTATCGTAGCTTCGTGAATTCACTCATGTTTCTTTGTCGCTCTCCTAATATACATTTTCAATTCAAAAGTCACCAACGCAGATACACGTTATGCCAATAAGGAGCACTTTTATCGCCTTTTGCAGCAGAATGTATTGATGTGTTTTCCCATTCTTTCTCGTCGCCTCTATTTTGTATCTCGTGCATAGACGTTTTGAGTCACCATTATGAACGACAAATAAGACCTTAATTCACTACCACCAAAACTATGAAAAAGCTACACTTGTTGCATAAGTCATACGCTTTTTTTCACTAGTCTAAAATAACAATTTTTTTTGTTTTTTTTTACTTTTAGACGAGGAAAAGGTAACCATGATTTAATTTACACGAGTATAATTTTAAAAACTTGAAGTAGCACAAGCGCAAATTATGTTAATTTCTTTGATTTCATTTTTGAAGGTTGTACAAAATTCTTGACTTTACCCAGAGGTGTCATATCCTCTCCAAACTATGGGAAAACCTACCCGGGAAATCTCGCATGCAAATGGACTATAAATGCCACGATCGACAAAAGAATAAAATTGGCATTCGACGACTTTGTTGTGGAGAAGAGCAGAAACTGTCGATCAGATTACTTATTGTTATACGATGGTATCGACAAGAACTCGCGGCTAGTAGGACGGTACTGTTCTGCAAAACCCGTGCCGTTCATTTCATCATCAAATTCTATTCACTTGGAGTTTTACTCAGACGTGTCTCTTGGATACCGTGGTTTTATGGCACGTTACATTACCATAGAACCACCAACAGGTATTACACCATGTAATTTGTTGGACGATCGATGATGTAATGTTTATAAATCAACGATGATATGACATTGCTTTAGAAGAACCTACAACGTGGAAAAGCCGTCCAAAATTCAAAGATGTCGTTTTGAACGTGACATGCATCGCGGGCGATAGAGTGAAATTGCGTTGTGAGGTGGATGGCACGCCTGAACCGACAATCACGTGGGCTAAAAACACCAAGAGAATCGTGCAAGATAGTGAAACTATAATTCGAAATGGCTCCTATATGTCCGAGTTGATATTGAAAAAGACCAAGAAAAGTGATCAAGGAACATACAGCTGCATAGTTTCAAATGGTTTTGGGCCATCCATTGAAGCAAGCGGAGTGGTTCTGGTTGAGAAAAGAAGTAAGGAGGCTACGACATTCTTCCCTATGACATTTGTTTTTTAATTATGTTGAAGCAACCTTCGTGTATTTTTAACCTTTTAATAAGCCTTTTTATACATAGTATGTTAGAATGACTAAGGTATTTCAATTCTTGCAAGAGGAACAGTTGATTATCTTTTCTTTACTGTCCTCGGCTCGAAGTTCATATATGATTTTCACTCGAAAGAGACATAAGCTGCCTGTTTCAGATACATCATGTACTGTACTGGTATTAAACATCCAATATTCTATGTATAATTTTATTTATAGAGTTACCTCTCATCACGTACACGACAAACAATCAGACGATTTCAATTGGCGATGAACTCGAGTTATTTTGCAAAGCCAATGGAGAGACACCATTGAATATGTCGTAAGTATATAAAATGACTGTATTATTTGATGATATTTCATCATAGGAAAACGTTAGATTCATCACCCACAATATAAAGTACACAAAATTATTGACGCCAACCTAAAGTCCTGTCACTCAGCATGTTGCTTGGAGAACCGAATCTGTTGGCATGATATTATTTGCAATTCTTATATAATAGGCATTGATCTTTTTTTAGGTTTTTGCAAAATCACATACCGCTCAAAACAAGAACTTGTGCTCCAAATGGCGAATGTCAATTACAGCTTACTAAAATGTTTGTGGAAGATACGATGATTACTTGCAAATCCTGGAATTACAAGGGACAAATGACGAGGAATATTATTATCAAAGTTAGAGGTAAGTCAACATTCGTTAGCAGACTTATCGAGGTTGGTAACACCGCAAGAGTTTTATAGCGATAATTGATTGATTTAGAGTGCGGTGGCGAAGCCAGCCGGCAAGTTTTGGTTCTGCTATGTAAATTTCAGAACGCTATCATTATTCAATTCTTTAAAAATCTGTTGTTTTCACAGTGAGTGAAAAACATCAAAATTTTCATTGCTTGACTAAATTCGCAGGATGGCTACGCCAGTGATAGAAAGGAATAAAAGCAAATATAAATTTTATTTTCGGTCAAAAGAATTTTTTCCTCGAAGCAAGAATTATAAAAAAATCCATTTTGAAACAATAACAGGCCATTCTGCCTCATATAATTTGATTCATGAAATGTGAGTGGCATTTCTCACCCTTTAGGGCCTCCAATAATAATAAACGCCCCGACCAATCAGACCGTAAGGCAAGGTGATGCTGTCAATCTGACGTGCGAAGCTGCAGGGAAAAATGTAAAAATAAGGTAACAGCATATATACATAAGGTACTCACAAGATTACATTGATGTATATAGTTAAAGAATTTCAGTTATAATTATTTTCTATGGTAATTTACTCGCATGTATGAAATGAAATTTTTTTATTATAATTATTTATCATATTGATACGCCATTTTGTAGTTGGCTCAAAGACAACGAGACAATATCGGAAAGTTTTGTCACAAGAGAGGGTCGCTCCATCTTGTCAGTAAAACTGTCTGTAATACACAACTCAACACTAACGTGTTTGGTGGAAGGAAAAGACGGAGATGCATCACAAAACATCCAAGTTTCAATTGTGAAAGGTAACTGTTTGGGATTTCCTCCCTTGTTTCGCCCAAAAATTCATAATTCACAATAAGTTTAAACTGCATCACAAATCACAAATGACTTTAGATATGCTGACGTAAGACAAGTTTACTACAATGTAAGCACAGGTTCGCCCGATAATCCTAACGTTCTTTTGTTAGATGTTCTGATGTATTCTAATGTTTTCTAATGTGCTTATTCTAGGTTACATTGGTCTTATTTATACAAAATGAATAGAAAATTATTACATATTTATGACGAAATTATTAAGATAAAATTTGTTAACTCATCTAGTTTTTAAGTTCCTCCTGCGCCTTTAGCTGTTGTTGCCGAATCACTTCCATGACGTAGGTTTGAACATCCCAGATGATGATGCATTTTTGTTTCCCAATTTCTATTCTAACAAACGGCTAAACTACAATATGATTATTTGAATTTATTTCATCCAAGCTTACGACGGTAACTGGCATTTTATGTGAGCAAAGGAAGTTTATTGTTGAACTCATTCATATTCCAGTCGATGAACGAAGAGTGATTTCAAGTTTCAACTTTCAACGCTAATAAAACCTTAACAATTAATAGGAAGACGGTTGACGAAAGTCACTATTGGCCTTTTTTGTAGAAACGAAGGGACCAATCAGAAGACCAATCAAAAGAAAGGCGCTAAGGTTTTCAAACATAGCTATTCCTAGGAGTCGAACAATTCCTTATGGATCCACCTTGGAGGTTCTTTGTTATGCAATAGGGTATCCATTTCCGAACATCAGGTAATTGCTATTTTGATGGGATTTTGAAAGTCTTAACGTCATGCTCAATCATTAAATGTGCATTTGAAGGCCTTTGAAGGCCTTTATTCATCGGTGTAATGTTAGATTTTAATACGAATAAATCATATTCACTTTTTTTGTCGAAAAGACAACATGGTTCTCCTACATGAAGTTTTGTCATTTTGTGTAGCTTCTGCGTCCTCTCAAAATTTCTATTTTCTGTGGAGCCCTTGTCATTTTCTATTTCATGATTCCATTTCTCATTTTGTAGTTGGATATTGAATGATACAAAAATTGACTCCGAAAGAAGTTTGTTCGCTAATGGTACTTCCAAATTTAAAATTTCTTCACTGAATAAAACTGTGGTGGTTACTTGCGTAGCACGTAATGTTCATGAATCAATCCAGTCGACCGCAATCTTTACAGTTGAAATTGAATCAGGTCAGTGTTAAAATAGAATCACGTTTTGTTGGTTGATCGTTGAAACAGTTTATAGAAGCAACGATTTACCAAGTTATTACTTTAGGAAGTTGCATTGTTTGTACCTTTAACTGAAGTCACAAATCAAAAAAATGACTTAACTGAAGTTAGTCGTTGAGCATTATAAAGTCTACTTTTCATGGAACTTGTTAACAAGCAACAATTGACTCAGAAAGTTAACCATCCACTACTTAACTATCGACTATCAGTCTCTACATGCTGCTGACAACCATCAATCGATTTATGCAAATGCATGGCATAACCAGTACAACAATAATCTACAACTGACGCTTATTCTTAAGAGGAATTTTAGTACTCTAAACAGTCGACAACAACACAACTGCACCTCTCTACAAAAGCTCTTAACCACATTTGATTGTTACCTAGCTAGCATTAGCAAGTATAGAAGGCTAGCCATTGCTACACAACTCACCTCATTATGTGTTTTGCGAGCAGTTTTAAGAATAACCGTTTGTATTTAATAGTTTGTAGCGCATACTCGTGACGTATGTGCAATGAATTGTGGGTAAATTCTAACAATGCGGCAAATATGAACTTGTACTAAAAGCAATGTTTTATTTTCCATGTCAGTAACCAGAGTGCCAAACAAAACATTGGAATCAACGAATGAAAACATGAAAGTGATTTTGGGGGCAGGAGTTGGCGTTTTGGTGCTGACAGTACTTATCGTTCTGTTCATTTTCTACCGAAGAAAATACAGAAAAAAGAAAGTAGAAAAAGAAAGCCAAGCAACAGGAGCAGCAGCGGGTCATTCACAACGAGAAGATCAAAGACTCATTCCAAATCCAGTATTCACCGAAGATAAAAAAGAACCGATGGATGAGACGCCCGGTGTTGAAATGCTAGATTATCCTAGGGATTCCATTCAATATACTGAAATTTTGGAAAATGGTACGGTGAAATGATTCATTTATTGAAATCATTATCATGCATTGAAGGACTGTCCTATTTGGTGAATGACAGTGTATGACTTTATGTCGTCCGTTCAACCGGCATAATTCGGGGATGGAGAGGATAAATATGACGTCAGTTTTTTTAATTACTTTCCTCGGGGGGTTGTCCAATACTTGTTTAGCAGTATAAGCAGTTCAGACCATTATGCGGTTGTTTGTGTCTAATAATTCATGTATTCTTTTGCGTTACGTAGTTTTGAGGTTTCTTTATCATTGTAGTATAACATATTATAAAAATACATAATCTGGATTTATCATAGATTCACAGATTGAGATGTTTCTTGGACGTGCCAAGGATCTACCATTTTCTCCTGGCGAATTCAACGTTGTAGTACGAGAGTTGAAGGATACCGAGCCATCGGATGAGATAAAAGACGATTTTGATGTGGAAGCTTCATTACTTGCGAACCTCGTTCATCCTAATGTCGTTCGTTTGATGGCAGTATGCATAAAGACTCCGCCACTTTGCTTGGTATTTGAACATTCAAGTTGCGGTTACTTGGACGAATATTTACAAGAATGTGAACAAAGAGACCTGACTTTTCCGAAAAAACCGCGTGCACAAATGGAATTTTTCACGGAGCTTACCAGCGTTGATAGATTATTGATAGCGAAACAAATTGCTTCTGGTATGAAGTATCTCTCTGACAAAGGTTACGTACATCAAGAATTGCGGACGCGTAATTGCCTTGTATTCAAAGACCTACAAGTCAAGGTTGCAAACCTTGGTCTACGTTGGGCCACACCTGATCAAAACTTTTTCATCATGAAGAACGAAGAGAAACGACGTTTCCCTGTGCGATGGTTGCCTCCAGAGGTCGTACTATATGGCGAATACAGTCCTTCCGCGGATGTATGGTCGTACGGTGTTCTTGTTTGGGAGATATTCTCGAATGCTCAATTACCGTACGCGGGTATTGATGACAAAGACGTCATGAGCTACGTACGAGGCAATAATATTTTGCCAAGACCAAAACTTAGTCCGCATGAAGTTTACGAAGTAATGAAGTCTTGCTGGGAAATTACACCATTGCAGAGACCTAATTTTAAGTCCCTTCATGACACAATGACTGCACTGCATGCAGGGATACGTGTTTAACTGATTTCTCGGTTACCGTAATTTGTATGATACTGCTTGTACAGACCTTTTTTTAAGCCATCATGCTCTTTATTATTTCGTTTAATGATAGAAATGAACTCGAGTGAGCATTTTATTAACACGTGTCAAACTTTAATTTGATCGTCGGTTCATAAAACTTGATCAAGAAAGTGGCACGTTCGGGTTATTTTCTCCAAGCTCTGCATTCATATTTTTGATGATAACTATTGCTGAGATGCCAAGATACATATCTATTACAGGAAGATGATTTAAGGCGACTTTTAAAGAAGGAATACTCGTGAAAACCTCTAGCTCTTACATGCTACTTACACGTCCATAATTGTGGACGGAAGGCCTTGATTAAATTTTCCCTTTTCTCGCTTTGGAGCAGTACATTGAAAGAAATCGATTTGATCAAGCAGAAATACATAAATTCAAGATAAGCTTCGTTGAAAATAAGTTTTTTTGTTGTCTAAGCTGGCAAAAATGGCGTTACTTGTGAGCGTAATTTCACACTAGGTGAAGTACAACACGTGAAGTACAACATGTCCTATTGTGATGTAGCGTGAAGAAATTTTTATTAAGAAAGTTTTTTGATTTTAAAATCAAAAAATGGTGGAATTTCTTTAAGGACTTGCATCCTTGTGTAAAAAGATTAAATTTTGGAAAACTATTTCTGCACAGTTCTTCTGAACTGTTTTCGAGACGACTTTATTGGGTAACGAATTCAGAGCTAAATAAAACAACAGGAGCACTTTCTATGTTCAACTATACGGATAACCAAAAGTTTGGAAACATAATGCTTAGCTGCAAACATTAACAATATAGCTATTTGAGTTAAATCCAATAACATTGTGCAATGGACCTTTCTCTTTCTCTCAGGTTTTAAGTTTCATTTGTGTAAATTGTAAAATTGTCTAAGTAATTGCTGCGCATGGTTATCGATTACCCGCAATTGTGGAATTAAAGGCTGAACAACGGATGTAAACATAAGAAAAATTAATGTCACTTTTCTGCCAAGTAAAAATAGACGCAATAACCAAAGTAAGAGCAAACTGATATATTGCTCAGTCTTTTTTGGGTAGTATTGGAAAATATGAAATCTTGATCGAAATCATGAATGGTTGTCATGAATGACGACTGAATGCGCAGATCCTACCTCATAAAGTATTGGAGTTACGGCAATGATTATTCGAATGAGCTCGACGAGAGCTTTTGAAATGAACAAGAGATCATCGCCGTAGCCACATTACTTTAAGAGATAGCAATGCCATAGGCAGTGCTGGGTATTTGTTCATAACCTCCCCCTCCCAAAAAAAATTCTCGTCAAAATAAAAAATAACAGGACTTTGTTAAAAACAAAAAGCCGCATAAAACTATCCAAAGTTGCCACTATTGTATGTGATGCATGGAGTTCTCCATTTTAAATAATTGTATGAGTTTACGTACATATCGGAAGCTGCAGGTTCATCACCAGCGTTAGAGACGAAGTACATTCCCGGGACTTGATTGTCAGGAATGTACTCTCGGATGAAAATAGTTTTCAACTGAGAGTATAACTTGCTCTAGAAGGACAGGGAAGAGAAAGGTCAATGGAACAGATTCACAACTAATTTATGAGCCACACATTTAAAGCCAAACTAGATGTGAAAAAGAAGAAAAGGTATTTATTTGTTAGTCTGAAATGGAGAAATACTACTTCGATGAGAAGTTTGTATACTCCTCTGAATAGGATTTGATCGGAAATTCGCCCGTGCAAAAAGTAGCAATGTCATGATGTTTAAATGACGTTTCGTAAAAAATTCGTGATAACCCAAACTTACTTCGCAATCCATGTATGGAAGACTAAATTTCAAGTTGCAACACAATGAAGAATATATCTAGAAAAATAATGTTTAATATATATTTTACAATATACGACATACTGTCGAGAAATCAAACAAAACAATTACGTAGCTAAATACGTAAAATTACGGTAACATGCACATCAAGGGAATATGGGGAGTGTGACAGGCTGACAGCCCCAGCTTTTGTGAAACATGTATAAAAAGTAGTGACAGAGCACAAAATAAGTTGTTTCGCATAAAAATTGTTGGTTTTTCTTTCGAAATACACTACTAAAGTCAGTCCTTGAACGTAGAGCCCCCCTAAAGCTTTTACTAGATCGCTGCGTTGTTATACAGTCAGTCCCTGAACGTAGAACTAAGGGCTCCAAGAGCTTTTACTGGATTCGCGCCTTTGTTACAACTAGAACAATGTTTCGGAGTAATTGCGGAGATAAAAATACTGTATTTGTAAAACTACACGCCACTCATTTGTATGTGATTATAGAATGATGGTAGCCAGTAAGTGGATTTTTCTGACCAACAGGACCGCTGAGCTAACGAGTAATCTAATTCAAAAATAAACTGCAAAATGGAAGTAAGATTACAGATAGTTTCCTATACTGTGGTACTACCAATGAGCGTGTTTCACTTGAATTGCCTATAAACTTACTCTTCGTGATTTATCACACACATATAAATCTATTAACCTTCTCCTCTTCAATTACCCATAAATCTGTCATATATATATAAACAACATGTATCATTAAGATATACATACGTAGAGAAGTAAAATCTCATCTTTCCACACGTTCGACAATGATGAATGTCGTTTTACTACAGCATGGTTGCCTCGGGATCTTTTTTTATCACAGGGACGTTTACTGACGTATTTCTCAAGTTTAATATCCACTTGCTAGACTGCTGTTACATCGTTAATTCTACAGAGCCAGACACGAGTAAATCTTTTGCCCTAAAGCTCAAAATTACCAAACAATTTGCCTCACAATTTATGCCGTCGAGTGGTAACAGAAATCGTCTTTCCCTCGCGTTAGAAACTTTCTTGTCACCAACTTAGGAAAACCAGTGATGAACTATCAATAACTACAGGAAAAATTAAACTACAACATGTATTTGCCAAGCAAATTCAAACGCAGGTCACTGAACCATTTCAAAAACAGAATTCACATTTAAATAGCTCGATGAATTTTTCATTTCATCACTGACCATAAACAATCTACGCTTCAAACACTATCGATATTGTTGTCAATATTCAAATAGATGAGCTGAAAATTTGATAAAATCATTGTCAAACGAAGAGTCTAATGCATTGATTATTCCCTCCGCAACCATGTTATTACAAAGTAAACGCATGTTTTAAACGCATATTAGTGATTCAATATTCTCTTAAGCCTCGAGAGGTTTAGCGGACTTTTACTATACCTCCCTCGGACTGCGCCCTCGGACTTTTACTAAACCTCCCTACAGCTGCGACTTCGGACTTTTACTATATTTGGAGGATATTTAATCACATAGAATATCTCTGAAGGCATGTGTTTACTTATAATAAATATATTCCATTCGTTGTCTTTCCAGCTATTAAGCACAAAAATATTTCCATTATAGGAGTAAAAAAGGAGCTGGGTTTGCTATTAATGTATATCTGCTTTCAATTCGACCTTCAGAATGTACAGACACATTTTATAGCAAAAGGGTGTATAAAAAAAGGAAAATCGGCAGATCGTAAAAATTTAAATACCTGATTTTTATGCTAAGCCCAAGGTTACATTATTGTAAAGATTTTTCTGCTAGAAGTTATAACTTTTTTCTCGATATAACTATATATATTTCACGATACTATACACATTCATAGGCTTAGCATAATGATGAGGTGCTGAAGCTATGACAATACGATAGTTTTTCTTAATTTCCTTAATTTTATAATTTTTGGTGCTTTCACAAACATAAATCTGTACAGAATACCGTCAAACCTCACTAATGAAACAAGGGAGCACGAAGCAGGGGTGTGGCTAACCAATAAAACAAGGGAACACGAAGCTGGGGTGTGGCTCACCAATAAAACAAGGGAACACGAAGCTGGGGTGTGGCTCACCAATAAAACAAGGGAACACGAAGCTGGGGTGTGGCTCACCAATAAAACAAGGGAACACGAAGCTGGGGTGTGGCTCACCAATAAAACAAGGGAACACGAAGCTGGGGTGTGGCTCACCAATAAAACAAGGGAACACGAAGCTGGGGTGTGGCTCACCAATAAAACAAGGGAACACGAAGCTGGGGTGTGGCTCACCAATAAAACAAGGGAACACGAAGCATGGGTGTGGCTCACCAATAAAACAAGGGAACACGAAGATGGGGTGTGGCTCACCAATAAAACAAGGGAACACGAAGCAGGGGTGTGGCTCACCAATAATACAAGGGAACACGAAGCAGGGTTGTGGCTCACCAATAAAACATGGAAACACGAAGCAGAGGTGTGGTTCACCAATAAAACAAGGGAACACGAAGCAGGGTTGTGGCTCACCAATAATACAAGGGATCACGAAGCAGGGTTGTGGCTTACCAATAAAACAAGGGAACACGAAGCAGGGGTGTGGCTCACCAATAAAACAAGGGAACACGAAGCAGGGTTGTGGGACACCAATAAACAGGGGAACCCGAAGCAGGGGTGAGGCTCACCAATAAAAAGGGGAATACGAAGCAGGGGTGTTGTAAATAGTGACACCTCAAGCTTTTATGATATATGAACAGAAAGTCGTTCCAGAAACTGATGGACGACGAAAAAAATAGGTTCAACTAAAATTGTGTAATTATTTAAACAATCAATGCACTGCAAAAGTTGGTTCGAGAACGAAGAGCCCCCATATTTTTTTTTGAGGGGGGGGGAAGGGTGTGTTTCTGCCAATAAAGGTATTAGATGAATGTTATTGCCTACTGATTATAATTTTACGCTTGGGAATGAACAAGAGGTGACTGGTTACAAAAAGTGTTTTATACACCTACAACAAGAAACTATAGAAGAGAAGAGTGTTCACAAGTTTTTCTGACAAGGAGCAGTCTAACAAAATTATACACATAAATACACAAAAATAAACATGCACCCCCCGATATTACACACTTATAACACATGAATCCATTGACATTATACACATAAATATACATGTATCCAGATTGTATCTGCTAAAGTATTGTAGTTACGGCGATGATCTTTTGAAAGAGCTCGACGATCATAAAATCACGAATGGTTATTTGTTTGTATTTTTGGTAATTGTGAACATACTGCTGTTACAATTTAAATGCTGTTCATGAATAAACACATATCAAACAGACGTTGTCACCATCCTTGAAATGACAGGGACGCCATGGTTCATCCACTTCTCTCGTTCACCTAGCTTAGCATTTCAACGACACTGAACAGGAACTCCATCGAGGACGGAGAATTGCTTGACGGATTAACGGCATTATGAATGGCTGGTATTAGTTCGTTGTCCAAGTCTGTCGACATTTCTTTATCTAAAGGCGAACCTTGGGAACCAATCATGTAACCAACCTTTAAATTTATAGGTTAACTAACAGTTAAACATATTGTGATAGCGCAGACTAGAGAAAGAATATAGTAACCCATTTATGCAAGGATGGGATTCAGGATAACTTTGAGGGTTAGGTGATTTAACATACACTATATTTCGGTGGATACTTCGTGGATGTTTCCGTGTATAGTTTAATCCTTTTGGCTAATTTTCTTTTCCTTTCATAGTTATACCATGATTGGTTGAAATTTTCAGAAAGTGTGCTCCATTGACTACAAATCTCAAGGGTTGGGAACCCCTCTACAGCACTACAGTCCAGGGAAATCCAGCCCTGCATTTTATGTACGTATGGTAAAATGGAAATTTTTCTAGACAGGATTAAATGCAATGGCGTAGCCAGCCCGAAAATTTGGTTCCCCTATGTTAATTATTCTGTGTTGATTATTTGGTCCTGCCATGTTAATTATTCTGTGTTCACTCACTGTAAAAACAACAGATTTCTAAAGAAATGAATAATGTTAATGATCTAAAATTTGCATAGCAGGACCAAAATGTGCGGGCTGGCTACCCCACTGATTAAATGAAAGAATTTCAACCCGCTCTTACCGTATCTGGTCCAAGATTAACACGTAACCCGATGCGATGTTTCCCCATGCGATAGAGATCAGCAAGGTATGGTTGCAAAGCTGAGGAGCAAGCTTTTGCAATATCTGCAGTAACCTCTTTAAACTCGACGGTGATGTTACAGGATGTTCTTTCGCCAAAAAATAGCTCAGTCCAGCGAAGTCTGAAGATATTGGGCGTGGAAAAGTCGAAGTGTGTGTTTATCTTTATATCCGATGTAGAGCCAAGAACGATACCGTCAACGGGACTTATAATGCTATGGAACAATGATCATGCGTGATGAAGATGTAGCTAACGAGTTTTACAGCAAAAAACAATAAAAATATGTAAGAATATGTACGTAACGTGTGATATTACTCTATTTCAAACGACTAACTTTTATAAGTATTTATAATGCTGTCGAACAACCAGCATGAGTGTTGAATTTGTGTAACTAACGTGTGACCTAGCTTTCTATCAAACAAATAACGATACTTTCAATAGGACTCGCGTAATCTATGAAACATTGAATGTGCGTGTTTACTGGGCAGCTAACGTGTGACATAACTCTACTTCAAACAACTAACAAAACTTTGAAATCAGGGAGACAACTTGGGAACAAATAAAACTTAGCATTAAACCATTTAACACGAATATATCTCAAATCATTTCACCATACGCATTCGAATATAAACTGCTAGACCAGTTTCGAGGTTATAGCGTTCGGCGGGCCTTTGCAAAGTTCACGGGTTGTATTGCTTTTGCATCAGTTCAGCCAAGTTTAGTTAGCAAACAACACTTTCCAAACACAGAGACTCGAATTAAGCTTCAATCAATACAATTTCTTTCTCATAGCACTAGAGCAATTATCAAAATTATTTAATTTGTTTATAATAAAATTTTATTGTCATACAACTGCTCGTTCAGCTAGGTTTTTGCTCGGGCTACCAAGGGAAAGCTCGAGTTTAAGATTTGGATTTTGCTGTATTGTCGCGTGGTTGCAAAAATCACGCGTGACTGACACGAAGTTGTCACTGTTGTCACTGTAAACATGAGTTACAATCTTTACAAATATTGCCACATGTGAGATTGCATTGCCGTGAGTTTCATTGTGCTAATTTGCTACTATTATAATTGAAATGCACATATAACCAATCTTTATTCTCGAGTAAGCGTGATAGGCGTCTTGATTTCCAATAAAAAAAGGTGGATTTTCGCCTGTGTTATGACATGTTACTGCCACAGCCCACTGAGCCCAAATGATAACAATCTATTACATGTCAACATGCAAACACAAGTTTTGGCATTCTGCGCAGAATTTCCGAGCAGTTCAAATTCTTGAGTAGATGCAACACGCACTCAACGATCTCCTTCCAGCCTCCTCACAATAATTATCAATATCTCTTACCTTTGTCTTTCATGAGCTCTTTTGGAAACCCACTGTAACTCGACTACCTTGATTCCAGGGTTGTCTGAGTTCACTGATCTCGTGTATATTGTGAAGTCACTCGTCTGTAATATTGCACGTCGCATATCCTCGATGAGTTGTTTCACCATTTGGATCATGACCCCATCTGAATAACATGTATTATATTTAATCAAAAACCCATCTCGAAAGCATTCAGAAACTTCGAAGGTTTCCTCATGTTACATCGGCATTATTGTATAAAACCGTCAATGTAAAGTGAGATCCATAGGCGATAAATGCTTACAACGTACAGAAATATCAAATGTGAAATAATTTCTGTGTCAAAAAACATCATCTATAGGTAGATGAAGTGTACGTCATTGTCACAGAAATTGCATTGCAGAGCAACAGAAATCCAGCGTTCAAAAGGTCATCTCCAGCGATGTACAAAGTGCAATCTTCACACGCCAGTGATTTGCTACTCCGCAATCAGAGCAGGAAGCAGAAGTAATGGCCTCATTGGATAAATTCAAAGTGATGAAAGGAAGATTCTGAAGAAAAATTATTCAGGGGGAGGAATTGTTTTTATTTGTCCTTCTGTTTGTAAGTTTTCTCCGGTTGAACTATAGCGACACCATAAAAATAAGGCGTATAATAAAAGCTTGAAATTTACCTTCAACAATACTGACTTTGGCACGAATATCGTTGTTGCTCTTTAGAGCTCCATTAAAGACAACAAAACTGGCACCCGTGACTATTGTTGAACAAAGCAACATTAGTTTTTGTACATAGCATATGTACATAGCAATGTGATCGTTCAACACTAACGTAAACACGAAACCAAAGCTACGTGCAACACTGAAGCAATCAGCGTTGCACGTAGCGAAGCCATCACGCACTATACGTACTCCTAAATGCAAGTGTTTTTCTTTTCATTCACTCGAAAAATCAATGAATGAAATTAATTTTCTAGAAATGTGTAATAATTTTGATGAAAATTTTGCATTGTAGGAGCTTTAGTTCGGGCTGGCGTGGCAACTGTCTGTTGGCTTCTTATTTCTGAAAAACTTTTGAAAGGAAGTGAACAACAAACTCTAAATAATGGGGAAATTTACTGTTTCCGTGACAACCATTCAAACGTTGTGGATTCGACACAATATCGCCTACATCAAAGATTGCGTAATTCATGCATGTAAAATAAATTAAAAAGAAAATGATGCCTACATGTCGTACCATTTTGTTGACGATCTTCCAAGTTGATGGACTGAGTTTTATAATTAGGACCATCCTGAATGCACACAAGATAAGAGTCGGCAACGTTGCTAAATGTAGCTTCAAAAGCCATGACATACTCGTCTGCCGCATTTACAACCTTTAAAACCTAAACAAATCACGAATATTACCGCATATAACAAGCAGTATTTTGCCCAAACACAGATGAAACGCACAAATAATTCAAACTATTCAAGGAAAGCTAAATTATTTACTAATGTCTTAACAATTTCAGATGGTTATCTTAGGTTTTTATAGACAGGGTGTATCAAAAGAGGAGTCCTTTAGAAATTAAACTGTTCTTATATGTAATTTCAATATCCCATCATTTTGCAAAACACATAAATGCGATTCCCCTCCGCCTTCCACCCGCCGCATTTGCGGTCAGCAAACACCATTACGAGATGCCTCAAATGCATACATCAGAAATACACCCATCACAAAGATTCGAAACATACCTCGTCATAACGATTTTGCGGCAACTGAATAACAACCTTCTGACTTTCCAGATGAACATGCGTCCCCGTTACTCGCGGTAATGTGTATTGGAAATTTTTAAAATCCTAAGTGTGCGAAAAAGAAACATTGCTTAAACTCTTTACTAGTATGACAGACATCTAATTTCTGAGATATCGTTAGATGTGCGAAATCTTTGTGGAGAATGCAGTCAATGCAATAATTCGACTCTTCACTTGATAACGTCATATGAACAATGGCATGTCTACTTGAATATTTTCCTTCACAGTTTGCGGTGCTCATCTAAAGCTGAATCTTCCTTTTCCGATTATCAAGGCTCATGTAACCATTTCTTAATTGTTTTAAGCAAGCTTGTCCACATAGACTCCATTATTAAATTGCACACATTGTGATGGCGCATGTCTTTAAGACAAAATGAGACGAGATCTTTAACAGATGTAGGGTACAAAACTAAATTAGTGCCCAGTTCCACGCACTTACAGTAAAATAAAACTGACTCGCCCTCAATCAATGAAGTCTAAAAAGTTAAGCTGTAGAGTTAAAGATGTTTTGCACACACTTTCATAAAAGGTACATTGATTTTCTAAATCAAAAACTGCCTAATAATTCAGAAGGAAACGTGCTTAAAATAAAAGAGAACTTACAGCAAGGAGATTCATAATTGTATGACCAACATCACCAAATAAGGGATCTCGATTTCTCACACTCCATAAAGGACAAGGATATTCTACATTACACATTCAATAGAAAATATAATTATAGTTTTCAACAACTGCTTACATTGGATTGCAGTGTGCAATTATCTTACAATGGCGGCGCATACATTAGTCCGTGATCCTTTTCGAGCATTGTAATTAGAAAAAACTATTAAGACTCGTGTTTGTCATTTAAAAAGATGGAAAAACTATCAGAAAAATAAAAAAACCAGTACACTAGCATTTTTATGAACGTAATGAACAATGGGAAAATATATATTTGGATGACTGGCAAAATTTTACCATTAAACTCAAATCCATAATATCAACATGGTATGGGTATACGTATGTATCGCCATGAGATATGGCATCAGAATAAATTTTACTGCCATGTGTCAAGGTCTGGGTTTTGCAGGTGAAATTCAATAAACCTTTTCTCAAGCCGTGCATGAAACGTGTAAAATACGCTTTAACACCGCATATCAAAAGTTGCGCATGAAATGTGCGAGCATTACATGCTTTAACGCTGCATCTTAAAAGTCGTGCATAAAACGCTTAAAACATGACTTAACATCATATCTTAAAAATCACGCAGAAAAACTGGAAAACACATTTTAATATTGCATGTTAAATGTCGTACATGAAATGTGTAAAACATGCCGTAGAACGGCATCTTAAAACTTTTGTTGAAATGTAATCCATCCAGTTATATTTCATCAATATGAACGACACACCATGGGATGGCACGTAAATGTAAATGAAACAGGTTTACTTACCTTTGTACTCCGCACCAAGACGAAGGATTAATCTGATGGGAAATAACTGAACCCATGAAACCTCATCTCGTTGAATAAGAATGCCAAAAATATGAGGACCTGATGGCAGAATTAAATTGTCCAGGCACTACAAAAAATTACAAAAATATACGTCACCTTTTTTTACAACTACACGGAGTTTATAAAATCAACAAAAGTTCACTAAAACAAGTCAGGGTGATTATTTTACATGCATTGAAAGTAAGAAGAACAGTGAAACAGAAGTGATACGTTCACTAGCGCACCTGAAAAGAAGATTTGACATAAACAAATCCTGCATTACGTAATGAGCCCAAAAAGGGTTGCCCAAATATAGTATAGCCGAGATCAGTGACTCTGTGACCTAGGTTAATACAAGTAAAGATGAGGTTATTCAGACAGTATAGAGATTATGATTGATAAATCAAACCAATTAATTAACAAAGAATGCATGACATATCCTATCATTGATGTAATATTTACAACAAGTGACGATTTCATTTTTTTTTGCCATCAATGTTTTTATAGTTTAATTGAACAACTTATATATGTTTAATTTGATAAGCATACAAATGCTATGCTTTCATTTAGCATTCTATAAAATAAAAACAACAAAACGCGTTTGCTGATTGGTCTACAGCTGAGTCTGCGTCAGCCTGTGCCAACCGATCTGAGCTCAACCAATTAAACCAATAAAAGAGAATTTGCTTAAGAAAAATCAAAACAATCGTTTTATATTGATCTGCTTCGCTTTATTGTCATTTTAAAAAAGATATAAAAAATGTTTTTATGTTTGCACTGGCTTAGGTAAATTGCAAACCTCGATGGTGTTCATGAGAACCCTAGACCTTCGGCCTCGGACTTGCACTGTTCTGCTCACGAGTTCTCCGAAAGGTTTCTTCGGTTTGCATAAGCCTGTGCAAACACAGTTCAAATCTTTTGTGTCTTAATCGCAGAATGTTTGTCGAAAACGAACCTTGTTTGGCATATCTGAATGCCGTGTTGAAGTGTGTAAGTAGATCTTGAGGTATGGATGACTCTTTTGGGAGACATTCCAAAAGAATAACCTACATTTCAAGTAAGAAAAGTGTACCATAATGAAAAAATAACATGAATGCTTTCAAACCAGTTTTCCATTTTACTTGCACCGAAACGAATGGCCAAAAATGTTTTTTTGATCACGAAAATCGTGCGATGACTTTTTACGCAAATGAAAAGTTAAAACCACAACGTGTTTGATCGATTCCTATAATTGAAATAAAGATTTCCCTTATGAAAGATGCAACTAGTTCATGTTACCATATCTTCTTGATCCGCAGCCTGCATTCCTTCTGTACTAAAGCACCAACATTTCCTCTTGACGCTAGAGTTCACTAAATAACAATATATAAAACACTAAAGCTTAAATCTGATTGGCGGATTCCAACTGATTTACGGACCTCCATGTCAGTAAATAACATATGTATTTATACGATCAGGCCAACGACGCATGGTTGGTGAAAATTCTAATTAACATCAAGTGATCGCATACAGCCATTCACTATCACAGGACCGAAATTTCATTGATAAAATTAGATTAAAATTAGATAAAATTTCATTAGATAGCAAGAAAGGATCATGTGAAAAACGATTGAAGACCAGGAAAATACGTAACACACAAAATATTTTTGTCACAAGATATTTCAACCTGTTATAATTTCACTTACACTTAACGATTTTGATTCGCACGACCAAGTGTTTGTTTAAAAGAAACGCAACGGTTTCTTTGCGCTCTAGAACAAAAACACACCCCAAATTAGGGAGATATTCAAGACTAAGAGTCAAATTCATATTCAAATGGCCCAAGGGTCAAGACACTACTAACTCTTCAATAGATACAGAAGCTCTTCGTGATTTGGAGAATCCTCCACAACAAAACCTATAATTACATAAATAATCGAAACATTAATGAAGCTAACTAGAAAAAGATCCGGGTCCCTTAGGAAAGTACCCCATTAAAAACAACAAAAACAGGACCAAACTACAAAAAAATTCCCGAATTCCATCGCAATACCTTGATCAGTCTTCCGTAATAAAGGCGGTAAAGATACAGAGGAGCTAAAAGGTGAAACATCAGCTCTAGATGCACCAGAGGACATGGGTGATCTAAGCCGGGTCGGAAGCATTTCCGATTCAGTTGGAGCGTCTGCGTTTTGGACAGGTGATTGGGCTCCAGTGATTGCGTTTGTTGGAAACATTTCTGTAGCGTTATAATCAGGAGGTTCTTCAGTACGGGGTATTATTGAATGCTCAATATCCGATGTCTCTGCAGCTGAATTTCAAATGAATTGCATTTAGGCTTAATTTTCACTGTCGCATCTTTGGCATGTACATAGCTACCCTCAAGTAAAATCCTAATTTCTTTCAAAATAGAAATAAATAGAAAAATATTACTTCAGTAATGTTGATGGCATCGTTTTTAAGAAATTTGCCATCAGTTTGATTATTGTAATAGCGCTCTAATTTTAACAAGCAAATATCATCGCTACAAGTAAAGTAAAGTAGAGACAACAGATGCATAGCTCGACTATTTGAGCTGGCGAATTAAATTGCCATAAGCAGTGCTGGATACTTATTTTTACCTTCATAACCTCTACCACCAAAAAAATTCTTGTCAAAATAAAAAAAAATAACAGGACTTTGCTACAAACAAAAAAATCTCATAAAACTATCTAAAGTTGCCACTATTGTGTGTGATGCATGGAGTTCTCCATTTTAAATAATTGTGAGCTTACGTACATACCGGAAGCTGCAGGTTCATCACCAGCGTTAGAGTCGAGGTACAATCCTGGGACTTGATTGTCAGGAATAAAATTGTTTTCATCCAAGAGCATAGCTTGCTCTAGAAGGAAATGGAAGAGAAAGGTCAATGAAACAGATTCACAACTAAATTATGAGCCACACATTTAAAGCCAAACTGGATGTGAAAAAGAAGAAAAGGTATTTATTTGTTAGTCTGAAATGGAGAAATACTACTTCGATTTGAAGTTTGTATACTCCTCTGAACAGGATTTGATTGTAAACTCGCCATTGCAAAAAGCAGCTATGTCATGATGTTTACATAACGTTGCGTAAAAAATTCGTGATGGCCCTAAACTTACTTCGCAAAAGAATATTGGCACATGTTTGACAAACTCGAGCAAGTTTGTTGTCCATGTATGGAAGACTAAATTTCAAGTTGCAACACGATGAACAATATATCTAAAAAAATAATGTTTAATATATATTTTACAATATACGATATACTGTCGAGAAATCAAACAAAACAATTACGTCAATAAACACGTAAAATTACGGTAACATGCAGAGGTGCACATCAAGGGAGTGAGGGGAAGTGTGACAGGCTGACAGCCCCAGCTTTTGTGAAACATGTATAAAAGTAGTGATAGAGCAGAAAATAAGTTGCTTCGCATAAATTGTTGGTTTTTCTTTCAAAAGACACTACTAAAGTCAGTCCTTGAACGTAGAGCCTCCCCAGCTTTTCCTGGATGCGCAGCTTTGTTATACAGTCGGTCCCTGAACGTTGAGCCTCCCCCCAGCTTTTCCTGGATGCGCAGCTTTGTTATACCGTCAGTCCTTGAACGTAGAGCCTCCCCCCAGCTTTTCCTGGATGCGCAGCTTTGTTATACAGTCGGTCCCTGAACGTAGAGCCTCCCCCCAGCTTTTCCTGGATGCGCAGCTTTGTTATACCGTCAGTCCTGAACGTAGAGCCTCCCCAGCTTTTCCTGGATGCGCAGCTTTGTTATACAGTCGGTCCCTGAACGTAGAGCCTCCCCCCAGCTTTTCCTGGATGCGCAGCTTTGTTATACAGTCGGTCCCTGAACGTAGAGCCTCCCCCCAGCTTTTGCTGGATGCGCAGCTTTGTTATACAGTCGGTCCCTGAACGTAGAGCCTCCCCCCAGCTTTTCCCGGATATGCAGCTTTGTTATACAGTCGGTCCCTGAACATAGAGCTTCCCCTCAGCTTTTCCTGGATGCGCAGCTTTGTTATACAGTCGGTCCCTCAACGTAGAGCCTCCCCCCAGCTTTTCCTGGATGCGCAGCTTTGTTATACAGTCTGTCCCTGAACGTAGAGCCTCCCACTAGCTTTTCCCGGATACGCTCTTTGCTATACAGTCGATCCGTGAACGTAGAACTAAGGACTCCCCGAGCTTTAACTGGATTCGCGCCTTTGCTACAACTAGAAACAGGGGCAAAAGTAGAACGTTAATTGGGGAGGGGGGTATATATTCATACATTCAGCTCTGTAATGCTGATTTCTTTTGTTTGCTATGTTAATTTCAAAAGAAGTCAGCAGGGCAGAGCTGAATATATGCATTCTAATTGGGGCTCCCCACCCCCCAATTAGCGTTCTAGTTTCGCCCCTGACTAGAACAACGTTTCGGAGTAACTGCGGAGAAAAAATTCTATATTTGTAAAACTACGAACCACTTATTTGAATGTGATTATAGAAAAATGGTACCAGTTTCACTTGAATTGCCCATAAACTTACTTTTCATGATTTATCACACACATAAACCTATTAACCTTCTCCTCTTCACCCATAAATCTGTCATATATAAAAACAACATGAATCATAAAGATATGGCATAGGAAGTAAAATCCCACCTTTCCACATGCTCGACAATGATGACGTCGTTTTACTACAGTAAATTTACATTGACAGTTCATACAACTGCTCACGTCACTATCAAGCATCCACGTGGGAGCGGTGAGGGCAAACTCAAACAGGTGCTCAAAATCAGTTTGAACATGGGGTTCTGAGATGCCTGCTATTCCATCTTGATCTGTATATTGATTAACAGATTGATTGGCCTCGCTATTTAGGAAGTTTGTCGCTTCCGCGGTACTTTGAATTATATCACTTTCCTCCACGATATTATCATTACGTTTACTAAGACTTGCACAGTTTTCGAGCTGCGCTTCATTTGCAGGATATTCAACAGACTCCGTATGATCTGCAGAATGATCTTGGGTGAAAGGATGAGAGGACGGACCCTCTCGAGGATTACTCGAAGCATCCATTTTCGATACAACATGTATCACTGGTTGTTCTAAGACAGTATTTGTGTTCTCCCCTTCAAAACTCACGTTTTGCCCGGAAAGTATGGCAGTGTCTTCGCTGATTCCAAATAATACATCATTTGATGGCTGATCATCAATGTTATCCAAATTGCTTTCGTCAAAAGCTTTGATTTCTGTAATACCATGAGTTGAAACTGATGAACTCCTATCCAATAGTGAAAATTTTTCATGTTCGGTTTCACCTGCATCTGCAACAGATGATTCAAAAGAGGTAACTACGGAGTTTTTATTTGACACACTAGTGCCAGCCTTCATTTCTGTGGCAACACGAGTCAAAGCCAATGAGTTCCTATCCATTTTTGAAGATTCGTCTGGCTTAATTACTTTGATAACATTTGCAACAGCTGATTCAGAAGAAGTATCTACAGAGTTTTTGTTTGATTTACTAGTGCTAGCCCTCATTTCTGTAGTAACATGAATAGAAGCCAGTGAGTTCCCATCCATCTTTGAAGATTCCTCTGGTTTAGTTACATTCATAACATTTGCAACAGCTGATTCAGAAGAAGTATCTACAGATTTTTTGTTTGATTTACTAGTGCTAGCCCTCATTTCTGTAGTAACATGAATAGAAGCCAGTGAGTTACCATCCCTCTTTGAAGATTCCTCTGGTTTAGTTACATTCATAACATTTGCAACAGCTGATTCAGAAGAAGTATCTACAGAGTTTTTGTTTGATTTACTAGTGCCAGCCCTCATTTCTGTGGTACCATGAATAGAAGCCAGTGAGTTACCATCCATCTTTGAAGATTCCTCTGGTTTAGTTACATTCATAACATTTGCAACAGCTGATTCAGAAGAAGTATCTACAGAGTTTTTGTTTGATTTACTAGTGCCAGCCCTCATTTCTGTGGTACCATGAATAGAAGCCAGTGAGTTCCCATCCATCTTAGAAGATTCCTCTGGCTTAGTTATATTCATAACATTTGCAACAGCTGATTCAGAAGAAGTTTTTGTAGAGTTTTTGTTTGATTTACTAGTGCTAGCCCTCATTTCTGTAGTACCATGAATAGAAGCCAGTGAGTTACCATCCATCTTTGAAGATTCCTCTGGTTTAGTTACATTCATAACATTTGCAACAGCTGATTCAGAAGAAGTATCTACAGAGTTTTTGTTTGATTTACTAGTGCCAGCCCTCATTTCTGTGGTAACATGAATAGAAGCCAGTGAGTTCCCATCCATCTTTGAAGATTCCTCTGGTTTAGTTACATTCATAACATTTGCAAAAGCTGATTCAGAAGAAGTTTTTGTGGAGTTTTTGTTTGATTTACTAGTGCCAGCCCTCATTTCTGTGGTATAATGAATAGAAGCCAGTGAGTTCCCATCCATCTTTGAAGATTCCTCTGGTTTAGTTACATTGATAGCATTTGCATCGGCTGATTCAAAAGAAGTATCTACAGAGTTTTGATTGGATGAACTAGCATCAACAATTTTACTTCCATCAAAATTCTTTATTTCAGTAGCAACATGAGTTGAAGCCATAGAGTTCTTATCTATCACTGAAGACTCCCCTGGTTTAGTTACATTCACAGCAGCTGCAGCAGCTGATTTAAGATAATTATTTACAGAGTTTTCATTGGATGCACTACTAGGAGCAGTAATTTGACTTTTTTTGATTGACAAAGACTCTCCATATTTTTCATCAAATCCTTTACATTCCGTCTGCATATCATCAGAGGCAGCAAGAACATTAATTGGATGTGACGTGGTTCCACCATTAGCAAAAGGAGCATCAATGGATATCAATGAAATATCTTTTTGCAAGTCAGATGGTTTATTTGAAGGCCTTGCTTCCAAATGTTGCAGATTAGTGGGAGAAGATCTTCGATTGGGTATTAAAATTGCAACATCCGATAGAGTTTCAGTGACTGAGTCCATTGGTCCCAAAAGGTCTATTCCATTTGAAAAAGCTGGCGTTGATGAGACAGTGTAACAGGTTTTTGAAAAGGCCGGCTTTGATGAGACAGTTTCACAAGTTAAGTCCACAAGGTCATCGATTGAAGTTTTAGCCTCAGAAGGTTCAGCCTCAGACAGTTCGGCCACAGAACATTTAGCCTTCAGTTTGCTATGCTCATTCATATTCTTAAAACTGAATTTGTCAGCATCAACATTTCCAAACTGTACATCAATATTTTTATTAGAAACCAAAGAAGTAACATTTGTCACTTCAAAATTCCGTGCATGATCTTCACTGAGCATCTTAGGACCAGCAAACGCCTTGCATTGAACTGTTTTTGGCAAAGACAAGCTTGACTCTGATGTAATTGTGCCATTGGAACATGGAGCATGTGTGTTTTCTGATGTATGAGATATGAGTGACTCTAATTTCAGAATAAAACAATATGAATTTGAATAAGAACACAAGGAAAAGTGTATTTTGCATGTGTTTAAATATAATTGTGTCAATTTACAAAAAAAAAGCAACAAACACATCCTAAAAGAATCAATTTATTGCATCAAAACTGATCTTTCTAAAAAGTTATTGCAAAAATTTTCATTAAAATGGCAATTAAAATGCGATGATTTTCATTGTGTGCAGAAAGTACAAAACAATAAGTAAACAAATGTCAATAATGTAAATTTATGATTAAGCCAAAATCTTCATTTATTTGAGCCAAAATCTCAACATGCATTAAGTCACCATCAGATGCAAAATATTACATATTTACCATGAGATTGGGCATCTTGTTGTTCAAAATCATCTAGTAATTTGTCCAGGTCGACAGGAACAAATGTATCACTCATCTCGAACTTGAAGCCAATCTAAATGATCAACAATGATGAGATTAAGTGATGTCTGTGATCATGTGAAAAGGCAATGCATGAGTTTACTACTTCAAACAAATTATATAAAATAATGAAAAATAAATAAGCAAGAAAGTATCCAGAAACAATCGTAAATTTCTGTCCATAAATTAACTGTAAATTTCGGACGATTTGGAATGTATTAAAGACCAATAACTACTGATCTCATGATAATAGTTTTAAAATGACAAGTCAGTTAAGTCAGAGTCCAATACACTGAAACAAAGTACGCACACATACTAATTATAGTAATATTAAATAAGCTGAAAATATCAACCAGCTGCCATAAAGGACATCAGAATTCTGGTCAATCTTATAAAGTTTTCTGTTTAAATTTTACATTTATAACTTGTCAAAAAAAATGATAAATATACGGAGATGTTTACATCCATTGCGTCATAGCTAAGATCCAAAATCCAAAGTACAAAAGCGAAATGTTATTAATGCTACTAAACTTATCATGATAATAGACAGACGGATAATGAAACATATGAAAAAGCAAAATTATAATAAACTCTTCTTTAGACAAAGAATCCGCAACCTCTTCAACAAGCATCAATTAAATAAAACAAATATTTTAAGTCATATAATTCAATTACATGTTTTTACCTTTTTACCAATATCTCTCTTAAATTTCACTTAGAACGTCTAAATACTTGATGGCTTTATCGTTTCATATTGATGTTATGTCTTTTTATAATTCGCTTTTCAGTGGAAACAATCCAAAATGAAAGAGCTACTTAAACCAGAGAGAAAGAAATAAAAATATTTCAATCAATTAAAACTCAATAAAATCAAATCTTTGAAGATCAAACTCTATTTGTTCTTGTTTGTTATGCACATTAGCATTTAAAGAATATTTAAATAATTGAATCGTTTCCATCTATCAAAATGACAAACATGTGTCAAACAACGTCAAAATGAAAGATCGTTATTTATAATTGATTGTGTATGATGAAATGCTCGTTCGTTTCTCAAATATATTGTTATTGCTTAATCTCAGTCATGCATAAATTTTTTATTGCGATTTCCATATTTACTATTTTGACACTTGGCACGACAACTGTTCATGGCTGTAGATTTATGCCATTCACCTTCATGTCTGTCATATCGAGTACAAATTCCTTTCTAACATATTTCATCATGCATCATACTGAGCAGGTACAATAGCAAAAACACAAACACAAGAATAACACGCGGACAGAAGTTCATGAAAGGGGTGACTCCGTGACTGACAGACATGAACAATGTTTCTCTGAACATGAAGAGCGAGCTACGAGAGGCTGGCTCAGTGGCTCTGAAAAATGAAATGGGGAATATGAAAATAGATACGGAACGCGTATCTATTTTCATGCTATGTAAATCTACACCAATTTTATTCATGATTTGTTGTAAGACTCAAAAGAAAAAATGTCATTCATAAGTCATTCGTTTTCTGCCTTTTCTTTCACTCACCACTCACCAATGTGAGCCAGGTGATGCATAGGTTATGAATGAAATACGTTATTACCTCTACTAAATCCAGCGATCTTAACAAAGAAAGGCCTAACAAGTTTCTAGTTACGTTCTTCTCATTCGCATGAAAATGGATGTTTGCGGGGATGCTTTTGACTGTCAACTTATGAAAACATAAGACCGATCGCGAACGAAAACAATATGAGAAATTTAACCAATCGGGCTTTTTGTCAATACCCGTAAATTATCGTATCAATTTTGGCACCATTGCAATGTTTGAATGTCACTCTTTCAAGAGGCGCAATCACCGAGATTCTTGCCCCCATTATTTCAATACAAGCGACTGCTGACTGACGTTAGGCATACACAAGACAATTCATTCATTCTGCACTTTTTTGTTCACACTTATCTCCGCTTCTTTCATCAGGGCACAGCATGAGAAGTCAATACACATAATTTTGAAAACAAAAGCCAGGTTGCTTTTTTCATGCAAAAGTTGGGTAACTCAGTAAAACGATAAAACCAGAAAAAAATCGGAAACACAAAAGACGCTTTATTCTAAAAGAAATTGTTATTGTTCAAATACAGGTACGCTTCGCGTGCCTATTTTAATCGTTATATAAAACATGGACGACTAAAACATGTCCGGTCTTTACGTGGCACTACATGGTAAGAGTGAATTTGTATGTTTTTTCTTAGCATGACGCTCTCTCGTGATTTTCTCTTCCATAAGAGATGGACGACGTTTAATCGATTCCGTGCAACGGAAAATTTGCTACGTTATATCACGTATACTAAATATACATACAGAGATTAACTACAATCTACCATGTTTTGCGTCATCTATCACTCCCCAAATATCAAAGACTAAGTCCTCTGGAAACTCGAATTCGCCAAAGTTTGATTCCACAGCAGCTGTAAACTCACTAGGGTTCGTTTTGTTCTTTGACAGTTGCACCAAGCTGTCGGCTAAATAAGAAAGTGACAAAAGTGAATTGTTATACTATTAGCAACTTTCATGGTGGATTTTAACCGTATTTAATTAGTTTACATGAATTGATAACATCCTAAAACATCTGGGGCCGGTTGCTCGAAGCCTGGATAGCGTTATCCATTGGATAACAATTTTTTTAAACTTTTATAAAACCTTTTAAAAAGCAAAAATATAAGATTCGAACTGAGCAATCACTGAAATTATATGTTGTTTCGAAGATTACGAAATTTCTTTGTCGTAACGAAAATATAAACACCTTTTTCATAAGTTTGAAAATTTTTGCTATCCAATGGATAACGCTATCCAGTCTTCACGCAACCGGCCCCTGGAACACAACTAAATCGCCTAAAACTTGAAGCCAGTATTGTGGTACATTTTTTCTGATTTTCGCAAATCAGCAATTCACTTTATGAAGGTTTTGATACGCTTTTCCGGAGGTAAGCCAAGAAAGGATTTACAACAAATTAAATTTTATGAAGGATACTGATATCACTGCATGATAAACAGTATTCACTTGCATATGTAAACGCGATAGATATTATATGTACATAAATACGCAAATCGAAAACCTCCCTGAGATTAGTAAAATGGACTATCAAAAATTAAAGCCGAACGCTACCTAATTTGTTCAAAATTCCTTACATAGATTGTAACACATAAGAAACGCATTCGAAACATTCCTGAATAGTAATCCTCACGCTTTCAATGTTAAGATGATAATCATCTTATTGAAACTTCCAATTATCTTCACGGTTAAAAATTGTCATAAAAAATGGTGTATAAATTCCAGAAAGTTACAGCATTTTTCATGGGCCAAGGACTATATACACCTGACTGCAATAAAAAAGATCACGGCACGTGTATTTTACACTGATGTGTTTTGAGGTTAAATTGTTCAATATGCCGATACTAATACTGGAGCTCTCGGGCATTAAACTGTTTCATAAACAACGTAATTGGATGAAACCAAACTACCTTCAACTTTTTTAATACCATAATTTGATCAGGAATGTGAGCAATTGTCACCTACGAAGACATGGAGACGTCTCATTCAAGTCTATAACATTGTCACCTACGTGCAAACTCGAAGACAAATGCCTAGGCTATTCTTAAAGCTCACTCACACTTTTGCACTCAATGAGCGCGACAAAGAAAGCGTGCTCTTTTCAATGACAAATTCGTTTCTCCATTCATGGGAAAATCATTATGAGGTGATTTTAAAGCTCTAGTCAGTGTGAGTGAGCTTCTACAATACAAGTGATAGTCTCATTAAAGTCTGAAAATTCTTAATCTCATTCAAAGATAGAGTGCCGCCATCGTCTCAGACCATAACGATGTTGTAAGATTGAGAATTTTCTTCCGATTTTAAAAAAGCCGCCAAGTCTAATTCACGCCTAGCTGAGAGGCATCATATTTTAATAAAGTTAAAGAATAAAAGGGATATGACCAACACTTGGACGCAAAATATTGCCCAAAAAATTCACGAGAAATAGCCAACAGCGTTTTATATTATGTTCAACAGTTTTCAGGCGAAATATTTACAACGGCAAACGAGCTTAATTCATCTAAGTTTATACACAACGACTTTTATAACGATTATCTGAAAAATTCGCGACGTCACTTGCAATAGTGAATTCGGAATTGGTCAAAAACTTGCCGCAAAAGTTTGAATTCAAATATCATAATAACCGAAAGTTATAGGTTAAGCGTTTCTAAGCAGCAAAACTTCGCCAATCAAACTTTTTTGAATATCCGCGTTTTTTCAACGTCTCGGCGAGCGATTTAAGTATGTCCTCAAAAAATCTAAATTGCGGAATTTCCTCGCAGAATATTCAGACCTTCGTAATATAAAAAGAAAACCCGCTTTAACAAAATGTAATCATACCTAATTCTGCATCTCTGATTCCAATGAAACTTTCCAACAAGTCATCGACTTTTTGCGCAGCATTGATCTCCCATACAGGTAGCTGTAAGACAATATCATAGGCAAACGTTTTGATGATTCCACTAACTTTATAGCATTATAAAAAGAAACAAACATGTTTGCTGAAAGTTTAAGATGACCGAACATTACAATGGAATAGTTAACGAAGATAGGGAAAGTCGAATGATGGGACAAAGTAGCAAGACACAAGAACGAGAAAAAGTGGAAAGTTTTTTCAAGTAAATGCAAGGATGTGAAACAAGCTAGCTTAAAACTATGTGGAAAAAAGAAGCGTTGGAAATTACTTATTACCTCTTCCTCGACAGTTGCAGGACCAGTTGATCGTAGTCGTAAGGTTGCACGTCCACTTCCAAGTTTGCTATTGTCAATATCAGGTGTATTCTTGTGACCTGACTTGCCAAAGTTTATACCCTCTATGTAAAAAAGTTGCATTTCTTATTTTAAAATAGCAAAGGAAAAGTTGGGTAGACAGGATGATTCGAAAATTTGACTAATTAGATCAACACTATTAAAGATATCGATGATTCAAGGGAAATGAAATGTGTATTAGCTATTTTCTTCAGTGTTTTATCAATCGTTACTACTTCCCTCAGTTCTTAAATGCAAGACTTTTCGCCTCTTTTTCTCGCTAATCAAGAATCGTATTTAATTATGCTTTCACTTCCACCAAAACAATTCATTGTTTTTTGCTACTCGGTCGAAGTTAAAGTTTCGTAGCATCACTGTGTCATACACTCTGAATATATCAATTATTCCAACACCTTTGTCATTAGCTAATGCACATATATTAATTGAACGCAGGCGTTTCGAGATTATGCCGATGTACGTAAATGCAAACTGCAATCGACTTTAATCTCAATTCCACTTGATTCAATGTCTAAAAATACCTATGTCTATACAAACTTGAATTTGACCTTTAAGCACCTTTTGAAAATGAACATTAAGTGTGAAAAACAATCAAGAAGAAAAAACGTTAAGAAAAATGATACGCAAAAGTTGGTTGTTGGGTTAAGTGAACTGAGATAACAAACTGTGCTAGGGGGCCATAATCTTTGAGCTATATTTCTAGTTTCAACTTCATTTTCATCATACGTACAACATGTAAATTTTTGCAACTAATCTTTTGCTATATTTGATAAATAAATTGATCAAATGTACTTTTTGTTCATGGTCATTATATTTTTATTCAAACAGTGTGGTTCCCCAAAATCTTAAACAAGCACCAACAAAAGCAGAGCCTTCATTCAATTGATAAAAAATTTAGGTCACAGCCTTAAATAAATCAACCTGGTTTAAATTGTATCCAAAAACATATTATGGTCATATAACAATGAATGTAACTTTTTAGCTGACTGATTTGATAACAAAAAATATCCTTGAAATCACTCATTCCATAAGCAGTTTGGAACTTAAATGTTTTTCCCATAAGACTGACATGTATTCTGATCAGAGAAAATTTTCATAATGATATGCACTGCAAAATTTGAATGACATGAATTATATTTATGAGACCCATACATACCAAATGCCTTTAGTGGTTTCACCAAACCAAACACAATTTCACTGTCAACTGGGACATCACGCAACTTTCTTGCCACATCATAATGCCGACATCCAACCACATTTTCACCATTGATCGACTCAATATGATCACCAACATGGATTCCCATATCTTTATCTGTAATGCTGTTTTCTTTTATCCTCTTTATAAATGCTAGCCCAGCACCATTATCAGTAATGGTCAAACCTAAAGCTGGTTCACTTTTCATAACTTTGACTTGTGTCGTTTCACCTTTAACATGAGCAAATATAAAATCATCAAGTGCTATCTGACCTCCAAGCAACTTTTCCATGTCCACTTTGTATGAGTTTAAAGTGCAATATAGTATCTGCAAAAGAATCAAAATCAAATGTATGTTACAAAATTTGTTAAGGTGGTATGTAATGTAGTAGATAACTTATGACCACAAAAATAGAGGGAACAAATACAATTCTAGTGAGATGTTTCATCAAATAGTTATAGAGACATATTAATGTACAACTTCAAAACTTTACCAGAAGCAAATAATGCCCCCCTTTGGAGCTCTTCTTGAAGTCCTTTTCAAACTTTTGTATCCACCCATCCCAACTCATCAAAAACTTGTCTTTTGTATCCACCCATCCCAACTCATCAAAAACTTGTCTTTTGTATCCACCCATCCCAACTCATCAAAAACTTGTCTTCCACGTCCTTTGTATATAGTGTTTCAAGCTAAATCTTATATTTACTGTCTCCACTAGTTGAAAACATTCTAATAATACGTCAAAATTCCACTAAGACGATTGATAGAGTGTTTTAGTCACCTACTGTTTCAAATACTCACTAATCGACTTAGACTTTTCGCATGACATCGATAAAGCAACAAATGACAAGAAAACTTCACTAAAATGTCACTGAAGTATATGCCATCGTTAAAAATATTGCGCTGCCAATATTACTAGCAGAAAATGTACGTCTGGGCAATACTTCGCGTCTCAATATAGCCCAGTAATATTGCTGAAATAAATTGTAATTTAAAACTTCTAATTACGAGAAAAATATTGTGAATTCACCTGCTAGAACTAATTAAAAACAACAAATATGGCGTCAGAAATTAAGTTCTCTGAGTTAGAGAATAATTCCAGCAGATAAAGGAAAAAAGAAAGATGGGAACAAAATCAACACCTAAGAATGACATTCAAAGTGATACAAAACACAATTACGAGTAAACGACCGCAAACAAAGAAACTGCGAAGTGAACAATTACATCAATATTTATTTTCGTAGAGAATGTTGCTAGTCCAACGAAACTATAAAGTCAAAAAAACTCACTTCATTCATATCGATTTTGAAGCTTTCCGATATCTTCCCGTACAATTCTTTTACATTTGTAAAACCTTGAATCTCACAGGTCGGACTGCCGTGAGCTAATTGGCAATAAAATATGAATTTTGGTGTCGTCTTGCCATTCATGTCTGTCTCTGATTTCTCATATGGTTCTCCGTTACTTCTCTTTGCTCTCGGCGAATCAGACGTTTGAGCAGTACATTGCTGGCTTGACGCGGAGGGATTAGATTTGTTTGCGATATTTTTTGGTGGTCGTGGTGGTAAGCCATCGAAATTTGCCTCCTTCATTGAATTTTTCTGCTCAACATCTCTGTCGGCGACATTATAATTTTTCTTAGATAAATTGCCACTATTTCCCTTTTTAAAAAACGGCATTTCGCCTGAAACTCACTTTCTGTGAATAACGGAGATGCCAAGCGTTGTTTTGTTGTTATATTATTACTCACATTAACATTTTGCCTTGTCACCAGATTTCTATATCCTCTTGCAGCCCTCTATGGTGACGTAATATAATAATAAATAATAATGCGCGTTCATAACGGGCTGGAAGCAGGGGTACGGTTGGTGCTGTACGGTTTCAATCAACTTGTTACTAGACCATTTTTTTGAGCACTCGAGGTTCAGTTTTAATAGTAGTAATAAGTTTCAATGTAAGTATATGTGTTAATATTTAGTTAATATGGGTTAGTATTTGGAATGGAAAGCGACATCTTTTGTCATTGGCTCTACAGGGTGTCTAAAAAAACCTAAACACTTGAGATTTATGCATGCATGAATTAGTTTGCAGCATAATTAAACAGTATTTTAAAAGACTCAAATTAGTTTCATGCATTGACAGTTCTCGTGACCTCTAGGAATGGAATAAGACCTGACGATTCGAATTTCATAGAAAAACTGTATAATTTATGCAGCAAACTAATACATATGCATGCATAAATCTTTGGGTGCCGTGTTTTTGAGACACCCCTGTTATATATGTACGTGACGTCGGTTGTCCGGTGGATGACTGCGAGGGGGTGAATGTATAAGTACTTGTGACAACAATATCACGACGGTACCCGATTAAACGAAACTACACGACTTGCACTAGATAATAAAGTGCGTACAGTTCAGCGCATGCGAACGGTTGTTTTCTGGCACAGACATGGCAAAAACTTGTCTTTGTCTTCTTTCTTGAAATATTTACAGATGAGACTCCCTTTCGTACGGCTTTGAATTGAAGATGGAACAGAACTAGTTTGCACTCCTGAAATTTTAGTGCTTTTCAAACGTTCACCCCTTTAATGAGATGGGCGTCTAGCAGACGTTAAAGGAACAAATAAAATCGGAAGTATCGGTTCTATGGCATGTGACGACCTCGATGTATAAAAAACGACCAAAAGAACCGATTTTTTCGGCTAACCTCACAGCTGTTAACTTGCTCCGTATGAGAAAGATCACTAAAATCAGTATTTTTGTTCTAATACTGAGAATAGTAAAAACATAGATGAAAATCCTCAAAATGCAATACATGGCAATTCACCCAGATTTAGCTAATCTAAAATTTCTCAAGAGTGCATGCCTCCGAACTTTCTAGATCCTCAAGGTTTCTTTGATTTTATAATATTTATTGAAAGAAAGCAATAGACAATTTTTGGCCTGGTCACGTGTCATGATAAAAAGAATATTTATTGTTGCCAATGGTTATAGAGTTATTACAACAGATGTACACCTTCGTTCATTCGAGCCTATGTCAGTCCGCTTATTCCTTCCTCCATATATCACAAAGTATAGAACGTGTATCTGCGTCATTAGCTTTTTTAGCCGATTGAAAAGAGTTTATCAGTTGCTGTGAATTAAAGAATCTAATAACGTATAATAGTGCAAAAGAAATACCAAGACATTGCATATTTTATACTATTTTAAAAGAATTTTTAATAAAAATTAAGATGATTCCAGTTTGCCGCGCCATTTTTCTCCATTGATGTCTCGATATGGTCCCAAATTGCAGATGAATGACACGTGACCTTTCTTATCGCGGCATTCATAATTCCTACCTTTCTCGAAGGTACACCTAACGCAAATAAATTCCATAGTATCCCCGATACGAGAATGTGCAAACAGACAATCGAACGGTGGCTTATTATTGGTATGCAGCCAACATTCCATAGACTTTAGTGCTCCACGGACCCGAACACCATGACGCATACGACCTTCCTTGTCTATATATTGAGCTTTAAAATCATAACGGCGCCCCGTCTTCTCGTGTTTACCAGGTAGAGGCTTCCAGCCCGCTTTAACGGGTTTCTCCTTCATGGCTTCTTTATACTCCTCACTATCGGGCAAATTATCGTAGAAATAAGAAAATGTAAGGTTAGGAAGGCCGGAGTTATATTTTATAAGATGTGACTTCGGGTCAATATCATCAACACCAGCGTAAGTACGATGGTTTGGTGGTTTTGACGTATCTCGCAATGGATTCAAGGTATGATTTTCCGCACTGGATGCTGAACGAGACAGATTATTTGTCGACGTCGTACTAGAAGAACGAGAGCGCGCACCAGGTGACAGTAAAGGATCACTTTGGAGATTGATGGGTAGAGAATGCTGGCTGTCCATGTGATCCTTTAAAGCAGTTGCATAAGATCGATGGTCAAGCTCCTGGGATAACGAACGATCAAACGCCATGTCATCCTTATCACCAAGAATATGGGATGTTTTGGGTGAACACAAAGGCTCTGCGTCTGGAAAAAGGGAATATTGGCTAGATATATTTACTGGTTTGCTCGACTCTATAACTACCTCGCTGCCATTTTTCTCTAGTGGAATGGACTCCTCGTTATCGTGAGGATTAAAATTTTCCATGGGATCGATGATGCTTTCATCAGAGACTGCAAAACCATTCACCAAGCCACTCAACTCGGAAACATCCCCAGAGGGATTATATTGGGAGCTTTTTGTCATAAGGGGATTAAAAGCCCAAGGCGGTGCAAATGGATACGTCGAGTTTATACTGTTAGGAATAGGTATTCGTTGGGATAAATATTGAAAGCTGCTTGAAAATGGATTGAACATCTCGTAAGGATCAGACGCATGTAGAAGTGGAGATGGATAAATATTTAAATGTTCAGTCTGAGTTTCCACATTTGCCATGTTAACTATAGTCTGTGTCTGTTTATCGACGTTATTCACAATTCCGTTAGGGTATTGACGACTAAGGGCATTTGCATCAACTAGACAGCTATCTGAAAAAAGGAAATTAAATTGATAGCAAGTTTTCTAAGATTGAAAACTCTTATTTAGACAAATTGCACAAGAGTTTGCTGTGACTTTCCTACAAAGCAATGCAATGTTCAAAAAGATGCCAAATGTTTGAAATTAGTATTTTCATTCAAAGTTAGGTGAATTAGGTACAGTAGCTAGATTTCTTCTTTGCTAAGTGTACACAAAATTCTCAGCCAAAAATGTTACTTTCAATGTTAGTATGGTCCATAATGCATTGCAGATGGCACACACTTTCTAAACATGTAAATTATACATGCCAGATTGTTTAGCATGGTTAAACCAACAATGGTTACTGGTTTGAGGTGTATGACCACGAAATTATAATAGATGTTGTTAAAGAAATAGTCTTTACAATTGTATCAAAATGGAGTTGAATCTAGCAATTTGATAGCAAATATGCTGCACAACATCTTAAATAAATATGATTCTAAAAAGTGGTGGATACCTGGTTTGTCTTTACAACGAAACCATAATTTAACAAATGCAAACACCAGACCAATAGGAAGGCCAACTTCCTAAATTTGTATGTTAAATTAAATAGAATACGATAAATACTTTTGAGGTTGATGTTGGTGAAAATTACATCAAGATTAATCCAAACAATTACCTTCAGTAGGCTCTTTAATTCATCCTCGGAATCTATGTAAGCTAAATTGGAGTCCTATAGCATGAATAATGAGAGTTCAAAGATTAAAAACATCATAAAATATAATAATAAAATAACTAAAAGCATGTAACACACTCATTGTTAATTTTTAAAAGCATATTTTATCTCACCCTGAGTTGATTTTCACTAAAAACAGATTTATGATCGCTAAAGCCAAGTTCATCAAGTAAGTGGTAGACTCTCCTATATTCTGGTTTATTATTTACAGCAAATAATGCGACATGATCCACCGGACCATTAGATTGTGTATATCCTTTTGCATCCATTCTATATCAATCTAAAAAAAAGTTCCTTTTGTTGGTATTAAATGATAAAGTATCTTTATAAGTATTATACATTGACAGATTGAGAACAAGGACTTGTACAGAAAGCATCATTTCAGGCTGTCAGCATATGAAGTCTGACACAAACAGCACACTAGGTAACCACCGAACTGCTAACTCAACAAAATTTTGAGGTACGGAAGCATAATCTCTTAAATCCAACAAACCAGATCGTTCTGCCTTAAGATCATGAGTTCACAAAATTTTCAAAATTATGCCTTTTTCATGATTGTGGCTGAGAATCACATCCATTTGAGAAAAATAACTTTGAAATATTATTGCAATTATTTGATTTAATAATAGACTGGAAGCGATCAAAACAATAGGATTTATGCGACAGTGAAAAGCATGTAAACAAAATGGATGAGCTATCCAATACATATCTTCCATCAAAAGAAGCCCTTTTTCATTTCATTGAAGAAGTATTTCTTCCATTATACAGGATATTGATTCAATGATCATGTAAACACCATAAAGAAAAATGTAACAAGTTGAAAATTTTGTCGGCTAAGCGAGTTGACATAAACATACAACGATAATCCAATGATTATGATTATAATATCAAATATTGCAAAAGAGCAAATCGAACAAAATATGCGTTGCAGGTTTTCCAAAAAATCTTCTAATGCCTTGAACGCAGTATGTCACTTATATAATATACATCAGTGGCAATTCTCTTAAATAACTACAACTATAAATAGATGATAGTGTTGCTATTCACACAACTTTCCAAAGCAAATTAGATGTAGTAAGTCTTGCAATATGAAGCAGATCTGAACTTACCTTATCAACACCGTGAAATAAATTTAATAGCATCGGATTAGAATTGATGAGAACTATTTCTTGAAAATGATTTTGTAAAAAGACAAACGACTACGTCGCTTTCGTCGTCCGTGAAACCATCGAAAACAATATCGACATCACATATACGGAACAGAGATACGGAAGCGCGCGTCGAAATGAAACTACTTATGAGCCTGCACTATTAAACCGCTGTCACTAGCAAACTCGACAATTGATGGTCATGTGTAGTAGATACCTTAAATGATCATAAATGATTCAATAAACATCTCCTGCCAAATAAGCACTTCGTATCTAATAAACCCTCCTCTTGAAGCATGAGTTTTCAATTAGACGCCTCTTTTTACGAAAGGCTCCGTCTCTAACAGACGCCCCCTCACATCTCTTAGTAGATTATCGACTGCTAATATAAGTTTCAAAAGTCACGACTAATTTATTCAAAATATATAACATACTATATGATACTGTTGAGCATGTACAGTACTCTGGGCAAAATGAAGGGTTTAAGCCCTGGAGAAAAATATCCGAGAATGAACCACAGGTAAAGAACCCTGGGAAAAAGCGTAGAAAAACAGCACCACGAAAAGACTCTCGAGAAAAGACCTTCAGGAAATGACCCCAAGGAAACGCCCTTTGGGTAAACGCCAATGGTGTAATATATTCAGAATTGGATGCTACATTAACGTTTGAAGTTTTGAAGTAAAACCAGATGTAATGTTCAGTGTTCACTATTGTTCTTTCTTTTCTGGTCCTTCTTGAATGATGATTCAAAATATTTAGAAACATTGCTGGAAAATTTATCGAAATCTTCATGCTGAACAAAAAAAATTCCAATGATATTGTTAGGACAAAACCAAGCCAACTAAGCCCCGTCACCAAGACAAAAATGACAGCATTAAACTGCATGTTTTTCATTTTGCTGAAAATCCTTTTCGATATCACTATTTTTAAATGATTACTTGTGTATGCCTTGTTCTTCGTTCAAGATTAGATCTGCAATAGTTTCGTTGCCTGAAAGGAAAGATTTCTATTAAAAAGAAGGTTGCTACATCATTCTACAAAACAACGTCACACCTTAATCACACGATTCGCACGTTTTTTTCCAGTGAAAATGTCAATTTTTTTTCTAGTGAAAATGTCCATGTAATCTGTAATATTGTGAGATTTCTCCCTTCTATTGCTTTGTCACATTACTTTTATACAGATCTTTACTTAATTATAATTACGTAATATGACGTACGAAATAGTAATAATTTACATTATAACTATACTACACCTCTCCCCAAACTAATTAAATATATTTTTGTTTTGTATTTTGTATCTATAAGTTCGTTTATGAAAATATTAATTGTTTCTTTTATAGCTAAATAACTTTTATCTCTAAATTAACTTTCAACTTGTCCGTATCGAATAGGGGCTTTTCTTGTACGCAAAGGATACCGCCGTTCTTTTTCCTTTATACTTTCCTCAATGGGTTTTCCTGGACTTTTCCCATTTTCTATCTTCTTGAAAAATGACGAATTACGAGTAAACAACATGTTATCTTTCTTCGCTGTTACCATTGAACCTTTTCTTTCCACGACTTCACATGGCTTACCATCATAGGGTGTTTGTTGTTTATTAGTGGTCGTATCTTTCTTTACTAACACCATATCACCTACTTTAATCTCACTTGTCTTTACGTTCCTGTTATTGTCTGCATGTAATTTCATCTTCAATTTTGCTCTATCATCTTGTACTCGAATTCTTTCCTCTGTATCTACATGAAATGGTTCTTCAGGTAAACGTACTTTCATTGGTCGACCGAATAAAGCCATAGATGGAGAGATTTTGGTCGAACTATGAGGTGTGGCACGATAATTTCGCAGGAACCTGTGGATTTCTTGCTTCCAAATTTTTCCCTCCATTATCGCAGCCTTTATTGTCTTTTTGATAGTACGCATAAATCTTTCCACTTCCCCGTTGGCTCGTGGTCAATAAGGAGTAACTTTTCTGTGTTTGAATCCCAAATACTTTGAAAACTCGTAAAATTCCTTGCTAATGAATGGCGGTCCATTGTCTGAACGTATCGTATCTGGTATCCCGAACTCCGAAAGAATCTTATCCAAACAGGGTATAACAGTCTTTGCGGACGTTGATCGGATTACTTCTACAATGGGATATCTGGAAAAATCATCATACAAAACAAACAAATATTCACCTGTGCCTGTAGGAGCTACACCAAAGTCCATACTTAGCTCTTTCCAAGGAGATCTTGGCAACTCTGACATTTTCAATGGTTCCTTTTCACTGACTGGAGTTGTAATCTGACAGGCTAAACACGATTTAACTTTTTCATTAACTAACTCATCTATACGTGGAAACCATACCTTTTCACGTAATAACGCTTTTGTTTTTGACATTCCCATATGACCTTCATGAGCAATGTTCACTACTTTCTCTCGTAAACTTTCTGGTATGATTATTTGATGTTTTCGTAGAATTATACCCGAAGATATGCAAAGTTCATCTTTAATTTTTTCATATGAACTAAATTCTGCTTGATTTACTCCTACCATCTTTGAACTCTCAAACCATCTACTTGTTTCAATGGCTTGAAATACTGCTCGAAGAGTAATGTCTTCTCTTGTAGCTTCTTCCAGATCTTTCCTGCTGATTGTTCTTGGAACCGAGTTCTGTGTAACGTAATTAACAAATTCTTCTGCTACTTTCTCTTGCCGGTTGTTTAGTTTCTCATCAGATAAGGGATGACGTGAGAGAAAATCTGCAGGATTTTCAGTTCCAGGTTGAAAACCGATTTCAAAATCATACGGCTACAATCGCAAAGCCCATCGTTCTAATCTCGCAGATGGCTTTGATGATGGATTTGTGTATATTTTCACCAGCGGCTTGTGATCAGTGACGATGGTGAATTTTCCTCCAAACAAATATAAATGAAAATGTTCGCAGGCCCATACTATAGCTAAAGCTTCTCTTTCCAAGTGAGAATAATTTTTCTCTGTGGTAGTTAGTGCTTTACTAGCGTAAGCAATTATTTTCCTTTTTTCTTCTCCCTTTTTCCTCTGCGCCAAGACTGCTGCAATACCAACTGGACTAGCATCTGTGAAAACCTCCGTATCACTATCCGGATCAAAATACGCACTTTCTGGCCCATCTGTTAATGCTTTCTGTAGGGCTTTCATTGTGTCTTCTTGTTCTCTTGTCCACACGAATGGGGCATCTTTCTTGATAAGTCGACGTAACGGCTCCGTAATTGTGGCATAATGTGGAATAAATCGACAGCAAAAATTGGTCATGCCTAACAAACTTCGTACTTCTCCTACATCTTTAGGATTTGTGCATTCCTTAATTGCTCTCACTTTATTGGGATCCGGCACAATACCGTTCTCTGAGAACACATACCCTTGGAATATTAAACTTTTTTTCTTAAACAGACATTTCTCCTTCTTAAGAGTTAGTCCTCGATCTTTAATTCGTTGTAAAACCGCGTTCAAATTTGCATCGTGATCTTTCTCGTCTACGCCAAACACCATAATGTCATCATTGATATTAATCACGCCTCTCAGTCCATTCAACGTTTCTCTGATGGCATTTTGGAATATCTCTGCAGCACAGTTTATTCCAAAATTCAAACGTCGAAATCTCCGGAGACCAATGTGTGTTGAGAAGGTTGTCAAATATCTTGATTCTGCATCGAGCTCTAACTGGTTATAGCCTTGATTTAAGTCCAATTTGCTAAACCATACAGCACCATTTAGATCACTTATAATTTCACCAATCGTCGGAGTCAAGTGTCGTTCTCTTTTTATTGCTTTGTTTACTTGTCGCATATCTATACAAACTCGGACCTCCCCTTTTTGTTTTGGTACGACCACGACTGGTGAAACCCAAGGTGTTGGTCCATCTGTTTTCTCTATGACTCCACGTTCTTCGTCTCGTTTTAACTGTTTCTCCAAGTCTTTTCTCACATGAAACGGCACCCGACGATGAGGTTGTGCGATAGGTTGTACGTCCTTATCTACGTGTAGATGAACTTGAAACCCTTTCAATTTTCCCAGTCCTTGAAAGACTTCTTGATATTTGTTAATTAGCTCTTCCACTTTGGTATCTTCTCTCACTTTTTCTTGTGCCTTTTCTTTAACGGGTTCCTGTTTAGACTTTGTAGTTCCTTCTATGGATGCAACTATTTGTACCAGGCCCAATTTTTGAGAACTTTTCCAGCTTATCAAGCAACCCATATTCCCATTAACAACAAAAAATGTCTCCAACCCATATAGTTTATCGGTTTCGACCACACACTGACATTTTCCTTTAATTGGTAGTTGTTTTTTCGACCCTTAAGGAAAGATTTTCTCATTTGCTTCCTGCGATATTGGCTTTTCTTCAATTTGTTAAAATTCACTTCATCCAAGAGATTTACGCTGGAACCGGTATCTGCCATGACTGACACAGGAGTACCATTTATCTTAACTATAAATTTCGGCAGCTTTTGTTGCGCCGTCAACGTTGAAAATACATATTCATCTTCCATGCTTGATTCGGACGTTATTTCTTGCACCGTATTCACTTGACGAGGTCTTACTTGATTACGTTTTATCTGTCCGTTTCGCTTTTTTGATTCAGCGCGAGAACCTTGATAATTGTCTTGCATCCGCTCTTTGCCTCTTCGATTCTCATAGCAACAAACTTGAAAATGGTTCCACTTTAAACACTGTCGACATTTCTTTCCATATGCCGGGCAATTTGTTTTCCCTGGACGATGTTCACGAGGACAAAATTTGCATTTGATCTTCGATGAATATTCGGAAGCATTTGAGGTTTTATCCGTGGGCGTCTTGAACTGCTTTATTTTATGCCAAATTCGATTCGTGCTTTCGATGCCTTCTGCTTGTGTTTTTGACATCTCCATTGTTTTTCCCATTTGTATTAATTTCTCCATCGTTATTTCTGGGTCTGCTAACGTTTTTCTCCGCAATTTTGAAGACAAACCATTTTGTATGATCTGAGTTTTTATCTCTCTGCTTTCTTCATGAAATTCGCAGGATTTGCCAGTTGTTTCAATCTCGTATAGTACGCGGATATGTTTTCTCCTGGGAGTTGTTTCGCTTGACGAAACTTATAAACTTCGAATTCTATATTCTTCTGTGGAGTGAAGTAATTTCGTAACGCTTTCTCCGCTTTTCTAAATACATCTTCTTCTCTATCTGGCTCGTCAATTTCTAGAGTTTCGAATATCTCATCAACTTCTTCACCGACATAGTGCAGGAGCATCGCCTTCTTTCTTGCGGCATTTGTGATGTTCATTGCCAACAACAAATTCTCCAATCTTGATACGTATTTTCCCCAAGCTTTTCTAAGGTCTGGTTCTTCTAAGTTGAACGTAGGGAAGCTAGGCAAAGCTGTCATGTTCGAAATGTAGTATCTTTCTCAGGATCAAGTCGTATTTCTTCGTCCCTTCGTAATCTTTGTCGCCCGATGTAATATTGTGAGATTTTCTCCCTTTTATTGCTTTGTCACATTACTTTTATACAGATCTTTACTTAATTATAATATACGTAATATGACGTACGAAATAGTAATAATTTACATAATAACTATACTACATAATCAATAAGTGTCAATTATTTTTTTTCAATTGCATGTATTGCAGGTACAGCTAAATTTGTACACAACAGTATTATATAGAAAAATTTCAATGCATTTATATGTTTTATTATAGCAAATTTATGTAATATGAAAAATTTTTTTAGATGATTTGAGAGTCACTTGTTTATTAACATTTACTATTTTGTGTTACCCTCTTTAAGAAATATTTTATTAAGCTATTAAGCTTCTCCAATAAGGGGTCAATGACAGTTAACTGGTTTGTTGGCTAAATTTTCCCATCGGGACACACATGATTTGGATCACATCTCACATTATTTATCTAAAAACAGCGCTGGTTAAGTTAACTGGTTTGTTGGCTTAATGGAATATTTCTTAAAGAGGGTAACACAAAATAGTAAATGTTAATAAACAAGTGACTCTCAAATCATCTAAAAATATTTTTTATCTTACATATCTTTACTATAATAAAACATATAAATGCATTGAACTTTTTCTAACCATTCAAAATTACAGAATTCTCTAAAAAAATGACTGTAATGAAATTCAAAATGGGCTGTTTTTTCTGTTATTGTTTAGTAAAGTGATAAAAAGAATATCAACCTGGACAATGATGGTGGGAAGCATTGTGCAAGCTTTATATTAATGAAGAATTAAGTTAGGAAATCCAATAATGAATGCACTGTCAATAATTAATACAGTAACTGTCCAAGTCATAGCATAAACGTGATTCGACCAAAAAAGCCCCAATTTTATGATTTTTGCGAATAGTGTTTACTGTTTACATATTAAAGATGTACGAATCAGAGTAAATGATCAATGCAGAGTTAAGCAAAATCAATTTTAGTTTTCCAATCAATATTTTGTCTAATTTTATTATTAACTACGTATTAGTATTATTTTTTATATTTACTTGACCTCTTACCGTAGAATTTTATGCATAAAGAAACTAATATTTACAGGTTCAGTACGGGAAATAAGGTGTCAACGACAAGCTCCCTGTGACTACTAATAAATCGATAAAAAATATCACATATTTACCTCAACCGCACGTTGCTTCATACTCGGCTCCATTAACATAGCTGCATAAACAGCAGGGGATTTTTTACAAGCATACCCGTCACACATCGTTCCTTTAGGACAGCACGTATATTTTTTTAAACAGCATACTCCGTCCTTAAGAGGACAGCAACCATATATCTTTTTAATGTCATCCTTGCAGCACGTATTCCCATCGGGACACACATGATTTGGATCACATCTCACATTATTTATCTAAAAACAGCGCTGGTTAAGTTAACTGATTTGTTGGCTTAATGGAATATTTCTTAAAGAGGGTAACACAAAATAGTAAATGTTAATAAACAAGTGACTCTCAAATCATCTAAAAATATTTTTTGTATCACATAAATTTACTATAATAAAACATAAAAATGCTTTGAAATTTTCCGGATCGCATCTCACATTATTTGTCTAAAAACAGCAATTTTTAAGTTAACGTACAATAGTAAATACCATTAATTGCATGTTTTTATTGTTAAAATATACTAATAGTATTAAAGTACTAGTATACAGTATATAGTATATAGTATATAGTATATAGTATATAGTATATAGTATATAGTATATAGTATATAGTATAAAGTACTAGTATATTATAGTAAATTTATGTAATGTAATTATTACAATAATTACATTACATAAATTTACTATAATAAAACATATAAATGCATTAAAAGTTTTCTGAACGTTCCACAGTACACAATTCTCTAAAAAATTGTTCTTGTGAAATTAGACTAATCGATTTAAAGGGCTGGGTTTTTCTGTTGTTTTGTATAATGAGAGAATTATTTCCTATGCAAGATGATGGAAAGAATAACGGCATTATATCGGCCTAGAAAATTTTGGCATGATGCCCAGTGAAAAACGAAATCATCAAACGAAAAACGAGTAGTTATTTGATAAATTTTTTAGAGTTGAGAAAGTCCAGAGTTTTTTTAAATCTGAATGCTTCAAAAACGATATGACTCCAAAACAAATCCGTGCGTCTGCTAGTGAAATAAATGCAGTAGGCTGCAGCGCTACTCCATTGAAAATTTTTGTGCTCCGTTTTCATCTTATTACTACTTTGATTGCCATTTTGAGTTCATTGTTGATTGTCACGACAGCAGGCAATCAATATATTTGTTATTTTTTATATACTGTGGTACAGGAACACAGATTGATCTACCGTAGGTTCTTAGTCATGCAACTGAAATGTTGCTAAAGACTTGAAGAAAAGTTAGACTTTCAATTACGCCTAAAGTTGCTGAATCTATGTAGTTATGTCGCATTGTTTTCATGTTAAACATTGTGTGTTGTTGAAATTAATTCACTATAAAATACACATTGTAAGATAGTGTTTAGAGTTCAAATAATGCGTTGGTTTCTTATGAAATGGCCATTCAATTCTTATTTTCCGAAAATCAAACAATTTTTCACGGAATAAAGTTGAGACATTAGCATTACAAAGGTACGTCAAAACACAAACCTTTGATAAGGAACCTTCAGCAACACCTTCAATGAACCACATATGATTGAAGATGAGAGCACATACAAAAATCCACATCATTTTTCTTTTTAGCATACTTCTTTGTGCTTCTAACAAAAAATGTTTTAACATCAAGAGACCTGATAATAATATGGAAAGCGATTGGTTCATTTAGACAGTGCATGAATGGTGAGCAATTACCACTTTACTTGGCGAATTTTTTGAAAAGTTCCTACAAATTTCGTTTGGTAATTGTTGCCATATGGCAAAACTGCCATGTAAAGGGTTGACAAAATTATCCAACGAAACATTTTTTATCGTACTTTTGTCAAAGTTTTCTTGGGTTCATATAGAAAGCAACGAACACTTTAAGAAACTAGCACTAACACTTGCACCCTAACGGTGATGTGACGATTTGTAGGACATTAATTATTTATATATGACGCAATTTTTTGCTTTGTAGATGTAACATAAATTAATTGTATTGCTAAATGCCGCACAAGCGCAATGTGCCGTCATTCATATGACATAATGAAAGATCATTGAGGCTGACTAGTGATTGAGATTCGGAACAGTTTATAAACTTTAAAAATTGCAGATTCAAAAATATTGCTTTAATTTTCCTGACAACGTGCAAAGGCATGGATATCAACCAGTTTTTTATAGCGTAAAACACCGAAAATAATCTAGGAGACATCTTTAAAACTAAAGTTGTTCAGTAGCAACTGAGAAGATTAGAAGAGCTCCACGAATATACATGACGAATATACATGATGAGTTCATGAAGCACACAAGCGCAATGTCCAGTGGTTCATATGACATGATGAAAGACCATTGAGGCTGACTCGTGATTGAGATGAAAGGATTCGGAACAGTTTTGAAGTTTTAAAAATTGCAGATTCACTAATGAATGTTTTATGCAGTGTGGTGTCTGAAATTAAATGAAGATATGATCTTCGCACTTTGTTGGACAATTTAAGCAATCGTCTCAGGAGCCTTAAAATTCAGGTGAGTCAATTGACTCAATTTGAGTCACCTGAACTCCTAAACCAACAAAGTGCGAAGATCATATCTTCATTAGATTCACTAATGTTGCTTTGATTTCCTTGAAAACGTGCAAAGGCATAAATATATCACCTGTGTTTTTATTGGGCAAAGCACAGAATATATTTATAACTTCTAGACATCTATAAAAGCAAATTTTTTTTAGCAATTGAGAAGAATACAAATATTAAGTTATACATGAAAGTCAAATGCGATTCAAACCATGCATAAATAAGCGATTGCTATATATTTGGTTGATATAAAAACGATCAAAGTCAACAATAAAAAATGTCACAGCCAAAAAAATTTTCAATGATCATTAGCACGTAGCTGAGATGAAAATCTGTATCAGTGACAAGAATTATGTTAATATACGTATATGTAATACTCTCATAAAAAAATTTACCTTACTTGTGTGGATTTAAATTTGAACGACTTTGTCCGTGTGTAGTTTTTAAGTCTGATCACTGAGGAGCTCTATAGTAACAAAGTGCCGAACTTTCGTGAAAGCTTATATATTTGTAAGTGATGTGAAAAGTTTGGCAGTCACGTTTATGGGTGTAATGTAACACACCAATTACGTCATGAAGATGTGATATCATGATGTCAAAGTCCAAAACAATTCAACTTACAGAAAAAAAATGAATAAAAAATACTGATTTTAGTATTTTGTAAGTAGCCATTTAAATACCACTCAGAGATACTGTTTTATGAGATATCTAAAGCTTATCCAAGCTATTAGCGTCCTACTGTTATAAGGCCCTTGTTAGTTAAAGGAGCATGCAGTCAAAACTTAAATATGTATATATAGAGATAAAAGATTTATTCTTAGAGAACAGTGAATGGCTTAATCAATGAACGTCAATGCACTATTACAATATTTCACAGTTGTAATACTTTGAGACAAACAGAAAGCTTAGAAAAATTATCCCCTCTCGGCAGCTGAAATCTCTTGAAGGGGACTTTGCACTTGGAAGCCGGGTCTTTACTAATATACTGTTACCTCGCATAACCATTTATAAGAGGACAACTCACCGAAGAAGACATTAGGTCATAGTCACAAGGGTGTCCACTCACGGGAGTTTCCAGGGTGTGAATCAGGAAAAAACAACCTGTAGGAAAAAACCTATTGTGAGATTTTGATGCTTGATCATTATGCTAATGCCTGATTACTATGCAAATGGTGCAAAGGTGATTGTCAAAGTCAAGGTAAATTAAGGTCTAGGTGCAAATAAATGATCATTGGTAGGCTGGGTATGACTGCTACCATACCTCAAATTCTTTCATAAATTTTTGTGACATCAATGTTTTGATGATACGCGGTTTCCTTGCTTCCATTTTCGCACACACAATATAGTCGCCCAGCTCTTTTGAATAAAAGCAAAGATCAATACCAATACAGATTAAATAGTCAATATTCAACAAACTGCTGCACAAAACATGCAATTCAACTTCACTATTCCGAATATATAAGTTAATAATCAGAAGATAGTCCAAAGTTCAGTACTAAGTAGATAAAGAAGCTGTGTGGGAACAAACCAAAGACATGTCTGCTAGCTCACGTATAGAAACGTTAACTTGTATGCAAAATCAATCAACAGGTCAGAAAGTTTTAGAGCCTCAATGCTACGCTTGTTTAATTCTCGGATTGCAGCTAATCTCTAAAGAATTATGAGACAATGTAACCCGCCCACGTCCGCTGGTGCCAACATTGGTATTGATAAAATATTCTTTTATATTTGGCCATCAACATGGCTGCCGTGACGTAACATGCAACCCACCTATGGCATCATTCCAGAAATTTGCTTTCCTTAAATGACGGGGTCGCTCATCTTTCCGTGCAGTTCTATTAATGTAACTTTAAATTTCTGAAATGTAACTTTTTTCCTGAATTCACATAGATACAAAAATTTTGAACGTTGTTTCGTGTACAATCCCTATATCTTCCCTCTCATTCGGTGACAACTAAGGCAAACCTCTTTTTCCCAAGCAATTGTAACACCTGAAATTCCTCCAGAACTCTTAAATTTCTCTGAGCGTAGGCGAGACGAATAGGCTTCAAATCAGGTAATCATCTCCATCATCACAGCAATTTTGATTTCTCCCTTGATATTTTTCAGCGTCAAGCTGATCTGAAGTGATGTTATTTGCTAAAACATGCGACATTGGATTTGGAGAGATAAAAGGATGTCCAAGAAGTTGCTGTGCTAAGCATTGGTTAAGGCTATCCGGATATAGACATCTATACAATGTATATGACATTTAAAGACAGTAGCTATAAATTCTTCGTCACTTTAATGCTTGTTTTTCCTCAAGATCTTCATATTTTCAAGTGGAAGCCTTGAGTGGCAGTTTTCAAGCATGCCTATCATTATATTACCAAATACATATTCCGAGAAGGGTAAAACTTTCTTTTTGACACTGCTATTCAATGAAAAGGAACTTACAGGTCCAAAACGAGCTTTTCAATGTATCAAGAGACTAAACTCTTTTCCTCAACAATAGTTGACTTTTTAAAGAAAACACCTAAAAAATGTAATAATAGAAAACCAAAAATGTCCAAACGTGTTTAATGGAATCATAATACCCTATTGGCAAAAATAGCAAATAATAAATCCTTATACATATCTATTGAGCTAAACGAAAATCTCACGGAGAATCCGCCACATTCTCTGTTGGTCCTTGTACGATCCCTCGTCAAAAGCATTCCATAGAGTACTGTTCTCACAATTCTCAGCAACATCATGAACAGTTCCTACTACTATATACCACGTGAGCCAACGAGCTTCCAAACTGTATATGCGATTCATCGATATTTCTTTTGAACATATCTTCAGTGTTATTAATGGCTGTTTTCGTATTGGAGTTTCGTCCTCGCTAGAGCTTTTATTGTCGTCAACATGCTTAGAATCATTTGTGTTTTCATTCGTCAACGAGACTTCCTCCAAAACTGTCAAGGGTACGCTAGGTGCTTGAACTACGTTTAATTTTATCAAGCTATCTTCAAACTAGCGTCGCTGTTTCTCCTATCTGTCATGCGTGATTGTGTTTAACTGTTGTAAGTTCCATGTTCAAGTATTTCTTCTACCTCAGTCCAAGACATAATATCTGTCAAAAATCTTAGAGCATTGTTTATGCACAAAATATGCAGATACAAAGTTATGGAGAAAAATAAAATGCTTAAGAAGACAAAGAGTATGCCAAAAATATATGATTGGAAACTTGCTCAGCGCATCTACAAGCACCAATTTCAGAGCTCTCTTTGTCGCAAATTAATTGAGAATCTGAGCATGCGTTGTCAACTCCACAAACTCTCCAAGCTCATGGTAACGACCAACTGGTTGTACTAGTACCGATTTTGGAGTAATTAGCTCGCTCAGTCACAAGTTTTAAGACAAATCGTCTGAGCATGCACAGTCTGATTGAGCATGCCCAGTCAACTTGACCAGCTACTCAAGTTCATGGTCATGGCAACGACCAACTGCATCTACTAGCACCAATTGTGAAATAAATAGCATGCTTAGTAACAATTTAATAGAGAAATCATCATGCTCGAGCGCATGCGCAGTCTACTTGAGTAATTGTTCATAGTCATGACAACGACTAACTATATGTACTTGCACTACATTTGTGTCAATTAACTCACTTAGTCGCAAATTATCAAAGAAATCATCTGAGCATGCGCAGTAATGATAACAATCATCACACAACTTTCTTAAGCCTTTAAATTTTGGTATATATATATAAAGCTAAAACTTCATACAGTAGATGTCAACTAGCAGTGGAAGCTGGGTGCGATATAGTATGCAGTGGCTTAGGAGCCCACATTTCGGTGGCGACCGCACTCTCCCTGCGTACCTTGAGCAAAGCCTATCGCAGGTGATCTCAGGGTCTGATGGGCGGAAGCTTGCTATTGGCATCTCCCAAGTAGGAATCTCCTACCGAAACGTTAACATGTGGCGTTCTAGTGCCTTATATATAAGAAGGTATCGGGAAGCATTGCCCGAAAACGGGTTTTTTTGCTTTCGAATTTTGTCTTTTTATTTTCTTCTCATAAAACAAACCAAGCAATGTTTCAATTAACTTCTTATGTCCCTGTCTTTTTCTGACATTTATAATTAAAGACAACCTTAAACATGTTTCATACCATTTTTATCGGTTTATAACTTTCTGATTTAACTCTCCCATTTACTGCTTCTCATGTATCACGAGCAAACCATCCATATGCTTCATGGCAAAAAAACAAGGACTATGTGGTTCCCTTAATTAACATGCGACGCTCTAGTGCTCAACTATCTCGGGGTGTCGGGAGGCATGGAACGAAAACGGGATTCTTTGGTTTTCAAAATTTGTCTTTTTCTTTACAAGATACGATTATCTACTTTGTTATAATAGTTTCTACAAAGATAACATTTAATAAGCCAAGCAATTTGTATCGTCTAAATTGAGCCTCGCTTTCAAGCCTTATGTTATAAAATTTTGATTCATTTTGGATTGTAGATTTCTTTTTCCTTACAATATTTTCATGATTCAGTCTAGAAAGTGACTTCTCTTCTCGAGGAATCGATGAAACAGTACATTTTTTGGATTCAAAGGAATTCTTTTGATCGCATAAAGACAGCCATACAATTTATTAGCTAATTGAATTACATTTAAGTTAGTAAACTTATTATAATAAAATCATTTCTAAACTAAGTTCTATTTATATCTTTGAGAAAACTTAAGTCTCATATCTTCTAAGATTGAATGTGAAATTGTGAGTTGTGAAAAGTTATGTGCCGTTTATTGCGATTAATTATATTGTTACAATCATATATTTTAAAAAGTTTATCAGTTAGACTATTTCCTAGCAATTTTAAAAATAAGGAAACGAGACAAGAAGCCAAGGCGATGGCTCGTATGATTTCTTTAAGTCAATCATTCGCATGACTCGATTTTTTATAGATTTTAGTTTGTTTGAGAGATGGAAAGTAAGACCGCCATAAAATTCTGGACAGACAAATTTCCACTAGATAGCATAATAATAGAAAAGGAGAACACGAGTAGAGAACACAGAAGCGCAGAAGGTTTTCAGGAGAGCAGACTGCAGACAACGATGAGCTGCTAAGATAGATTGACTATTGTATGTAAAAATGTTATTATTTTATTTTATTGAGAATACGTTATTGAAAGTCTTTAAAGTGAGCTAATTGACTCACGGCTTAACTTCCCACTGAATTTACCATACGAATAGGGTCGCGTAACAGTTGGGATAAAAATACGATCTTCTCGTTTCTTCATGTTTTCCTTTTACTGATTAGCTAATTGCTTTGTATGAAGGTTTAGATTATCCGATATAGCTTCTGATTTACAAGACTTTGCGTGGGTAGAAACTGGCTATCAAGGGTTGTCAAAAATTAATTGAGTTTCAATTAATTGCAATTATTTGTAACCAATTAATTGATTGGACAAAGCATCAATTAAAATTAATTGATTGGGCAAAACTCCCAATTTCAATTAATTGATTGGGCATTGACTGCTTTTTTCTTTTTTTTAACATTGTAACTACTTTTGTCTTGTCACAGCAGCTCCATCAAAGGTCAATCTGCAAAAACTGCTGCCTATGAATTTAGAGATGCAACTCTTTCTGAAACTAAACAAAGCTGGTGGCCCGATGCACAGTCGGTTGTGGAGGCTTCTGTTAGCATGTGATGAACACTTGGTTGCAACCCTTTTTGCCTTTTTGACAATCACATAATTTATGTGATTGTATTTGTATTCTTGTTAGATTTCTAAATTTGTTTTTTTGTAGGCCTACACTTTCGAAAAACTCGAATTATGCCATGTTGACATTACATTTTTTTTTCTTCTTCGCTTTTTCATTCTTAATGGGAATCCGAAAACTTATAGAACCTAAATGTGTGGCCTATGACATAGAGAAAAAAGTTGAATATATTTACTGTTGCTATACCTATTGCTATTGCCTGTACAATAAACCTACCTATTTCTATACGATATTAATGTTAGTGTGCGTTCTAGTACTAAAAAGATATGTAGACTAAGTATACAAGGGTTGTCAAAAATTAATCGAGTTTCAATTAATTGCAATTATTTGTATCCAATTAATTGATTGGACAAAGCATCAATTAAAATTAATTGATTGGACAAAGCATCAATTTCAATTAATTGATTGGGCAGACCAATTTAATTGCAATCAATTATTGACAACCCCTGCTGGCTATACCCAGGGAACTGTTTATAAACAGAGGATGAAAATCCTTAATGTTATAGAGGCGACTCGCAATTCTTTAAATTTTTCTTCATTTAGAAAAAGTTTTCTTTCTTTAAATTTATGTACAATTGATCAATGCATGACAGACTGGACATAACTGCTACCATTCCTTTGAACTATTTGATTTTCATACATGTTTATGTCATCAATCCAATGTTTAGTGTAGCATGCAGTGCTACGCAAGTACTAATGGCAAGCACTAATGGCAAGCACTAATGTTAAGATCGGTCAAGGGACGTAAATATAAATCCTTATATTTACTTGGGACGTAAATATAAATCCTTAAATGACAGGCTGTAGCAATTTTCTCCTTTGCGCGTTAGCACAAAGCAGTTATGCGTCTGCCGATTCGTTTTTGGGATTCATTCGTATACTATCCTACTGTACGCGCAGTCGACACACAATTCTCAATTTCACTCAATATAACTATTCCAATATAGCTATTCCACATCACGGATAATCTTTAAGATTTCAAGCTTTTACGTTCACAGCCAGCACCAGAAGAACCTGACTTTCAACGTGTTACAACTAATTAAGTATTAACATAAGTTCCCAATTCCGTTCTTCCATAAGTTCCTAGTATCAAATAACAAATATCTATTACTTATTTACATAAGTTCCGACACAGGCCTCTCTTTTGGAATTAAAATAATATGTCCTTTTATGTTTCTTTCTGCTTAGACTTTACCACGTTGCACAAGATGGTGCAAAGTGCCATGTATCTCTCACTTAATGCCTGGATTGTGCGTTTCTTGCAAGCTATGAGATTCATATGTATGTCAGATTTCACGATAATTAAGCATGCATTCTGTAGCTTTTAAGTCATTAAATGATTGGCTTTCTAAAGCCTCGATTTTTGATTGGATTTTCAAAACAAAGTACCCAATTCACTTAAGTGGGAATTCGAGAATATCACAACACAGATTTGTTTTTGTTAAATTTACCAACTAACTGAAATTCAAAGCATCTTTTTGGACAGTTAAGAAATTAACTTTGCGATAATTTAAAAACAAACCGTTATTTCTAAAAACTTTCCACATAATCACAAGGTACATTTGGATATGAATTGTTTTGATAAAGCCTGTATTTGATCATATAGTCAAATGACATATCTTTCAAAGAAAACATACCCCATTCGATCGCCACTACCCAAATTCAATAAATGTGAATCAATAAAATAATATACATCACTTCAATATGCTTCAGGATTTTATTTCTCAATTTAACATGACTATATTTTTGGACTCCATTTCTTAATTGAACATGATTATATGATTAAATGCCAGGGACTCACAAACTCAATGGTTTTTCATCCAGCATCACTTTGCAGCAAATGTACGGAGGAAGAAAGTCCTCATTCTTGCACTTTGGATGATACGAAGATGGACATTCATATTTCCATGGAAATCCAACACCATCACCTTCACATACACAGTACTCTCCCACCTCTTTTGAATGAAAGCAAAAATATTCACATAAATATGAGTGCCGATTACATAGTCAACAGTTGAAAAACTGTTGCCATAAAACAAGAATTTCAATTAAGATGACAAGGGATAAAAAAACCCACTATATGCGCGACCTTTGGCATTTATATTTATTAATAAAAAAAACGAAAACTGGTCGATTGCTGAGGAGATAGCTTTGTAAGCGCCTTTGGAAACGCTCATTTGCAAAGATTCAGTTCAATATGTTTCGCACTTATAGAAAGCGTGATCAAAAATGCTGTAAATACCGTCACGCATTTCTAAGTACATGCTTCACAATCTTTAAGTACAGTGCGGTTTAACATACTTGGCACATCAGCACCAAAGGAAAGAACAAGAAGCATCAAAACGAACGTTGCTGTTATCAACTTCATCGTTTTACCTTAATGATACAAAAAAAATATAATCACGGCTGGTTTTGATAAATAGAGAAAAAACAAATAAAATAGCACATTCGAAATTTGCATTTTCCTCTAAAAGATCCTAGAATTTATAAAAGAATTGTTAGACGCGACACTTAGTTCTTACTTCAAGAATCAAGAAACCAAAAAATTCTTTGCGTTTACTTTGCCGTCTTCTTCCTCGTTCGTCTTGTCTGCCGCAAAGTATTGCTTGTGTTTGCTTGATTTGAAGTTGGTTCCGTTCTTTAAATGTTTCTTAGCACGAAATCACACGTGAATAATTAAAAAACCAACCAATTGCTATTAAGAAAGTATAAAATCATGTGACACATGGTGGTTATGAGATTTTACAGAAGATAACGGTTGAAATTTGTACTTCAGCCTGCATCTTAAAACCTTAGAATTTGGTAAATTGTAATGGCTATTTAACTGAAATGAAAACGCTACTGCATACAATTAAATATCTGGGGTTTTTTGGCAATGAAGTTTTCAAATATATATAAAGCTGATTGCTTGAGTAAAGCACGTGGCACAAAGCACTGGTAATTCAAAAAGTAATTATTATGTAATCAATAAACTGCATCGCGTAGTAGTTTAATCAATACAGTCACGAATTTAACTATTATCAGGATCACTAAATTTTTCTAGTATTAAAGCGCATATATTCCATATACACAAATATGTCGCATATACAATAAATATGATGAATTTATGACTCGCTGATGATTTGATTTGGAAAATATGAAACCAAATTATCGTATTCAACACAGGCGGCAACTATAAACGGACTTGTAAAAAAGTTTTCTCTCTTTTTTTCCTGCTAACAACTTTTTTTGCATTACCAATAAGCGTGGTAAGGGCAGATAATTAATGTGGTTCAATAGGATTATAGATTACTTCCAAATGGTACATAAATTTTTCAATTGAAAACTTTGCGTGATCTACCACAGATTTGGACGTGTTGGTATTTGAAGAAATTCTATACGTGCACTTAGACATGTCAGCTTCTTTTCTCAGCAGGGACCATATGGTCAGTAGCTGCCATCAACACAGCATACAAATCCACAGTGATCGAGGATTGAGATTGGCCTGGATGTTACATTTTATTATGCAACAGTATATTGCTGCACAATATGGTAACAGGTAACTTTTGTCAGCTGAAAATTAGTCCGCGCGAGGCACGTTGCTTAATACAAATAAATGTTCTCCTCGGATGTATACAATATAATTTTCCATTAGATTGTCTTTTCAGGAATGGATGGAATGCTCATTCTTATTTATAATAATGTAAATCGACAAAATCATGACCGTGTTTCATTAGTAAATTTAACCACACGCTTCAAATTCCCTCCCCCTTGGGGAAAAACTAGGTTGCACAACTGATCGCTACTTGACGGCGACATCACGTATTTTAATGACAACTACTTTTAACTATCATTGTATATTTAAAATAATACAAATTACTCGTAACTAGCAATAAAGTTTAATTTCTTAATTTTGATTGCAAGCATAACATAATTTTGTACGCAGTTAATTAGTTTTGTTGATCGTTAGTGTTCACGCCATTCCATTCCTCACTATTATAAGTGAAATTTTAATAAAATTTTGAACTCAATAAAAAATGCACTGATGATTGACATATCATGCAGGTACAAGGTCCAAATGTACTGCTCTACTAGTTGCATTTCTTCATTCCATTTTACAATTCGCATCAAGTGCTTGTGTACATAGTAAATCAGTTGACTGCTGCCCGTTGTTTTGTGACAGCCCATACAAGATGAGCTCATCATGAACTTAGTTAGAAATTATACAAATTCATTGTAAAATTATAAAACTTATAAAGCAAACCGCTAACCTTCGCATTTCAGCAACAAAACGACATAAGTACCAACATACGGAAAAGTCACGTGGTGTCATCAGCAGTAAGTATTTCAGCTCCAGAGTCAGTCACGAGTATGGTGGTTAGCACTATTTTCCACCCAGCAAACCGCCCTTTACTTTGAAATATAATATTTTACACAGTATAATATTTTACACAATCTAATATTGTACACAATATAATATTTTATATAATATTTTACACAATCGTCGAAAAACGACATATTTTCCAGCCTGGGTTATAAGTTTATAACTTAAGGTGGTTGCATGAAAATTTATACTGCAACATTTATCTGTAAATATTTTCATATTTTGATATTAAAAACTGTATTATAAAAATATAAAATTACTCGCCATCTCAAAACGACCTAGCACCAGTGCATGCATGGTTTCCTTTTAGCTTTTGGTTCTTTCCCATTAGCCGCCATCTTTAATTTATTTCCGATTGTGTAAAGTAAAGGGCGGTTTGCTGGGTGGAAAATAGTGCTAACCGAGTATGGTATGTTCAAACTGCGCTGATCTATATAATTGTATTACACTGAATTACTGTTCCCACAGCATGTGAAACAAAACATACATTGTTACATACATAAAATAAAGATAGATACCTGGTTCCATCCGATGATACACACGTCCAACCATCTTCTAAAATCTCAAAATCTGTATGCCCCTCAATAAGAATTGGCTCTTAAAAGAGCAAATTTACAAAATATCTTAGTTAATACAAACGGTGGGGATGGATCGAGAATGATTTTTAGGAGCGCTTGAATTTGGATTTTGGCGGCTACTGAGTAGGAGCTACCGACATTTTTGTCATACTATATTACGCATATAAACACTATGATTGGAAGATATTTTTTAAAGCATGCTCTGTTAAACACAAATTACAATTACTTTTGCCTAATAGCTTGGTAAATTATTTCCGTGGAGATAAGCACCTCTTGCACCTCGGTAGCCAAAGCAAAGGAAGGGTGTGTACCCCCAGCACCCACACAAAAACCATCTCTCATAACTTGTTATTGTAATAAACTGACGTTAAAATATCATAAAGAAGATCGACGAACGTAATATTACCGATTGTGAATGTCATCCCTGATTTCATTCTACCAGGATTTTCATTGTCTATAGAAAAAAATGTAATTAACAAAATATAATTACAAATTACGTCAATGAGCAGAAGCACACGCCAAATTTGAGAAAATGGAAAATGACAACACAGAATGAATTTTCGATGCGTCAAAGAACCAGTAAAAAAGTCTTGAATCCTTTTGTTCATGACACTAGAAGCTTGTTCTGTATTTTTCCATACATGACACAAAGTTCACAGCAGTAGAACTATAACACTTCATGTTTCCCAAAGTTTTATTAATATGATGATATGAACCGACATCTTTCTTGAAATTTTGTTTCTCGATAGTGAAGAAATTTCTACCAACGACTGGCAACACTATGTGTGAGCAAAGACATAACTGTCTGCAGCTCAAAATATAACAATCTCATTCAAAGGTTTCTTTAGCTATAGCCGCAATTTTTATGTTGATTATGTGGATTGTTTTATTTATATATGAAAATTTAATATGAGTTGAAGTTACAAGCGATGTCGGGGGTTTAAAACCTGAAATGCAACGTATGAGACCCCGTTCACACGATACCGGTAGAGTTTGAAAACGGTTTGCGGTACTGTTCACACGATGCCGGTATGAAAAAGTATGAAACCGTAACGCTAACAGTAATAGTTTGAAAACGGTATAAAATTATACCGTGTCGGTTATGTGTGAACACCCAACCGTAAGAGTTTTATAACGGTTCGGTGAAACTTTTTTCTCCGCTAAAAATAAAGCGATAAAATATTCGAACACAGCTGTCACAGCGATAAATATGGTCAGCAAAAATTTTGAAGACTTCAAATAAATATAACTCAAATAAACTGAAAGCCGGCATCAATCCGGCGTAGTGTAAACGCATTACCAAAACGGAGCAAAACTCTGACGGTATCGTGTGAACAAAGTGAAACGGTATGAAACTATACCGGTTGAGTTTCTTACCGGTATTGTGTGAACGTAGTCTGACGTCGGAAGACATAAGCCGGCTTTAAAACAAACATTATTCAAATCAACCAAATAAGGAAAAAATAAGTGATAAAAAGAATACGGCATTATCAACCTGGACAATGATGGTGGAAAGCATTGTACAAGCTTTCAATTAATGAAGAATTAAGTGAGGAAATCCAATAATGAATGCACTGTCAATAATTAATACAGTAACTGTCCAAGTCATAGTATAAACGTGATTTGACCAAAAAAGCCCCAATTTTATGGTTTTTGCGAATAGTGTTTACTATTTACGTATTGAAGAAATCTCTAAGGAATTATGAGATAATGTAACCCGCTCACGTCCGCTGGTGCCAACATTGGTATTGATAAAATATTCTTTTGTATTTGACCACCAACATGGCTGCCGTGACGTAACATGCAATCCACCTATAGCATCATTCCAGAAATTTGCTTTCCTTAAATGACGGGGTCGCTCATCTTTCCGTGCAGTTCTATTAATGTAACTTTAAATTTCTGAAATGTAACTTTTTTCCTGAATTCACATAGATACAAAAATTTTGAACGTTGTTTCGTGCACAATCCCTATATCTTCCCTCTCATTCGGTGACAACTGAGGCAAACCTCTTTTTCCCAAGCATTTGCAACACCTGAAATTCCTCCAGAACTCTTATATTTCTCGGAGCGTAGCCGAAACGAATAGGCTTCAAATCAGGATACTCATCTCCATCATCACAGCAATTTTGATTTCTCCCTTGATATTTTTCAACGTCAAGCTGATCTGTAGTGATGTTATTTGCTAAAACATGCGACATTGGATTTGGAGAGATAAAAGGATGTCCAAGAAGTTGCTGTGCTAAGCATTGGTTAAGGCTATCCGGATATAGACATCTATACAATGTATATGACATTAAAAGACAGTAGCTATAAATTCTTTGTCACTTTAATGCTTGTTTTTCCTCAAGATCTTCATATTTTCAAGTGGAAGCCTTGAGTGGCAGTTTTCAAGCATGCCTATCATTATATTACCAAATACATATTCCGAGAAGGGTAAAACATTCTTTTTGACATTGCTATTCAATGAAAAGGAACTTACAGGTCCAAAACGAGCTTTTCAATGTATCAAGAGACTAAACTCTTTTCCTCAACAATAGTTGACTTTTTAAAGAAAACACATAAAAATGTAATAATAGAAAACCAAAAATGTCCAAACGTGTTTAATGGAATCATAATACCCTATTGGAAAAAATAGCAAGTAATAAATCCTTATACATATCTATTGAGCTAAACGAAAATTGTTCACATTTTTTTCACTAGCTGTGAATGAACGTGAACTAATCCTTTACAATCTCACGGAGAATCCGCTGCATTCTCTGTTGGTCCTTGTACTATCCCTCGTCAAAAGCATTCCTTAGAGTACTGTTCTCACAATACTCCATCTGTATAAACAAAGTTTGCAGAGTACACTTTCAATCTTCTTGCATATCTCTTGTGGTGATTGCTTCCTCTTGACTTTCGAAATCAGATTCCTAGTCCTAAACGAAAGACGCAGGTAGTTATTTTTACATATCCTCAGCAACATCATGAACAGTTCCTACTACTATATACCACGTGAGCCAACGAGCTTCCAAACTGTATATGCGATTCATTGATATTTCTTTTGAACATATCTTCAGTGCTATTAATGGTTGTTTTCGTATTGAAGTCCCGTCCTCGCTAGAGCTTTTATTGTCGTCAACATGCTTAGAATCATTCGTGTGTTCATTCGTCAACGAGACTTCCTCCAAAACTGTCAAGCGTACGCTAGGTGCTTAAACTACGTTTAATTTCATCAAGCTATCTTCAAACTAGCGTCGCTGTTTCTCCTATCTGTCATGCGTGATTGTGTTTAACTGTTGTAAGTTCCATGTTCAAGTATTTCTTCTACCTCAATCCAAGACATATAATATCTGTCAAAAATATTAGAGCATTGTTTATGCACAAAATATGCAGATACAAAGTTATGGAGAAAAATAAAAACATCTCTAACATCATCACCAATATTACGAGTGGCGTAACAAAGTGTTGATGAGTTTTATATGCATTTGTCAAAACATGCTTAAGAAGACAAAGAGCATGCCAAAATTATATGATTGAAAACTTGCTCAGCGCATCTACAAGCACCAATTTCAGAGCTCGCTTTGTCACAAATTAATTGAGAATCTGAGCATGCGTTGTCAACTCCACAAACTCTCCAAGCTCATGGTAACGACCAACTGGATGTACCAGTACCGATTTTGGAGTAATTAGCTCGCTCAATCACAAGTTTTAAGACAAATCATCTGCGCATGCGCAGTCTGATTGAGCATGCGCAATCAACTTGACCAGCTACTCAAGTTCATGGTCATGGCAACGACCAACTGCATCTACTAGCACCAATTTTGAAGTAAATAGCATGCTTAGTAACAATTTAATAGAGAAATCATCTGCGCATGCGCTCGAGCATGCGCAGTCTACTCGAGTAATTGTTCACAGTCATGACAACGACTAACTATATGTACTTGCACTACATTTGTGTCAATTAACTCACTTAGTCGCAAATTATCAAAGAAATCATCTGGGCATGCGCAGTAATGATAACAATCATCCCACAACTTTCTTAAGCCTTTAAATTTTGGTATATATATATAAAGCTAAAACTTCATACAGTACATGTCAAGTAGCAGTGGAAGCTGGGTGCGATATAGTATGCAGTGGCTTTAGGAGCCCACACTTCGGTGGCGACCGCACTCTCCCTGCGTACCTTGAGCAAAGCCTATCGCAGGTGATCTCAGGGTCTGATGGGCGGAAGCTTGCTATTGGCATCTCCCAAGTAGGAACTTCCTACTGAAACGTTAACATGTGGCGTTCTAGTGCCTTACATATAAGAAGGTATCGGGAAGCATTGCCCGAAAACGGGTTTTTTTGCTTTCGAATTTTGTCTTTTTATTTTCTTCTCATAAAACAAACCAAGCAATGTTTCAATTAACTTCTTATGTCCCTGTCTTTTTCTGACATTTATAATTAAAGACAACCTTAAACATGTTTCATACCATTTTTATCGGTTTATAACTTTCTGATTTAACTCTCCCATTTACTGCTTCTCATGTATCACGAGCAAACCATCCATATGCTTCATGGCAAAAAAACAAGGACTATGTGGTTCCCTTAATTAACATGCGACGCTCTAGTGCTCAACTATCTCGGGGTGTCGGGAGGCATGGAACGAAAACGGGATTCTTTGGTTTTCAAAATTTGTCTTTTTCTTTACAAGATACGATTATCTACTTTGTTATAATAGTTTCTACAAAGATAACATTTAATAAGCCAAGCAATTTGTATCGTCTAAATTGAGCCTCGCTTTCAAGCCTTATGTTATAAAACTTTTATTCATTTTGGATGGTAAATTTCTTTTTACCTTACAATATTTTCATGATTCAGTCTAGAAAGTGACTTCTCTTCTCGAGGAATTTTGCGATGAAACAGTACATTTTTTTGATTCAAAGGAATTCTTTTGATCGCATAAAGAGAGCCATACAATTTATTAGCTACGTACGTAAGCGTATATAAGGCATTTCCAAACACGTACAAAGTTTCATTCACATGACCATTTAAACGATGCATGTAATAAAAAGCTACCGTCCTATATACCTTTTACACACAATAGGAATAACTTTCGGGGGCCGTCTTCATATTCATTAATTAACTTTATCACAGAATTTGGTAAACATTAATGCATGAGTATGTAGAACTGAAATGGACTGCTGCATATACAATTTGTAATCTGGTGTTTCCTTTTCACCCTAATTCTAAAATATATAGTACCATGGCTTAATCAAAGCACATTAATGGTCCTTATGGCAAATCACGTCTTAAAATAAAATGAATATTTTCTAATCACTTAATTGAAATGCGTATGTACCTATTCTTGGTGGGCAGCCATGTTGGACGATTTTAACAAAGGATTTTCTTTATTTACAATGAAAATTTCATCCAACAGGGCGGGCATTCCATTATTCTCTTATTCCCAGAGGGGAATGGTTGCACACCACC